TTAATTTTTGATACCCATACTATATGAAAAGGAATAGGGTTAGATTAGATAATATTTGTTTTAAATGTCATCGTTTTATTTTTGGATTTACAATTAAAACTATGACAAAGCGTAAAGCGTACTTGTTTATCTTAACACGATTTTTACTATGTCTGTTATTTGTTCGACTTTTAATGTCAATTGTTTGTTAACTAAACATTTAGTCATAGCTAAATTTTTTTTTTAATTGGCAACAGGTTTTTTATAATACGTGTAAGTTTATCTAGTTATTTAAAAGCATCACCAACCAGCGAGTATTCTATGTTGATGTATTTTTTGTTCAGCGTTTACGATATCTGTAGTACATAATATAGAACACCCATACTGGGTTAGTAGGGTAGGTTAATGTATACAGGGTACCCCACACGAAAATCAAACAATTGCAATATCGTTTGTTCGGTGCAATATTTTAATTTTTTTTTTTATAACTTACCATTTTTTAACTTCATATTTAGACAATTAAACAAAACCTATGATTAAACTCGTGTATAAATTATAACTATTTCTACTTGGCCCCACAGATTTTATCGTTATAAAGCTAACACATATCATTCCACCAGGTGCGTATCAAAAATTATATTTCGGGGAGGGCTGATAAAAACGTATAAAGATTGTCATAAAGTAAAATAAAAATAGCTGTCCTAGGATAATGGTGACAGGTGCAGCCACTGTTTTAAGTTTTTTAACGTATCTGTAAGCAACGATTAACCATTACAAATGAGAAATCGATTCTAAGCGAAGTTGGATTGATAGTGATACTTTGTTAACAATATATATGTCATATTATGGTAAAATTAAATATGCGTTACACGTTTTATTAATAATATTTGAATAATGTTATGTTAATATTCCCATTTTTTCTACGTTTTTTCCATTTGTTGAGAAACTCATAGCAGTATCAAAAAATATACCTCCTTAAAGTATTTCCCCAGTCTGATTTCCGTTCAGAAAAAGTGTTATCATTGGAAATAGGAGTAAAATGCTGGTAGACAAAATCCTTTTTAGAGATGTTACTATAGTTCCCTGATTTATTCCACAAGGTTTGTCACGTCGTCCATAACTGAAGATGTACATGTATATACTCACTGAAATATATCACAAACATTAGTGATTCTCAAAGATATTCATTCTACAATCTCCGTAGGCGAGTATCCCTGATAGTGCCAAGTGCCCAACCCACGTGGACTCTTTAAACATATTTGCATTTATGTATATAATATAAATATTATTCCTCACGAGTATGAAATATGATTATATAAATGCAGAGACGAAAGTGACGAACTAAGATATTTCCATTCTATTCCATTAAGTGACATCCTACATCACAACTTCTGTATCATAATTTATCTAAGTAAACTTTAAAAATACCTACATCTATTGTGAAACGCCGAGGGGGTGTGATAGTCCCTACTCAGTAGGAAACCGTTGCGCACACCCATTAGTATTAAAACTGTAATTTTATATAGGCACATCATTATATTGCCTATACGTCATGTAAATTTATGAGTTGTTATAATTTGTCTCTTTCATAATCACCATATATAATATATCATTACATGTATCTATAAACAGCATGTATTTTTCTTATTTATTAATGTATCAATAATAAAAATATTTTATATCTCTTAAACAAATTGTTTGTTATATTGTATATATTATCTATAAATATCCTGTTTATTTCAAAGTTGGTAGGCGACCTATGTATCAATTTTTCCCTCATACTTGGTAATAATCATATACCCATAAATTAATAATTCCCCCATTCGAGTTTAGATTTCAAAAAGGGCCCACAAAAAGTGAATAAGTTCAACCTTATAAATTCCACGTGATATTTGGTTTGCTGAACTACAGTTGATATTTATATAGTATCACTAAGATACATCAGTTATCTTCAATATATGCTCCATTATATTGGTCACATAAGTTTCGAGTCAATTTGTTTGGCTATTTAATCAACTAGTCACCATTATAAAGTTTAAAATCGTTTACATCTGTTCCCCAGGATTGTGTGACCTTAACTGTCAATTGAATAAATGACAGAGCGCCATTCAATTCTAGACGTGGCTCCGCGGCAATTTTCTATAAAGCTACTCTCGTTTTTTTAACAGAAAAGTCTTAAACACCATTAACTATCCTTTCGCAAAGACCGAAAATACACACAAACACCATAAGCCTCAATTGAAGAGTCACAAAATCCATGTTATTGAACCATAACAGAAGTACCAGGCATGTATTTTCTTGAAATTAATATATCCTGTAAATCCGCAAATTGAGCATAATACTGCAGACAGCTTCACTTCATGTCAAGCTGAAGTGGCATATTACAGTTTATTTTGAGGTGCAACAGTTTCTAAAGAAATGTTTTCTTTTTATCAGTCCCGGATCAAGAAACCCAAGAAGATCAAAAACCTCATGGTGATCTGAAAGTAATGTCAACTTGGTCACTTTTGCTACATCCATTACTTTGATGACATACAATCGGAACTCAACCACGCAATGCACGTAGCTTCCAACTTAAGCCTAAATACTTGATAATTTCATCGTTTCCTATTTCCAAAGGATCTATAATATTCTCTCCAATCTATTATAAAACCTGAAAAAAATTAAAATAACACTTTCCAAGTAGTTTTGAAAAATTTTAAATGGCAATAATTTCCTTGTGTAATTGAAAGAACTTTTTCTGTGTTTCCACCCCCGATCATATAACCGTCAACGTGAAGTAACGAGATGTGTCTTTTTCTGAATGTCTAATACAAGTACTTAAATCTATCAAATAATTGAAACATATGAATAATTCCTCTTCTTAAACTAGATTAAGACCATCACTAACGGAAAGGTCTTTAAATTTATTGGGAAGTTGCAGCATTATCGGTTTTTATAATACTCGATTTTGTTTTTAGATTCAGAACAATGCGTTGTATATATTGGTTTTAGATTGAGGTATATATACATTTTGATATTGTATACAAAATGAGTACCAGAAATCTTCCTCAGATTTCCGAGTATAGCACCTTTTCTGGAAGAAAATTTTATCTACTTGGTACATATAAAGCTCATTTTGTAATTCTTTTATTCTTACTGATTTTCGGAGTAATAGATAATAACGTAGGGATAAACGTGCAAACATTTATGGCGGAACGATTACATGATTTTACATTTTTGTAGAATGATTTATATTTTGTACTACATATCAAGCTTCTAATTGGAAAATCCACAGAAAAAAAAAAGAAAAATGAAATGTGACAAATGTATACAAACGTTACAATTTCATTAATTTAAATTTGTATGCGGTATATTTTTGTTAAAAGTCAGTTAAAAAAATTCGTAGAAACTTGAAATTTTGATAAAAAACATGTATTCACTTTTTCTAGACATGATAATGTTTTCGAAACATTTGAGCCATTATGATATTTATAAAAATATTAATATTTTTGTTGAAATTCAGCTAAAAATATTCGTATCGACTTTATGGAGTTTTAAAGTCAGATAGACAATTTATATTTGCCTTTTTGCTAGTTTTGAACGTAATTTTTATTCGATATTCGATTTATACTCTATGGTAAATTTATCGAAAATTTAACAAGAGGTTCATTAAGTCTTACTTTGTAGTCAAACAAAAATTTGAATTAAATATAGTATTTTTTGTATAGAGGAATTTTACTATCAAAGTTTGACGAAAATCATTTTAATAAAAAATAATGTGGACCAAATTTGATTTTTCAATTTTTTATTTTTCCGAACGTATGTATGTTGCCAAGTCAAGAACGATGGTGAAGTCAAAATTGAGCAGATTGAATCAGTTTGAAATTATAGCTTTTAAAGTTCTAATATTATGTTAGGTTAGTTTAGGTCTATTTTGTCTTTTTACTGTATGTTTATCGTATTCGTAGGTTATCTATTGTTATTACGGGTTTTTATAAAAAAATGTTTGCACTTATTTTTCCTTTTTACCTAAAAAGGGAAAAAAGAAATTCATTTAAGGTGATCATAGAGGCCTATTCATAGCTATTACTCACTCGGACGATTTTAATCCAAAAATACCGCTCGATTTGTTGTGCAAATTTTCCTATCAGAAATCTTACTCCCATGTACCAAGTGTAGCTTAATTTTTGAAAAGAAATTTAATTTTCCTAGTAATTAGGGAGGTCATTTTTGGATTTTTCAAGCGGCTTTTATAATATTTGAGAAAAATCGGGATAAAATGTCGGAAAAACGGAAAATGTACGATATGTAGGTATTTGTAAAAAAGTATTATAGCCTTTTTTTCTACCAGCAGTTTTGCTCCGATATACAATGATAGTACTTTTTCTGAAATTAAATCCGACTGAGAAGGTACTTTAAGATCATTTTTAGATTTAATCAGAAGTTTTACCGGCAAATGTGAAAACCGGGAAAAACATGAGAAAACCAGGAAAAATGGGAAAATCGGTACAATATTACAAGTATTATTATTACAATTATACGAGTATTTAACAAATATTATTAAAGAAAATATATAATGACTATTTAATTATTTTATCATAGTATGATATTTTTATTGTTTACAAAGCATCATTATCAACTGAACTGCGCTCAGAATATTTTATCGTTAGGTAAATGGTTTATCGTTGCTTACAGATATATATTAAAATCTCTATAAAAATGACTGTACCACTGTTATCCTAGGACGTCTTTTTTATGTTTAAAATTTTGACAAATAAAAATTCATTAAAAAAAATAATAATATAAATCTACTCTCTCAAATTTTTTTTTTTTTATTGGAAATAATGACGAATAAGAATGGTCTGTCAGTGTTATTCTTCGTATCTGAGGTTACTTATATGAGTGGAGTAATTGGGTGAATTTCTTAAACGGAGTTACCGGATCAGGAAAATCTTTAACATCAATATTAACGACTAAAATACAAAAACGTAAATATAGCACAAAATAAACGTGTGGTGAAACTGAAGTAATTAGTGACATTATTCTTCTGCTTGGTGTCCATAGTGTTGAGGATGGTGAGCATGGTGGACATGATGGATGTGTGCGTTGAACCCGTTATGCTTATCAGCTGTGTACGTCACTTTCCTGATGCGGCCGTCCGGTTCGACAAGGCTATATTCACCGTGAACAACGTCGCCATCCCTGTGTTCTGACTGATGATGGTGGTCACCCGTGTGCGGGTCTTGGACGCCGTATTTGTATGTATAATGTGGTGGTGCCTGTGGATACCAACGGTTGATAATTAGCAACTATATAAATATAGGTTGGTACTAATATTATGTTGTTGACATAGATGCAGTGTGCGTTGACCATTTGCGCGGGTGTCACCGACAAAACAATTAATACGTCACCTAAGAGTTTGTATGTATCCATAATACAATCGTTAGTACAGAGGAGATAATATTAGAGAGAAAACTGCGATAAACCGAGAATGTTGGAGTGTGTGATTAAAATAAATATGATAAATAAATCAGTTATCTTTATCCGCGATTGAAAAGATAAATTATATAAAATTGGTAAAATGTATAAGTATATACATATAAAGATATTTTCCTTGTTTCAGTTTTGGAATGGAGCAAGGAATTTATTGGAAACTCTACAATGTGTTTAATATTATATTTTTTTTTTATTTTTTGTGCCTATAAGCAAATTTTAGACCAGAAAACTTGCTTCCATCGAAAAATGACGAGGACCTTATTTATTGCATTTTGGATTTAGTTGTGCAATAGAGAGATCATACTTTTTTGCCTGTGGGGTTTTCATAATAATAGAGAAAACACGGAAAAATACGTAAAATAAAAACTGACAAATGTAATGCATTAAGATTTCATTATTCTTAATTTTTACGGTTTTTCTACTAGAAATATCGCCCTAATCAAATAACAAAAGATCTTTTTTATTAAATTTTACATCTAGTTGTTGATAACGAAAGTTATTTGATTTTCCTTGTATTTTTCTTAATAATTAAGAAATTGTAGAAAACCTGATAAAAACTGAAATGTCTACGAAATTCAGTTAAAAATATTTGATGAAACTTGAAATATAATAAAAAATGTGTCTTTGAATTTATAGACGTGGTAAAATTATCAATATTTTTTTGGAAATCGTGTAGCTATTTATAGGAATCTTTTGTTTGGTAAATTTGTATAAATAAGTACTATATAGATAGAACTGTTTGATTAAACAGAAGTGTTTAAAAAACTAACTAGAGATTCAATATAAGTAGAACTTAGTGGTCCAGAAAAAAAAAAATTGAGTGCAATAAGTCCGTAGTGAGAGAGCTAATGGTTTTATTAAGATATTTATTTTTTTCTTTGTTCTAGTCTGTGGACACGTTTTTTCTTAGTTAACTTGCTCCGATTTATACGTGTAGCAACTTTTCTGAAATTTTAAGTTGTCTATATGGCCATTATATGATTTTCGACTCCATTTTTTAAATAAAATCTTTGAAGCGAGAAAAAACGTAGGAAAACGTACAATTTCACGATTACAATATTTTATGAAAACACGGAAGACATTTTGTACCAGAAAAATAATTAATTCGAAAAATCACAAGATATCTTTTTTGTTGACTTTTGATTTACTTTCTAACGGTGTTATTGCCAAAACATTTTAGCCACTATTAAGCTTTTAGGGAATTTTAAATTTTGAGAGTTTTTTTGTGTATTTCGGTTATAAATAAACGTAGAGGCTTTAAGCTTGATAATATTACTTATATTGGAGTAACCTAGACGCAGTAAAATTTCTAAAATCATCAGACGGCTTTATTTTTATATAAGCATTTTGAAATCAAATTTAAACGAAAATCGCAAAAATTATGTATTACCGAACTGCCTTCGGAATCGTCTTTCGTCAATAGTTTATCGTTAACCACATGTAGTTTACTTTCCCATAACTTCTCACCTATAACAGTGTCTATTCCCATCCCCAGTATCCGCTCTTTTATTTTATACCTTTTATATAACTTTCTTATTCAAACAACTTAATAATAAAATAGACGAAACCTTCCTTCTAAGCAATATTACTCTAAAGTAAATAAACATAACATTTGTAGTATAGAATTAATTTATATAAAACATTATTCTCAAAACTATATGTTGTGTACACTTGTAAATATCTTGCTATCTACTAGGAATTCTGTAAATCATTTAGATATATTTTACTATGTATTAATTTGTATTTCACCTTTCATCTTTATATTGTTTATGTTTTTACATCTATGATACCTAATATACTTATTCTATATTGTATTTATAATCCACACTGTTATCAAATTATATATACCTCGATGTATATCGATCTAATGTCCGTTAAATAAATAAATAAATAAAGAAAAAATTGTAAAATTGTGTGTTATCAATTTTCCATCCATACTTTTTTTATTTTTATAATTATTATTATTTTTTATTTTATTTTATATGCAATAAGTTCCGATCCCTATTGGTATTAAGGTAAATATCTGGCTTAGGACAGGAATTAAGATCCAGATACCAGACTTCCATGACACGTAAAAACTTTCTCAGAATATTCAAGAAAAATCAATATTAACTTTACGACCTATAATATGATAATATAAAAATATATGGTTTTCTTTTTCAATAGATTATGTATCATTTGAGGATTCCAGAGAACTACCATTTCACAGTGCATTAAATATTCTTTAAACAAATAATAAACCAGAATTGTTATTATTATTCTTCTTCTTCGCCTTCTACACCCTTCCTAAACTTTAATTGACCCAGTACGCTGCATCGTTCTTACACATACTCCACATACACCGTTCTCGTAATATCCTCAAACGCATCCAACCACCTCTTTTTCGATCTTTCTCTCCCTTTTTCCTCCTACGCCTAATTGCAATATATTTTTTTTTTTTTTAATTGTTTGATTCTCATTTTCTTTGAATATATTCTAATCATCTTATTCGATTTTCTCTTATTTTGTATACTATAGAACTTTCTCTATCTCTAGTTAAGTAAATTCCCCTAACATATTGTCCCCGCACACATCTAAAGCGGGATAATCTTCCCGTCTTGTTTAAATCTCCTCGTACTATTGGACAGAATTTTATACCAGCTGTCGACCTGACGCAACCCCGTCTGTCACCCTAACGACAGATAGAGCTGTATAGGTACCGAGAAAGTATTCTGATCCCTTCTCCGATTTAAGTTTCGTTATTATACTTACGTAATGTTCATGTCCGTCATGATGTACATTATGAAATTTTGGTTGGTAAAATGCGTAAGATGTGGCATCGTGTTCGGCAAGAGTTAAAGCCACTACAGTTGTTAATGTGATCAACGAAACCTAATCATAAAAATAATTTCAAAATATTAAAATTATTATTATTATCACTATTAACAGTAAAATTAAAATATATGCGAGTCAAAGAGTCATACACTTTTGTATCGATCAAAACTTCAAGACAATTAAACTCAAGTTACAATAATACCCAATAGGTAAGGATAAAACCAAATCAATCTTTTATTTTTACATTAATTATCGATAACTGGGAATTGCACAGAGGTTTTTTCATTTTACCCCATCTATATTAGTTGGGAATTACATATGTATGCAACAAAAACATTAAGTTTAATAGCCGATACCGGTTTGAAAAATGTTCTCCCATTGATACAACTTTAAAATGAATTTATAATTTTAATTATCTACCTTGAAAACAAGACTTTTCCACTAATAACTGCCCAACACGAAAATACACACTTTTTTGGAACGGGTACGGCAGATTTTACGGAACCAAATGACTTCGCGAGTATCGGGATAGCTAATTGTCAACAATATATTTTCCTAAAATATCCGTATTCAATTGATCAGCATAAACATTCTACATACCACATTAGTCTCTGATTTTTCATTTCATTTCAAATACTTATATAAAAAGTTGTTAAAAAAAAAAATTAAAAAATTAACCTATTTTAAAACAGGGTATAAAGTATAAAATAAATATAATGACAAACAGAGTTCAATGTGATCTATAGAAGTTTATCTAATTTCCAACAAAAAAATAATCATCAAAATCAGACTACGAGCCATGATAATATACGCCGTAAGGCATGTTTTTGAGCAAAAAATCGTACTGGTACCGGATCTCCACAAAACCTAGTAGTATATTAATTAAAATAATCGGTACAAGTTTTCTCATATATATTATAACTGCCTTCATATTAATGTCATGATTAATGTGTACCTATTCAAATTGCTTAATAATTTTACAGGTAATTCCTGAACATATTCTATACAGAATATCGGACTGTTTTTACGTTATATTAGTTTTGTATTAGAATAAAAATATGTACGTGATAGCACTTACCTGTAGAATAATATTCACCATGTTGTATTTTTTGCAATGATCGAATTTGAGCTAATTTCAAAATTGAACACACGATCTCCGTTGTGTTGTTTAGAACGAACGTTTGTAGAATGTTGAGTATTGATGACTGGTGAATACCTACAATTATAACCGGGTATTTATACAAAAATCTTTATACAAACCAGACGTTGTGTCGAAATAACAGAATAAGACTTACGAGAATACTGGCTCGTGCATTTTTGTAATGTCTGCGGTGAATTTAAATTTCTGCCCCAGTAGGTTTTGTATGTCGAAAATTCTATGTTCCGATAATATTATACTAGTCATAAGACGTAATTATGGTATTAATATTGTTATACTTGAATCGATAACACTAACGTATGAGGTTAGCGATTACTACCACAAAAACCAATATAGTACACTATTGTAATAGGTATTAACTATGCATTACTTCTACTTCTACTTCTGTAATATTCTGATTTTGTAGTAGGTAGCCACTAGGACATTCGGACGTTCTGATAAAAACTGCTGTATAAAATTATTCAAGGTCTATACAACTAAAATCGAAATAGTTAAATGGTCCGTTAGATAATATGTTACGGTATTTTTTAAAGTGATATTGAGACACTATACAAATATAAAAAAACCATTCTATTATTATCACAGTAATATCACATTAGTGATAGTTTATTATTTCGATGATAGTATGATGATACCTTATATCCCCGTTGTGTCCGTTAGCCCGTATAGTTACGGTTGTTGATTTAGTTTACAATGAGATATTTTGAAATAGTTCGTTCGATTTTTCTCAAATGATTGACAAATTTCCATCAACAAATTCTAGAAGAATATCAATATTACACAATATTATTTAAGTACAGTGCATATACCTATATTTAATATTATATATTATAAAAATATTATGTTATAATATGTTAATCTTAATATAATAATTTTAATATGATGAACTTACAGGTTTATTTTATTTTTGCTTATCAGTTAGATTATAATATATACTTCTATTTACCCGAGCCTTTTATTGATATAGTCCTGGGGCCCTGACAACCTAATTCGTGTTAAGTTATGTGGGGTAATCTTTCTCGCACGTACAATGTACGTCGTACATACATAAGTCAACTTCTTGGCGATTTCCCAGTTCACCGACACCTAGTTTGCCGACAATTAGTAGGTATTCACCTCGTTTAAATAAAATAAATCAAATAATTTATTTACAGATGGGATGATTAACTGAACATGCTCACCCATCATTGTAATCAAAATTTAGATGAAAAGATAACTGTTAAAACATGCCATTTTTATTTTTTTGTTTTGCCATAAGTATAAAAATTTTCTGTATGCCAATGCAATAAGGATAAGCTTGATGTTCATAGCTGCTCAGTGCACACACACACACAATGTCAAAAATACAAATTTTGTCATTTAAACTTGTCTAAAAATATGTTATCTATGTATAAATACACGTTGGTAACAACAATCAATGTGGCTATTTTCATAATTTCATCATTAAATTCACACGTAATGGGTACAACCATACAAAATCTACAAATTTCAAAAAAGCAGGTACGCATAATGGAAATATTTCGTTTTGAAAGTAGAATACATTTAAGATTTGTACAATTTTTTGCCCCGTTGCTATTTGCGTCCCTAGCGTAGGCATAGTTCACCATACCCTTGTTACGCCACTGCACTGCAGCTGCAATTTTAGTTACAGCTAAATATGTTAAGTTAACAAACAATGAAAATTTAAATCGATGAAACAGCAAATATGACAACAATCTTGTAAAAATAAACAAATATGATTCGGCCTAGTTTCTTCGAATGAAGAAACTGTACTTTAAATTATGTGTTTACTAAATAATAATAATTTATATTGATAACAATTTTTATTAAATACTTAAAATATATTATTCGGGAAAAATGGATTTATGGTATTTGGAAATATACAGTTCGGAATAATACAAAAAAGATTCAATACTGTGTTCGTGGAAAATTAAAAAAGTAGGATATACAGAGTAATGTATTTTGTACAACATGACCAATAAATAATTACAAATAAAAAATGATTTCGATTTTGTATGGTTGTAGGTACAATTGTTAGGTTGATAAATGTATACCTAAAAATTAATTACACTTGAACAGTAATTAAATTATTACCAGAGGGTAATCTGAGGATTGTATTAGACAACACGCGTAGTAAAATATTAAATATTTCTTATACTATTTTTCAATTATCTACCTAAAAGTAGTTTCATAATCGTTATTGTTTAAGGACAATGAATACAATTAATCGATAACAGTACAAGGATAAAAAAAATGGACATACTTCGCACGATAGGTGCAGCTACTGTTTTTAGTGAAAAGTTGTGAATGTAAGATATAGAAAAAAAGTTAGTATTTATCTGTATGCAATAATATACCATTGCTAACGAAAAAACAATATTGAGCGGAGTTCAGTTATAATACGATATAGGTATATATCATATTATAATAAAATAATTACATATGTATTAAACATGGTTTTTTAATAGCAGGTATTTATTTAATATTGTACCTTTCTTCCCGTTCTCTCGTTATTCCTATGTTTTCTCCAGTTTTCCCATTTTTTGAAAAAATAACCTCCTTAAAGAACTACCCAAAAAATTTCCTCTCGGAAAAATGTCTACATTGTATACATCGGAGCAAAATTTCTGGTAGAACTATTGTACACGGTATAAAAAATTAAAAATAAATAAGCGTTTTTCCAATATTTTATCCCGGCGTTTCTCATTTACTGGGAAAACTCTTAATTAAATACTAAACACTAAACTAAATAGGAGCCAAATTGCTTGTAAAAAAATTGCTCACAGAAAAAAAAAGACTTTCGTAATACATTTTAACTTACACCTGCATTTCTTATTTATTCCTCCATTTTTCTTCGGTTTATTAAATTTGATGAGAAAACTTCCGAGAAAATCGAAAAACGATCTCTTTAAAGTAACTCTCCTAACCAATTTTCTTTCAGAAAAGGTGCTTTAATTAAAAATCTGAGCAAATCTTCTGTAGAAAAGTCCCGTACAGAAAAAAAAAATAAACATCTTTATGAAACCATAAGCTTCTATGCTACACTCAAAATGTAAAAATCCAAGTTAAATTTACCATAATTTAGTCGTATTTGCTATGACTATAACGTTAATAAAACTATACAACTTTAGGTATTTAACGATTTTTAATTAAAACTGTTATGTAGGTAGTCTACATTAATCGTATGTTTTTATCTAAAACACAATTATTGATTTTTAGGTTGAAAATCATAGTTACTCAGATAAATAAACAATGTATAATAATCCTTTGTTCATCTTTGTAAGCACCGATCAGTCGTTTTAGCCTTAAGCAGCTTCGTAGGTTGTGTATTTATTTGATTCCATATAATAAGGGTAATTGAAATTCCCAGAATATGTTTTCAGGTTTACATAATTAATACATATACAACGTTATTATAATTAAATCTACGATTTCTGCAGACCCGATATGCGGATGGCGGGTGTATGCGAGGACGAAGTGAAAATTTAGGACTAAGATGGACGGTGGCTGACCCCAATTAGTAGGTATCAAGACAATGAAGATTATTACGGACTCGATCTCATAGAAATACCATTGAAAAACTAGGTAAATACCTAAGATTCGGTTTCTGTAATCTATTTGTTACCTACTTGTATTTTGTTGTATTATGTACAATGTATATTTATCCATTGATATCAATATTTTATTATGATATTAATATTAAAGAAATGTAACTAAAAAAGCTTTAATAATTAAAATATACACAATATACCTGGTACACATTTATTTGTATTATATTGTATTATTTATTTTTTAGATTCTGAGCGAAATGAGGAATGTATTGGTCTTACAAATTTATTTTTACTACACTTTTTACAAAAATTCTACCAGAAATTTTGTTCCGAAATATCAAGTATAGAATTGTAGCATATTTTCGGTAAGGGAGCATTACTGGGGTGGTACATTACGAAGGTGGTTTTTTGATTTTCCCAATTATTGCCAAAAAACGGGATAAAACGTAGGAAAAACGAGAAAACGTACAGAAATCCTCCTTTTATAATTTTAAATTTTGTTGAAATTCAGTTTAAAATGTGCATAGAGTCTAAAAATTAGGACTGCAAACTTATATTTACCTTAGGTTTTTTATGTAATAATAGTGTTCGTTTAGATACTCTATAGATCAAATTGTAAGACCAAACAAATATACGTGAAAATTGTACAAGTGGTTTATTATAATATTTACTTAATGGTTAACAATAAAAAGTTGAGTTTAAATGTAGTATTTTTTTTATACACACATTTTAATATAAATTTTTGACGAATAATGTAAATATCAATTTATGATTTATGAAAAAATAATGTAACAAAAATACTATACGCAAAATGAAAAAAAAACGGACATACTTCGCATACTTGGGTTCAGCCATATTTGTTGGTAAGTTGGGAAGGTAGGGTACAGATTTGAATTTAATATACATCTGCAAGCAACGGTAAACCATAGCTAACAAAAAAACGATTCTGAGCAGAGTTCAGTTAATAATGTTGCTTTGTCAACAATATATATTTATATATGTCATATTATGGTAAAAATGATTACAACGATATGCATATACGCGACAACAATGATTGTTGAAAAAAGATTAAAATAATAAAAACATAAAAATAACAAAAAATAAATAAAAACGGTTGACAATGACAACCTCATTTTTAATCTTTCAATCTTTTTTAACCTAATGAATCAAGTCTTTCTTATTATCTCAAATATAAATGAGAATTTACCTCTTTAAAGTACCATCCAGACAACATTTCCTTTCAGAAAAGGTGCCATACTTGATAATCAATGTATGTTTTCCGGTGTAAAAAATGTTCTTACATATAAAAAGAAAATATCCCCACTCAGAATCTAAAACAAATTTTTATATACTTCCCGACATTATAAAAGTATTTTATTATAATATACATTTATCACTATAAGTTATATGTATACATGTTATAGTGGTACAATAGAATTATACCGTAGGCTGATAATAACAAATTAAAACTGTTCTAAATTGGTATTAATAGATTTATTATTTATTTACCTATTTATTTGTTACTAAGAGCTGAATATATTAATTATGGCTGTTGAATCATAAATTAAACCTGACCATTATTTTATAATTTTCTTATAAAGTTCTGCACCACTCGTACTAACTATATCTATAATTAAAGTTTAGTTTTTTTAAGATATTTTGTTTTTCAAATGTTTTATAATGAAACCATTACTTGATTTAATACCTTGATTTATTTTCAAATGCCAAACTATATAAAACATTTTACAAATATAAATACGAAAAATATGAAATTATAAATTGAATACATTTTGGGTTTGATAATTTTAAATTCCATTTACTCATTCAAAAGAGAGAGTGTGCCATTTTTTAGATAAAAAGGTAGAGTGTAATGGAATAATATCAGGGTATTTTGATACCACTAAACTGATGGCAAGACTCTTTCCCTACCAGTGATACTAAAATCCTGGTTAAAAATATGTTAACTATTAAATGTACTGACTGAAAATTAATTTATTCTTCACTTCAGTCAAAATCTACGAATGAATAAGATTTAGTGAGCATTTTGTCTTTTAGTTTTTAAAACATTACATTTATGATTTTAAGGTAGCTAAAAATGTGTAGACTTCAAAATGATCAGATACTTAAGCATGTAGTAAATTAATATTTTAAAGTGTTTTTTTTATAAATTAACTATCGTAGATATAAAATATCATATGTTTTTTTAAAAATAAATTTATTTGACTTTGTAATTATTTGAAAATTATGACATTTTGAAAGTTATTCAATTGAATCATTATAGAATTGCAAGGTAAAAACCAAAACAGGAAAAATAATGAAACATTTTTAATAAGGCACTATATATTTTAACAAGAATAGTACGTAAATTGCGTGAATGCATACTACACTGGTCCATAGAAAAAAATATAACATTTTATGCATAATATTACCATAATAATAATAATTAATATAAAAAAATAGACAATAATAAAAAATAATATCTTAATCGTTTGCATAATAATATGCATATATAATAATTATTATATTTATCTTAATATATATTATGTAAATATAAACAGTGGTAACCAATAATATTATTATTCTAAACATAGAAAATATTGCTTAACGCCTATACACAATACAATTTGATTATCAAAATAATATTTAATAATAAAATATATCATACACAAAATACTTAAACATTCGTTTAAAAATAAACATTAATACTATTCTATTCGAGATAAACACAATTGATTTCAAAAGGCACTTAGATTTTATAAAATATTTATGTTTAGAGATCAAAAATGTTGTGCAATCAGGTGTATAATGCACTTAAGAAATTAATTACCAATATATTGTTGAAGTGTAGATAGGTACGTAACTAAATAATAATACTGTATCGATAATGAACATAATTAGTTCATTTCTGATTTACACCACGAGTATCAGCCTATTTAAAAGAATAATACTTTCTTCATAGTCACACTCTCTCAGTTCGGTGAATATATTCAACTTTTTTTTGTGAAGTTGACAAAAATAATTTATACATAAGATAATACCTAATATAATAATAATGTTTAATTAATAATAAAAATAATGATAATATTATAGATATAAATTAAAGTAAACATACTATACAATCAATATCATTTACAATTGAGTTATTTATAATATAGTACACAATATAGTTTTAAAAAAANTTGAAAATTTGTTGAAAAACTGCAGTTTTCTGCTCTGTGTTTAACCAGTAAACTTTTTTTTTATCATACCGAATTTGTTTGAGTCGCTCAATAATAATAATAATAATAATATTAATAATAATAATAATAATAATAATAATAATAATAATAATGATAACATATTATTGCAACATAACACTGATAAATAATATTATGTAATAAATGTATTTAGTTTTTAACAACAACCCTCAACACAAATAATATGTGTCAAACCATAACTTCTATAATGTCCGTACATATATATTTTAATAATAATAATGAATGTCAATAATAAACTCAGTACGAAATGTGTTATTTTTTTTTTATGACGAGTGTTGATAACATCATTTGTTAACGGTATGTACGGTCATTGGTTTTTTTTTTTTTAAATTTGCTGATGCAAATTGTCATCGTATAATATTGTAGATTCTTACTTAACTCATTTTGATTTAAGTTTGAGATCTTTTTTGCCGCCTCGCCAATCCAGTCATATTATACAACATGATCACGTACATACATATACAAGCACGAAAAAAACAACAAGAACTTCATACTAAACAAATGCCATTCAAATCAGTCACTATAGTTCTTTTGGCTAAATTAAGTCCTAGAATAAACAGCCAATAATCCCTGTTATTGTCCATCTTCAACCAGCTTTTAATGTTTTTATATGTAAGTTTTCTTAACCTTTTGCAAGGTCTTGTTTTCGACTGATGAGTCCAAGTTTTTTTCGAGTGTATCGTTTTTGCACTTAGTCACATTCACCAACAGGTTAAGAGGTGCCTTGTTGTTAGGACATGGCAAAAAAGGAGCTGTACCGATTTCGGCACCACCATTCATATCGGCCAGTCTGTTAAGTTGATGATGGGCATGAACAGCCATTGATGAAAACGGATCCGAGGCATGCCGAAAGTACCGCGAGCATACAAAACCAGCCGCAAATCCAATAAGTAGCGTAGCCAGCACACACATCATCATCAGCAAGCCTATCACATCGCCCAGCGAAATAACAGGCATTTCGGAAATCTTTTCCCTGACATCTAAACAAATTTTAACAATATCAAAACTGATTTATATTATACACTATATAATAATAAATGAATAAAAGGGTACATGAATACATACTTTCGCTGTTGATAACATTCTCCGTGTAACATGGTGTACAAGAAGGGCATCTTGCTAAATTTGAATCAATGTTGTTATCTGCATAAAGGGGAAAAAAAACGAAAATTGTAAAAATTAAACTACATTTTAACAGAATATATTAATAACACTCACCTTCAGACAACATGGTATCCTTAATTTTGTCATCAAATTTCACTGCTAAATAATAATAATAAAAAAAAAATCACATATTAAATATAAGATATTCAAATAATTTAAAACCTGTAGATTAATTTGCTATTTCAAAATTTAACCTTTAGGGCAAACATTGTTTTGAAACTGAACAAAATGCTCCTTGAAAGAACTCTTTATTTCCAAATGGTTTATACATTCCGTCCCATTCCATGCGCAATACGGATCTTGCAGGTCAACACATTCTCTGTTGAATATATATGGAATTTTATTAAAAAATATTGTCATTAATATAAATTTTTAGCTAAATAAACAGCTACAAGCTGAAGGTCATAAATGTCCATATATATAAATATATATTGACTATACATAAATCACCAACTGCACCAAAGTCAACAGTGATTAGTTTTTATCAGGGTCTACTTCACATTTATACTTAAAAAGACTACAATTTCCAAACTTTTTGCCCCAGATCAACTATTAGTACGTTAAGAACTGCCCCCAATTCTGTAATTTAAATTAAAACTGTATGAAATTAGATGCCAATGGTTAGCCAGTAGGTTTATTTTTTAACAAAAAATCTTTTCTTTCAACACCTTAATATTTATAATATGCTTTCTTGATGTTTATTATTTGTGGCACTACATTTCTGACATTTTTACATTTTTGAAAATCTCTCCTGATTCTAGCTTTAATCAACTTGTTATCCGCTAACAGCAGCTGTATTTTCAAATCCTGAAATCTTTTATTATACAACCTTGTTTTTTCATTCGGAAGGCTATAATTTGTTGGAAAATATTTTATCAGAACTGGTCAATATAATTTTATCATAAGCACTCTGTGACTGCATGTTATCGTCGTTGGGTAAAAATTATTTTCCGGAAAAATACTTTCTGCCAAAGTACATTTCCAACAAAGTACGGTTCCTACAAAATATTTTTCTGAAAAAATAAAGTTCTGCAATATATTTTCCAATATTTTACACATCCCCTTTCAACCCTCCATACTGTTCACATTTATAAATCTCATTTAAACCTACCAAAAAATTTAAAATTACTTCTTTTGTTATTGTTAATAATCTTTTCTTGAATATATTCATACTACCTTCCTTTTTTTTATCGTAATTTTCTCTTAATTTTCACTGACGGATCTGTTTCCTTTCTTTCAGATGGTTAATCTTTTAAAATTTTTGACCTAAAAATTTGTATGTCCAGCAATCTTCCTCCAGCTGTTTCCTCTTACACTACCTAATATGATTTAATCAATGGTCAAATTTTACTACCTGGTATAGGAATATTCCTTTTACTATACTATCTAAATCTAGGTTTTATAATTTAAATCTTAGTTTGAAAACTATTTACTTTCTCTTTTACCTTAGACTAGACTATACCCTACCCCATCCTATTCCTATAAGCTTTTCCTTAATGAATTTCTTCTTTGTACTCTCTACACCTCCGAATCGATCTGCGATATTTCTCATAATCTTTGTCATTGTCCTTCTCTTATACATCAATGTTATGCTTTCTCTGCCTTAGTAAACCCCTATAATTTCTCATTTAATGCACAATCAATTCTTTCTTTACAACTACCTCTAATCGTCTCAGCAGTATTTCATTTATCAATGACACTAGATTGTGATTAAACAATATTTATAATATTTTCTTCTTTATTTTTTTTTTTATTGTTTTATCATAATTTTAACCACTATTTCTTAATAGATTATTAACAGATATTTGTAACAAATTGAATGTATATATTAATTTTTATAATATATTACACTGTGATCACACTACGGTTCTTACTGGCAATTTTTTTTCAGATAGCAGCGATCCAGCGGCACGGATATGATATGTTGATCAAACGTGGCCACTATCCTGCCCGGTTTTCCATCAACGGATTTGATTATGTTCAACGTCCGGACAGGCAACGATTTTGTATTATTTGTAGTAAGGTTCACTTCTTCGATATTGATGAACTCAGGCGTTCCATTGTTCGAGTGTAAAGAGCCTTTAACCAGCCGTCCATCATCTGCAGAAAAATGATATGTTACATAAATAAAATCACATTGCAAATAGTATTTAAGTATGCAACAGTATTATGGTTATTGTATAGGAAATCATACCAGTGCCCAAGAACAGGATATCGTAGTGTTGTCCACCCAGACCTGAAATCTGATTGTCCACAGCAATGCTGGTCAATCTGGACTGTAGTGATATCCGAGTAAAGATCGGTTTGGAGAAAAGCGATGGCACAGCCCCGTCCATCAACGAATGACTCTTTACGAAATTCACGGTTATATCCGGCAACGTCCTACTGTCGTCCATGCATATACCAGGACGCGGTTCGGGAATCTGTAGATTAGGAAAGTATTATTGTTACGAATCCATTACGAATCGTTACGAACACATTACCTTTTTCACGGGCAACCAATTGGAGTCCATTGCCTCCTGGTCTTTAAACGAACCCATGAAAGTATTAATAACGTCACTCATATTGAACATGCACACAGCCGAACCACTGATGGCGTTAACAGGCGTGTTGAACACACCGTACACTATATGATCATCGATACCGGTCAGAGCGGTACTCAATATGTCACTGGTGCCCTCTGCGCAAAATACAACATTAATATTATGAAAATTGTTCACATAATATATGTGAACGTATCATAATAATAAAAAAAACCATCACCATCATAGTTATTATTCTATTAGCTGCAGTTTTAGGATACTTACGGATCTCGTCAAAATAAAACGGATATTCGCCAGGTATAGAACAATTGAGTCGAGCTTTCAAAAACGATGTCCATCGATCTCTATAGGAATGCGGACCTCCTTTATCGTCTTTACAAACTCGAGCCACTCGGGAATAAATCGCCTGCGGGGAAAACAAAACAATAAAGATCATTTAATATTCATTATTATTAGTTTGGTATCACTGAAAATAGTTTTTACAGTGCCCATATTATAGTGGCGGTACAGTAATATCATAAATACTCACTTTTCCGCAGTTTATGTATTCGACGGCGATTTCTCTAAAGAAGAAAAATATGTAATCCTTATACTCCAGTGAACTCACGAAATTCGGGTCTATACAAAAAAAAAAATCACACCGAAAATTATCGAACCTTTCACTATAGTGCCATAGCAAGTTATCGCCAGAATATTGCATACCGTTCAATTGTTTAAAGTCCAGCCGTTCGGTTCGCATGGGCTCTTTATATATGAGCGGATCGCTGCCGGAAAAGTCGGCCACGGTCCCCGAGTAAAGTTGGCCACTGGCGAAAATCGAAGTGCTGTTGTGCAACGGATCATAGGGACACCTACCTCGGCCGTCCACTTCCTCGACGCCTTTGGTACCGTCCTGCGAAAAAATAAAACCCAAGATGGCAGTCATCATTCTCAAAAAATAACAACTGTATTACATAAAAACGATGACTTACTGTCAGATTGAACATTTTGCACATCGGATGAAAAGCGTTCGTGCCGCATACGAACATTTCTTCGTTGTTCATTTTGAACGCGACTCTTATGTAATTTTGGCAATCGTCCTGAAACGAGAGATAATCGAATGGTGTGAAAATAACGTCGACCGCGAACAGAAATAATCATATTATTATCACGAAAAAATTACCTCAGATTTGCCTTTCAGCTGACACATTTCGTAATTGGCTTCCGAAGAATTCCAATAATATCTCTGAAAAAAAGAAAAATTATAGATATTTGTTTTTATTAACAACCCCTCGAGTGATTAATTCGACATTTTTTTCCCCGATGTATTTATATCAGACAATAGCTATTATTATATATACATAGCCGTAACTTCTACGATTCGTGTAAACTAGAACGTTCCCAACAACAGACAATATTATAATAACGCGGAAATGTATTTTGTTAAAAATAATTACGTTTTAAATAATCTATGGTGTAAATGAAATTTTCCAATTAAACTGTATAAACAGCTAGTGGCGGTAAAGACGTTAATATTTAATGATCACCTTTAATATAGTTATGTACCCGAGAAATAGAAGGATCTAGTCCGTTTTTATAACTTTTTACAGGAAATCAAAGAAAAAAAAAATTAAAATCACATTCGCTATCCTATTATCGGATGACAAAATTAATTTTGTCCACGTGCAGATTTCAAATCTACTGCAGTATAATTGGCAAAAGTGATCCAAGTTCAAATATTCGGGCACCATCAAATGACAACTGCCGTTATCTAGGCGGGCGATTGATAAAACTCTTTGAAGTTGAAGTTTTCGTCGTAGCATATACTAATAAATACTTATATAAAGTTGTAGTTCCAAAAACTTTATACGCGTACAATTATAAATGTTAATTATATATTAGATATATTAATTTTTCCATATAAAGTAAAACCACCAAAATGTGAATGTTTTCCGTAATAATAAGAATTCCAACAAGAATTATAGGAGGGGTAGATTCAAAAGCATCCCCCTTTGAAATTGGAATGTTTTAAAAAATATAAGCACTGACTGCAAATGGTAAAAAAATGAATTTGGAAACTTTGGTTGCCTTATTCGTGAAAAATATTTTATAACGGTGAAAAGCAATTCTACTAGGTTTAACGAGAACAGGAAATAATTTTGAAAAAAACGGACATAATTTGAATCATAATAATTGAATAATGATTCTGGTTCTAATTTTTGGCTTTTCCATTGTATCCAATAAAATAATCTAGAAATCAAAACAATAAAACCGATACATCGTTATAGATTGTCAATTTATTTTTTAACTATTTGGATAAATTGTCGGAAATGTCAAAAAAAGTTTCAAATAAAGTACCAAGGAGCAAAAAATACACATCTTTTTATATATAATATAGAAAAACACACATATTAAAACTATAGTATAATATAGCGTCTTCGCTCTACACTATCAGAATCAAAATAAATTATGTAAGTACTATTTACGAAGAACGCCTGTTTAATACACCGTTGATTTGTACGTGGTTTTTTTTTTTGTAATCTAGCGGGAAAATACATCGAGTTGTTAATGACCATCGGTCAAATAACGACCCGCTGCAACAGCAGACTTTTAGTATTTATACACACAATAACAATAGATATAATAAATTACAAGTGCAGTGCTATTAACTGACTAATTAATTAAAATAGCGGTCGAGAAACCCAACACAGGTTTTCCATTTGGGCATCGTGTATGATAGTAAAACCGGAAACTCGATTCCGCGTGAGTGTAATAGTATGCACTAAAAAAAAATTAAATAAATAAAAAAAAAACACACATACAATGCACAACCCATGGAAAAAATAAATGTGGCTAATAGTCGCGAATAATAACTACGACAGAAAACTAATATTATATACAAAGTGACAGTTGCGACAGTGTATATATGATTTTCCAGAGCCTCGCGCGTAACAGAAGCTGCCTCAGTGGCATCTGCCGTCTCTGTCTTTCTAACGGGCAATAAAGCGCAAATACGTGTTCACTTAAAACAACGAAAAGGTCTTTAAAATCGATTTTAGAAATAAAATATGAATTTTCTAATTTTCTAAATATTTAACTTAATAACTCATAGTATTTAAAAAAATTGTTTTTAATAATAAATACATACTTCAAAAAATACCGATGAATTTGTCTTAAAATGTCGTCGTCTAAGAGTAATAAGTGTTTTATCTGTAATTAAGATCTAACACGTCATGTAAATGCAACAATTTTGTTTTAATTAAATCAAATCATCCTTATACCTATTATTTAAAAAATTGTATTACATACCTAAAATGTTTAAGGTCCTTTTCGTTTGTTTTAGGTAAACGGATGTTTACTATTATATTAAAATATCGTCTCTTAGAAAGACAAACGTGTCAAATGCCACTGTGACGACTTCTTAAAACAATATAGTTAAAAACGTATTCAACCGACCAATGGACGTCATAGTTCGAGCTCCCGTTTTACATCAAGACGAGCGCTCTCAGTCGATTATTTATTTTCGTCGGTATAATATTCCCGGTATAAGGGACAGAAAATAAAAAAATTACAAAAATAAAAATAGGGTAGCGCGTATTATTATTAAAAATAAAGCCCAAGTCCGTCGAACGACGATTTCAATGTGGTCGCGCGCCACTCACCCTTTTTCCCCCTTCACGGTGTGCGATAGGGTTAAAAATAATATAATAATTGAACGAAAACATATTGCGCGAACACAATATACTATATTATTATGTATAGTTCAGGCCGTCTTTAGGATTAAGCGACGAGGGAAAACGTTAACACTTTTTTTTTTTTTCTGTCCGACGATATCAATTAATTTAAATGGATTGGGTAAACTCGTTGGATTACACCAAATATCCTATACAAACGTCACACGATTAGTATTTTTGAGTCGGCCTGTATAATATAATCAAAAACGATTTAAAAAACAAACATTCAACATCACATTTGATATACCTACGTCTTACACATTATATTAAAGTAAATGCATAACATTCGCACGAATATAAAAAAATAATTTCAATCCGACCGTTCAAATGATATTAATAAACGTATGAATGTATCATATTGTCCGATTTTCTGTAACGCTAACGATTCAGAGGTGTACATCGCGAATATCTGTCGAATTAAAATATTACGATATTGATGGACGGATACGACGATAAATAGACGTTAATATATTTTCTCGTTTTCCCGATTATTGAATAAAAACAAATTACATGGAAAATCAAAATCACCTCCTAATGATTCACTAGACGAAATTTTCGTACATAAAGGATGCTACAGTTTATGATAGGAGCAAGATTTCTGGTAGAAAATGTGTTTACAAAAGGACAGAAAAAAATCATTGTAAAGCTAAATCCGATCAAATTACCTTCATCGGTAATTTTTCAACCCTTTTGCGGCCCTAATACCCATTATTTATTAAATTTATTAATTGTATTATATCCATATAATAATGCGTTTACCCTATTTCAAAATAATAAAACATACTCTTAAGTAAAATGCACATCGATTTTTTTTTTCTTGGTACTCGCCTAAGTCTGTGTATTATGCTATACCGCCGACGCAATGAAGAAGGTCGCGCGCGGAAATGCTTTGACCGGACAATTATTATTATTATTATTATAGTATTGTGCAATTTAAATTCTAATTAGAAAGCGACTTGTCCCCGAAAAACGTAGTATACGAGACATTCGACGTATACACGCGCGGCACATTATCTACGCAGGAGACACATTTAAATCGTCATTTACTGTTCCACAACTACAGAGACCATCAATCATAAAATTTCTTGTCATTCAAAATACTTCAGTATACCACGTATACCGACCACGACAGCACGGCCCACGGCCCACGGTATATCTATCACTATTATTACTATTATTATTATTGTTATAATTTTTATTATTAGAGCGCTCTATTTCACGTGTACTTAATGAATCGTGTTTCACGAGAATAACACTAAAACACGCGAAAACGGATAATAAATTCACGTGTATTAAGGTATATACACATGAGTACGTGATTTTTCATCCGCGTGTACACGGACTCTAGTTTTCATAAATTTACCGTCTTCAATATATTAGAATTAGAATAATATATAACTCGGATCCGTCACACGACACAGAAGCGAGTTTTGTCGACTATGAAAATCGTTCGGATAAACACTATAATATAAATTGTATTGTATAGCTATACAATACAATAGCTATAGTGCACTTGCATTTCAACGGAATAATTCAATTAATTATATCTACTGTACTAAGAGAAATTTACCTGTAAAAAAAAAAAATGTATTCCTTTTTTAACAGTTCATAACCGAAATTTTACTTAAGTACGAAGACCATAGAACAAAAAATGTTTTTTTATGGATTTTATCAATAATACGCGAGCTATTATTGACGTATACGGTAAGTATTTATTATAATATAATTAAACCTGCAATTTTATATTTAACGTAAACAAAAAACCTCAATAATAATACATTATATGTTATATCCTCCGGCGGATACAACACCACCTAATATAAAAAAATATTATAACCTTGAGTAATTGATATTTAACAAGGAGATTGTAAATAAACAAGTATAGTTGAAGTGCAGTCCTCCCCTTCGTCACCGTCTTTCTTTTTTTCTTCCTCGACAGCGTATTGGTCTTTCTTCGTCGGGCTACATAAATTAATTAGCTACACAATGTCAGGTTTCTTTGCGAAACGTAATTTAATATAATATAAATCGCTTAGAAAATAATAATAATTATTTTATTTATATTGTTCTAGAGTTTTTGCGAAATATAATCAAAACGCGAGCGAATCTGCGAACAAAAGAAAGGCCCACACGTGCCCTACACATTCGTTAATATCCGTGCAATTCTTTCCATTGTTATTGAATAGACTTACATCATGCTCAGGTATTTATTAATTATGAATTTTTAAACCATAATAACAGTAAGAAAAAAATGATGTGTGTTCGAACACGACGAAAGATTGGAACGATTATTATTAAAATTAGTTTTTGGTTTTTTTTTTTTTTTTTTTTTTTTTTTTTTTTCCGATAACCCAGTGACTTTATACATATATTGTGATAATCATACCTAGCCATTAACGGTATTAAAACTAATAAGAGAAAAACCTGCTACATGTTTTTCGTAAGAAAAGTAAAAACATGCAATTGTTTATTATTTATTTTTAACACATTTTTCAATGGATAATAGGTATAATGGTATAGAATCACAAAAAAAAGGTATTTACATTATTATTATAGCTATACAAACTTTAAAATTAATTATTTAAGTACGTGGTAAACTTGAATAGTTAAGGGGGACATTTCCTATCATTTTGTTTTTGATAAATCAATAAATTAAATATACCTTTAGTTATTACCAATAAAGTTAACATTTATAGATTTATGACCAAACTAAACAACTACTTTTAAAACGAGTGTTGATTTTTTAGCCAGTAAACGTAGTAAAAACTTAATTTTTGTACTCTGAATTCCTTTTCATTGGATTCGATTTTGTATTTGGGAGTATGCAATTTAAAATATATATATACTATAAACATGACGTCCATTGTCCGACATACGAATATGTTATAGTTATTATAACTATTATAAATTATTATATTATAGTTACCACAGAAGGTTCTACGGAAGTGTGAGACAATGTAAGTTCTACAAGAGTGTGGTTAAACCAGCTATATAATACTGTATGGTGCGGAGCGTTAGGTGATGATAGACCAAAACTAGAACAAAGTTTAGCAGAGATAACAATACTTAGATGGATGAGTGGAATAACGAAAGAAGATAAGATGAGGAGTAAATACATAAGAAATAGCTTAGGTGTAGCTTCGATAGTGGATAAAATGAGATAAAATAGACTGAGCTAGTTTGGGCATGTCACGAGAAGAAACGAATCAAAAGTAGTAAGATTTATAATGAAAATAGACATAGGAGAAAAGAAAGGGAAAGGAAAACCAAAAACGTGGTGTTTAAATGCGATTGAGGATGATATGAGGATGGCAAGTGTACGCGAGGACGATGTAGGGGATCGAATCAAGTAGAAGTTTAAGACGAAAGTGACCAAACCCAAATAGTTGGGATAAAGGTAAAGAAGAAAAATCATAATAAAGGGTTGAAAGTTAAACTCTTTGTCGAAATTTGTTTTTATTTGTTATTTATTTTTAATCATCTAAATATGAGAAAAAACGCGATATTACTCGATTAATATTGATTTAAAATAGTAGGGTTCCGGAGCCGGTTTTCAGATTAAAAATAATTTAGTTTCCTAATGATTTGAGAAAGAACTAAGTAATGATATATTTAATTTTGTTAGCTCCTCATATATCAAATACTCACCTATTATAGCTGGCCAAAGAATGTGTAAATAAATAATATTTTATTTTTAAAACAAAACTCGATGGTTGTTTATTGTATTATACATTATACATTTATTATACGATAATAAACATTAAACGGTTTGTACGGTAATTCAAAACGGTTTTTATTCAACAAAAAACGTATAGCACGTTTAACATAATATGCATATTATGTTTTCCGTATTTTATCTTTTCTTCTTTAAATAAAAATATAGAACCACAGTTTTATTGTTTATTATGTTTATCGCTAAAATAAATAAATTAGTTGACGGAATATTTTAAGTTATTGTTTGAAATGGATTATTATTAAAATTGTAGATGTAATAAAATGTTATAATATATTATAGTTCATTTTTCAGAGGAACAGAAAAAAGGGGGAGGGGGTTTTTTTTAAACGGAAAAAATAATATATAAATTTTATCTCGTATACTATATGATAATATATGTATCAACTACTTATCTTATAAGCTCAAAAAAACCCAATCGAATAATCCAGCTATTACCCCGTAGTCTCGATATTAATATTGCAACATTTGTTGCTGTAAAATATTTTTCTAATTTCGTTTTCGGTCGATAAATAAAAATTAAAAACCGGTTTTAATTGATTGTTCGTGAATTCATAAATAATAAAATATAGATACTTAATGATTTATACCATCGTAAAACAAAGGATAAGAGGGGGGGAGATAGAGAGGATAAAAATGATATATTATTGATATTGAATTTTCAGTTTTTGTACAAATAGCACAACATTCGTGGCTCGTCATAATAAATGTAGGTACGTCATAGGAAATAATAATAGTATAATCTTAACACTAGAAACTTGCATTTATTCAAAATTTTACAATACAGAACAAACAGGAGGAATAATACATATTTTTCTCCCAAAAACTTTTGTTTCGGCCAATGTAAAACCAACCAACGAGTTAGATTTATTTGTACAATCTCATAATAAACGCAAATTTGAGCATTTTAAAGTCATAAAATCATTACGAGGTTATAATAAATATATGATTTATCGTGATAAATAAATTATTTTTTTATTTTTATATACATATATATAAGGGTTTTATTTAAATAGGAAATAGAGTTAGATAGTCGTAATTCGGTTGGAAATGTTGAAAAAAAATTCCCTCTTATTTTTGATTTTTATTTTATTATCTTTGTCTCCCTGTTCCTACGTTTAATTTTCATTCATAATAAGGAAATATATGCATTTAGTGTGTTTAGAGAAATATACGAATTTATTATAGACCTAAACTCACTCATTATCTTGATTGACTAGAAAAAATACAAGTCACGGTAAGTTTTCTAATGAATTTAAAAATATTAAAACGATACAAATCGATTTTTATGAACAATGAAATTAATTTTGCTTTACCTATGAAATACCATATGTAGCATCTAATAGGGCAATATCCCATATGCATATTTTCCCCAATATTTAAATGTCTTCTTTGACAAATATGACGAATCGATTTTCAAAATATTCCAAATCGCTTGGCACACTGCACTCGGAACTTGTGTCAAGTTTTGATATTTGTATTTAATCATTAATTGAACGTGAAAACAAGGAGACAAAGGAAATGAAATACAAATATAAACAAATTAGGGAAATTCGGACAAATTCGGGGAAGGGCTGGGGAAATTCTTCAAAAACTCGCCAAAAAAAAATCGATTAGCAAAATATTGGCATACTTTTCGAATCGATCGAACAAAGTCCACAACGGCCAACTTCACGGACACGAATATTTTAATACTATTATAATATTGATGAATGTTACTGAACATCGCCGCAGAAAGCGAGTCTTCTTCTTGTGTAAACGTCGCATAAATAAAAATCGAATAAAGAAGCGTGATTATATTATATTATAAATATCCCCGTCACCTTTTGATTATACAATACACGAATATTAAAATAATTAATTTTGTACGTAACCCACTCTCTATAATATAATAATAATATCTACGACCCATGGTAAAATAATATTATTGGCAAGCGTATATATATATATACCATCATTATATATTCGTCGTCATCGCAGAAATATTTTATAATATACCATAATAGTTAAAAATTATATATTCAATTTACAGAACAAACATGTTATTTCTTAATACTTAAAAAAAAAAAATGTGCGATCCTTTTTTTATATTATATATTAGTAAACGCTTATAATATTGTAATATTATACATGCATTATTATAGACGTTCGTAAATTCGAATAGTATTAGACACAAATGGTTATTTTATTATTATTATATTTTTTTTTTTTTAAATCATCTTAACGGCTATATGATTGTACACAATAATAAACGCCCCGTACTACGGTTATGGCATTTTTTTTTTTTGTCGGTAACGTGATCCGTCCATCCATTTATTTACATTATAATATACATTTTATTCGAATTTATATGTGTGTGTACATATATATTATATTATAATATTAATATTCTGTTTGTGTGATGCGGTGACGGTATATAAACGTACATATACTATATTATAGTAGGTATGTAGTTTGTAAAACGATGTTTCCGGCGGGTCACAACAATAATATTATTATTATTACGATAACAACCATTCCGAGACAACTGAATATTATAAAAGTATAACCAAATTCACTGGGTATTGTTTGTGGAAATAAAAAAAATAAAAACGAATTTCTACACCGGTTTCGTAAAACACCACATGAAGAGACAACTTTCGGAAAAATATCGTTTTAACCGCGTAATAGTTTATATCATAATAATAGCGATAATACCATTTTGGAAATCACCAACGAGTGCAAAGAACTATAATATCGAAGCGACGAACCGGAAAAACAATATCTAATATACTGAAATGCGTCCGACTTGCAGGCTAAATTATCGATGCAGCTACAACACCGTCGATTCGATGTAAATTAATCTCTAGGCATTATTTTTAGAGAGTAAAAGAATATTATTATAGTATAGCGGACGGTTTAGCGTTATGCACTAAAAATTATTTAAAAACGATAAAAAAATAATAATGAATGGAAGAAATTTTATAAAATTATGAAATGATATTAAACACAATACGAAACAACGAAAGTAATAGCGTGTATAGTAAATTAGATAAAACTAAAAACATAATATAAGTATACTAACTGCTAGAAAACCTAATATTGAACGGACTATTGAACAGAAACATACATTTTACGGAATTATTAATTTTTTTATGATTACACTGGAAAATTATAATAAATCTTTGACATACAAGTATATTCATTGGAACGGACAATTTATGGAATAATACGGTTTTGAAGACGCAATGAATGGAATTACACGGTGCTGAACAGAAATTGCTTAGAACCGAGATTTTGCGGAATTTTAAAATTCTAACAAAATATCAGTACCGCAAAAATATGAGAGTTCCAATAAAAGTCTTTCTATCTAATATATTTCCATTAAATAAAATACCGCTACATAATATTCCGATAACAATTTTTTTCCAAACATATGTTTATTTGATTCTTTAAAACGTCTGTTCTATGTACAATGATTCCAATAAAATACGACACCACTATTGAACAAGTACAAAACTATTGCTATACCTTAGTATAAGATAAAATAATAGAGGATATCTGCAATTTAAACACGATAAGAAGGAATGCACGAGTTAAAGAGGTTTCGTCAAATAAAAATGGCATTTGTTAACCGTCAACAGCGTTGAAATCAACATCACTAGGAAACATTTAAAATGCACAAGTGTCACTACACTATGCCATTATACTATGCTTCTGATTTCACGGTATAATCGAGTATAACAAATGAAAAAGTTTTAAAAAGAATTAAGAGAAAAAGACAAATTTAACAAATTGTGTAAATATAAAAAAAAATAAAAGGAATAATATAATAAGTCACATAAATACAATGTGATAGTTAAAGTGAATTACTGAAGGTTACGCAAAAGGTAAAATTAAAGGGGGAAGACCGAGGAGAGTATATTATATTTAAGTTTTATACCGAAAATTCTTAAAGACGAAGACATGTAGAAACAACTTAATGAAAAGTATTCGAGAATTAAAGGACTTGAGTTTTGACGGGAAAACGTGCAGAGCTCCAGCCAATCTATGAAAAAATATCGATTATACCAGAATAATGATAATAATATTAAAAAAATACCTGATACAGTAATCGTGTCTAGTATTTTACGTCGAGAATAATAATATAATACAATAATGAATTAATAATGTGTAACGAAAATGAATTCACTCACGTGATTTTCCTTCATGGTGTCCAGACTGATGTTGTACAGTACATTTCTGAAATAAAAATAAATAATAAAAAAAAAACTTTCAATCAATTTCAACACACGCAGCCATTGTTCGCAGTGGCAATGTGACACGGCAAAAAAAAAATAGAATAATAAAATGAAATCACGACAAATCGCATTACATTAATTATTGAATTGTGTATAGTTACACCTGGGTTTTTCAAATGCGGTTTACGTAATTTAATAATTAAACAATTAAAATAAATGATAATAATAATAATAATAATAATAAAATAAAAAAAACGGTTAACGTCCGCGTTTTGCATAGTTCAAATATTTAATCAATTTGAGCGTATAATATTTCTGGTATTACGTGAAAATTACTTCCGGTTTTTGGACCGTTCAAAAACTAATTGAATTCGCATAATTATGCAATAGCAATAATAATATTTAGCTAATTTTCGTATACAATTTTTCACGACACCAAAATTCAAATTGATCGAGATAATCACGTTTAACGTTTAATATATCACGCGGTTATCTTAGTTAAAAATTAAAATTTCGAAAAATTGAAATCGTTTTAAATGAAAAATGTTTAACAATCATAATATTATAATACAATACGATATATTAACTGTTCTATACAGAATTTATAATTGGATTATGATTTATCTCGTATATTATAATATGCGAGGCCTTCTTCGTCAAAAATAAATCACTAATATTACATCACAATTAAAATTGTATATTTATTTTAACGAACATCTGTTTTTTTTTTTATGATTAATGATCACGATATAGTAGAACATTGCATATATACATATTAAAATATTAAATAATAATAAATATATTATTATCACGATGTGTTATGATTTTTAATTTTTTTTTACACGTGGAGAGCTGCTGCACTACTAACATAATTCTGCATTTCTTATAAATTATCACTTATAAAACACATAAAAACCAATAAAATACACTATACACTACAGTTGATTATTATTGCAAATTGTAATACATACAGGAGTAGAATTGTTGTAATTAATTGCCGAACCGAGTGTTTGAAGAGCGATTTAAGGATTTTGACGGAGAATGAGATTTTCAGAGATGAACGGGGTAAAAATGACCGAAAATCACGTTTGAAAAAAAAAAACGATTGTTAAAACAGAATTTAGCGACAAACGCGAATTATGTACCGGCATAAAATCGACAATGAAACAAGATCGGGATATAATAACATTATATAAATATTGACATTTTCCAAGGAGTTACCGCGCGCGGCGGCGATTTTTTAACCGTGTGAAAATTTCGAAAATTCGTAAGAACACCCTACGTATAGAGAACGATTAGAATATAGTAATAAAAATGATTATTATATCCGCCTCATGTGTTGGTTTACGCGTGTACCCCGGTGTTGTATTTCCTGCATACGTTTGCGTTTTCTTCGGCGACTTGGGAATCGACTTGTGAAATAATTATCGAAACTTAATAGGAAAACGGTCGATGAAAAAAGTGTAACCGCGAACGAACACACAATACTCGTGTAAGTCTAAAAGGTTCCTGTATAACATTATAATATTACGGTTCATAGAGCATGTATCCTGTCTTCGAGCCGAGTCATCGTTAAAAAATATTATGTTATGGTATTCTTTGTTTACGACACGTTTTATACGGAGACTTATCGACCGGGAATCCCCTAGGATTACCTATAAGCATAGTGCTGTTGTTTTTTTATTATTATTTTTTTTTTTTTATTAGAATTATATTCGGCGGTGTGAGCAGCGTACGGGGTAAAAAATAACACATCGTTGTTTATACCTGGATCCGATGAGTGCTGTCGTTTGATCCTGAAGGAGTATTTTGAAATAGTCCGTGGCCGTGGTGTTTCCGTAAAATATCTGTTCGGTATTAAGTCCTCCTGAAAAAGAAATAAAAACAAAACTTGTTAACAGGATAATAATAATAACAACAACAATAATACATCATCAATATTATAACACGATAAGTACCGAACACACAATGTGATAACAATATAAACTTATTTCGCGTGTTTATTATAATTTATATATAGGTATATAGATTATTTTTAAATAAACGATAACCTTATCGAATGGCCAATCGAATATAAGTACGAGTTCACTGCGCCATTCGTATATCCAGTCCAAAATCAATTTACGTGTAAAAATTCTTGGACATTTTATGAATGACGACTATTTTAAATTGTAATTTTATTTGGTACATTTCCCTGGCCTCCTACTTTAGTATTTTTAAACAACCTTTTCATCACTCGTTTATAGCTGGTTTGTATTATTTTATAACGTTATTAGTTTCACTTGTAGGGAGATTGCATTATTCATCATAACAAATTATTAAATATATGTACTGCGTACACTATATTAACAGAATATACTAATTGACATACTAGATAGGTGTTTTACAAACAAAAATATTATTTAAAAAAAAAAAACCAAGACATTTCTCACAAAAAATAACAATAATAATGTGTGAAATTAAACAAATAAAATCATATAGTATTGATTTTTTTTAAGTCCTATATTAGTCAATATTAGTATGTATAATATTTTTGTTATCTATATCTAAAGAAGAGGTATGCAAATAATAGATACTCATTAGGGAATCATAATCGTAGTACAAGGTAATAACACTGTCAAACGATGACTATTTTTATAATTTCTCTCAGTTTTATTCTAAGTTTACTAGGATTACAAACAAAAAGTAAATATTAACAGAAATTTTTCATAAAAAATTGTTGAACACTCTAAATACAGGATGGTTCACTCAACTGAAAATACTCATCTTGGAAAAAACCTATTCATTTTTTTCGTTTTTTTTTTTTCTTAAATTTAAGAAAAAGGCATCTCAATAATGTTATAATAATAGTTAGAACAATTTAAGTTAGGCGGAGGTGCCAGGTAAATGGATCTACATTTCTCGCTACACTCAGAATCTAAAATAATTAATGTTTAATAATTGTAAATCAAAAAAATTATTATTTTTTTATGTATTTGGTACACATCAATATTGTAATAATAATTTGTTTGAGTATCGACCATATAAATAATTTGTTAGATATTTATTACAATTTACTAATCAATTATTGTTTTGTTTTTAATGATGAAATAATAAATTATTATTTATTAATTTTCAGGTTTGACTAAGAGACGTATGCACGTATTAATAGGTGGTGATTTGAAACATGAAAGGCATTACAAAGCCTATTACAGGCGAATTGATAATAACTGGGGAAAGTCTGGACATGAAGAACAAATCAATACCGATAAAAAGGAAAACGGCGGTCCAATTCGAATATTTATTTTATACAGTTAAAAAAATAAAATTATTTTATTTAATTATATTTATCATACATTGAAAAATCCATATTATTTGATTTGATTTAATTTATTTTACACATATTATAATTATTTTATTTTATTTTTTTTTTGCAAATAATAAAACGTGTTTTACTACACGGTGAGCTTTAGAAAAAAAAAATATATATGTTTATGTGCAAGCAATCTCTACAAACGAAACTAATAACGTTTACAAAACAATACAAACGAGTGGTGAAAAGGTTGTTTTAAAATACTAAAGTGGGGGAGGAGGGACCAAGGAAATATACCTAATTTTATTTATAATACACTGATTTTCATTCGAACAACTGCCGCCGCACATTTACCAATAATTCTCCTCCTATGGATTATAATAATTTTGTTATTGTATTATAGTTATTATGCAATATAACGCCAAACCTTGAGACTACACTGCACGTAGGCCCGTATGTTATTAAGTACCTATAATATTTACCGAAACGACACCGCAATTATTTTTACGTTGACAATAAATTTATGTACACGTATAATATTATTATAAAACCCTGGGTAAGATCACAAAACGGTTATGTATGGAAAAAAACCAATGGCGTGCCCGAGAATATTCATTGGTAACGAATTCAGTAAATATACTAACCACTATTCGTAAATAAAATTTAGATTTTTCTTTTGATATTATATAGGTACACCTAACCTGATGAAGAGAATTGAAAAACCGGATCTATAAAAGGTAACTTTTATTCAGTAAATCCAGCTTCTTTTCTTCTTCTTGTAACTCAGCTGTAATATTTCAAGATAAAATTATCAAATATATATACATATTTGTTGTATTTTTAAGCCAGTGAGGGTAGGAGGATATAAATCCTACCATTCTCATTCACAGAAATGTACGCCACTGGAAAATATTTGTCACCACACGAGTATAAAATACAAATAATATTACACCTAATGTAGTGATTTACATACTGAGCGAATCGAAGAATGAATTTGTTTTAAAACGATATGTATTTTTTGTTTTATCTGTAAACGACCTTTCTACTAGAAATCTAACTCGAATCAAAAACTTCGTAAGAATTTTCTTGTGAAATTTTTGATCAGATTTTTGCATTGAAGCGGTCATTCTTCCCCCCTGTCCTGACAGTTTTCTTAATAAACGGGATTAAACTGGCAATTGTATTATTTTTCTTAATTCTGTGTTACTTTGGTAACAAAGAGAAAAATATGATTAATAATACTCAGCTCGATTTTTTTAGCAATGGTTTATCGCCGCGTACAGATATACATTAAGTTACTCTATATTATGTTTACATTCCCTTCCCGTTCTTTTTCTAAAACAGTAGTAGCACACCCATCAGCAGTATCGGCCTTTCTTTTGTTTTTAAAATACTTATATAGTTTTTTCTTCTTCCAGAAATGCTACACACTTAAAGTGTGCGTAATGTATTATTAAAATCGGACGATATATTATTATATTATCTGTGGACGAACCTTGACGCGTTCACAATGGTGGCGAACAAGGCTAAATCGTGCTTCACTATATTTACAAGTACCTATACAGGTATCAAATAATTTATAGATGGTAGCAGTGAAAAAAAAACAACCGTTCTCCCTGATTATTTATTATTTATTTAAGTTTTAAACAGGCCAGGCCCAATTACATGAAATTATACATTGTTTTTGTTTTTAAGTGGCGGACCTCAAATAATAATAATATGTAATAGGCATACAGAATGAGGAGTTAGTAGTTCAAAAATCGGAAGAGAGAAAAACAAATGTCCGTTATTCTTCGATATTATTTCGTAATGTCGGTGATACGTATATATGTATAATATATTCGTTTTTAATATTGGTGACACTTTCACATTAGACGCAACAGTCAGCGTAATAGATATTTTACTCTCGCCGGTTCAGTGAAACGGACGTGTCGATAATTTAAATTCGGGACGTAATGCCGATAAATTAAAAAACGATACATTCATTACATTATATTCGTAATAACTATATAGACAAAAATTGACTTATGTAAAATTTGCGGGTAAAACGCTAAACAACTAGTCACTAGACATTAAATTTCGATCTTGAAAATAATAATACGCGTACACTTAGTATTGCACGCGGTTCGTTATTTGCGGCGGCGCAGGTTTCAAAAATCAATATTATCAAATATCAAATGACATTATCACTATATTATTATCACTAAAGCTACAACAATATGCATATAATAATATAGAGCGTATTATAATAACATAATATTATTATCATATTTCTCGCGTTTTCGGATTACATTCAATAATAATTTACTAAATGAGTCACCGCGGCGATACAATAATACTTTACGAGGACTATTATTATGAATTGGTATCAATAACCGTACTATTATGAGTATACCGATAAACTATAGACAAAAAAAAATATGATATTACCGTGATATAATAAATTGTAGTCAACAATCCACATGATATCGCGTTTATAATATTTACAAAAAATATATAATACTCTTACTAAAAAGACTAAAATATTTCCGTCGTGATATTTTCGAACGAAACGTATACAAATATATGGTAATATTATTATGAATATTAACAATTTGCACGATATACCCGCATATTAGTTGCATAATAACAATTATTGCAAATAATACGTATAATATTATACACAGTAATATATGTACTCACGTTCTGCAGTATACGAGTGTAATAATATGCATTCTTCAATAATTATCTACACACAATCGACAACAATAATAAAAATATATACTTGAAGTGCGCCGCGATATATATATATATATATATGTATGTGGTTTTTTCTCTTTTCTTTAAATGGGCTAAACGAATTAAACACTATACCGTTGTTTTCGCACGAGAAATGCACGTATTATTGTGCGGTACGTATTTTACACGAGTAGGTATATTATCTCGTCTCAAATTTAAATAACTACAGTTTATAACATACTATACACGAGCAATACGACTAATATATTATGAGGTTATTTCAAACGATATTCCGATATTATACGCACACACATTTTATTTCACCGAACGTGTACAAAAAAAAAAAATCCTTGGCGTATACACAATTATTATCATGTATCGTATTATCACAATATTTTGTTTCAATCGTATTAGTCAAATATACATTCAAATAAACTGACGTTTTATTAAGCGTTTTTTTTTTTTTCGAAATATTTTAGTACATAACTAATCTGGTCGGCTACTATATTACCTTAGGCGAAACTAGAAATATTCTGATTGGGTCAAGTCGAAGTGCATCAAAATCGTCCACCGCAAAAAAAGAATAAAAAAAGAAGTTCCAGGTATTAGTCCACTACAAATGAATGTAGACCTACTTTTTTTAAAAATATCAACTGCGGGTTACGTATGCATAAAAATAAAAAGTTAACAAATTTTAAATACAAACTGTTAACAAAAGTCGACAATTAAAATATAGTACAGAGTCGCGAGTGTTTGAACTGTATTTAATTACGTCGTCGAATTCAACATTATCAGACATTGTTTCGTAAGCGTCACCATAAAAATCGTCATGACAACGAATACCTGTGTTCTGTTTTAACGCTGTACGAAAATTTTTGACTTGTACGATTCAAGGATTTCAAAGTACTTTACTTACTTTCACTATTAATATTGAAGAATAGGATACATTCCATTCTAAGGATACTAATAGGGATGTCATCAGTCGACAATAAATTAGAACCCAAAGCCCAACCTGTGATTTCATCTAGGACTATTTTATGTATCATGATATGAAAATCATGTTCGAATATAGAAATAGTAGTGCAGGTGGAACGATTTGCGGGGCCCGGTGCAAATTTATTTATTTTTTTATCGCAGGGGTCTCGATATTTAACTAGATGAGAAGTAGACTGGCATTTAGAATCCCTTTGAATATATTTGTGTGTATAGTAATAACATGAATTAATGGCTCTTGCCCGTATGGTTTTCGCACCCTCCGCCGGCTCTGAGGAACAGATACATATTATAACGTAGAATGTATAGGTTACTTTGCAACGTAATATAATATACAGGTAGGTGTCGTAAGTCAAGCGGGATAAAGTCTCGATTCAGCGAACACACTAAGATCACATCACACAATATAATATAATGTAACGGTTGAAAAAAAAAATGTTCCAGTCGATTGGTTTGAATTAAAAAGAAACGTTATAAAATAGTATACAGGTAACTAATAAGAACTTTAATTGCACTATATACGCGTAATTTGTCTAATAAATTATAGCGAGAAATAGAATGAGAATCTCGCGAATATTATAGGTGTATAAGTAATAAAAAATAATTAAGAACCTGTTATGACATTTATGCATTATATACAGTTCACTGCAATATACTGCAGCTATACGCAGCAGTCGATATCTCTCCGGCTATATAACTTTATAAGTCTAAAATAAATGTACAATAGGACCACAACATATGCATATATCAGTAAGTAATTAATTAATTAATTAAGTAAGTAATAAAGTAAGTAAGGAAGTAAGCAAATAAATATACGTTCAATGTAAAACATATTATACGATATTATATTATGTCACATAGATGTATATTTTTAATACTTTTTTTTTATTTTATTAACACTCGAGATAATTATAATATAAGGTGTAATCGTATGCTACAGTTACACACCACTTCACGTTACAACAGTTTTGTTGTTTGAATGTGTATGGATTATATTGTTATAATATTATGTACAAAAAAACTTTTTTTTTAGCCTAAACGTTTATCGAGCATAAATCAAAAAATTATTATTATTCGAATATTCTATAAAATATTATAATTAACAGAGTTGTAGGTGAGTACTTGTTTTAATAATATAAGTAAGTATTAGTATATGTATAATAATTATTATACGCACTCACATAGTACACAAACACACATATTATTATATCCATGCATACACGAGTGTATATAATTTATATAATAATAAAAAAAACCGTAAAGTAACAAAAGAAAATCAAATTACAACTGATCGGTTTTTATTATTATTTTTTTTTTTTTTAACTCCGCCTTCGTAATATTTTCTTACAAAACTACCACTGGACGTAATATAGGGCCGATAAACATCGAGATCAAAAAACTTCTAGTCAGGACGACTTTAGTAAGATTTTAATAACCCGTCAACCCGTCATACGTAGTGTAGATATACATATAAAATGATCGTTGGAGATAAATACAACGAAAATAACGTTGAATTAATGAACAGAGAAAATGAAGTAATTTGTCATTCTGCCCCGAAACTGCGGTGGCCACTGAGACAACCCCACGAAATTTTCGTTATTTTTTATAACAGTTAGTTATTCGTGATGTCTTTGGCCCCGTTTAGATAATTTTGTTCGTAACTAGAACGACATTAATATATTATATATATTTATATTTTTTTTTTCCTTTACTCGTTACAACAATCGAATAAAATAACATTTATCTACAATAAAAATTCTATGCGTATTGCGCGCTATACATTCAAATTCTTGAAATACTCTCGTCGATACAGCACACGGTATTAAGATGACATTATAAAATCATTGGTATACAAATATGTTCATGGAACGGTTTGTTACGAAAAAAAAATAACAATAATATGTAAACCGTTCTAAAAAATTTTAAAAAGACCATTTAAAAAGATTTTCTTATTAAAAATTATATAATATTTTGAGAATAAAACACGATATTATAGAATTATCGAAAACGATGAGTTTTCTTTTAATTGCGATGTGTAATGCTATAATGGTAGGTGTATATAATTCCGGTAAGTATAAATATTTTACAACGAATGATTTTAATATAATAATAATAATAAATGTACGCTTATAAACTTAAAATTTGTGAAGAATACAGAGTAATCAATCCTCACGCTCGTTATTTCGGAAAGTATAAACTTTATTAAGAATAATTTTTTTCGGACAATTTAAGTAACAAGCAGCTCTAAAATGATACATTTTCGGTTACCCTTTTTTTGAGGGGTGAAAACCCTACTCACTTTTGGTTTTCAAGTAGCAACCTATATTAAGAATTTCACAAACAGATGAAGTTTTAGTAGTGAAATTTTGAATTTCCGCCGACGACATTTTTTAAGACGACACGTTACAATTCGGGCAGAGGAATTCACACGAATATCTACGAATAGTCAACGGTTAAACGGAAATTACAATTATCAACACCAAAATGTATTTTCAACAATAAAAATTAATTTAAAAAATATATAAGTTACTATTTGAAAATCAAAAGTATAGTAGTAATTTACCCCAAAAATAAAGGTTACAAAAAAAAAAATACTAATTCCTAAAAAGTTAATACTTTCCGTGATAACGAGTGTCTCGTCGAGGATTCAGATCACTCTGTATAGTAATTAACAGGTATTTTGGAATTCGAAGTGGCTTTTGGGCGAGTATAACATATAGAAATTTCACTTTCTGCTCGGATTAGAAGAAGAAAAATAATTGTATATATAAAATAATCAGGAGCGTGTACGATCGCGAAACTATAACGTATACGACATACGTACACACTGCAGGTCCGCAGGTACCTATATGCCGTTGGAAAGTGCGTATACTACACTCGGTCGCACTTGGAATGAGACCAAAAAGAAAAATAATATTAATTATCATTATAATAAAAACTTGTTATTATTACTATGTTCGTATATAATATGGTACACGAGAGAAAAAAATTACGGTACATAATATCATAATACGCGAGAGTGTAACAACCATAATAATACATAATATACCTATGTAGGTACTATAATCTAATCCGCGATACAAAGATTTGAGAGAGGGGCGAGAATATCCCATTATATACGTGCGTATGTTCATATACGATTCGTGTATTAGAAATTATTGTAATATACGGTGTATACCGATAAGAAATATAGATTTTTTTTGTTGATTTTTTCAATTTTACGCTTATAATTTACGAACTCCGGAAATATTGTAATCTCGTCTCGCTGCAGTATCATAATACACTCTCGTACGTACGCATACGTTTATGCATATGAATAAATTGAAAATAAAGTCGTATTTATTTCGTTTGCTTACATAGCAGCAGCAGCAGTCAATGGGACGTCCCACAGGCAAACCGGTAATAGCAACGTTGAAAAAAAAATATAAATAATAAATAATAACTGTATACAAGATATTATATAGCTACAAGGAGAATACAGCGGCAGTATTTTTTATTATTATTATTTTTTTTAATAATAATTCCAATTCTCCGTATATAGCGTTTCCGCTGCAGCAATAATATTCCGCACGCCGGAATTAAATTATTATGTCGTAATGGTCATACCAAAGTTTCGCAGTGCGTTACATTATAACTACAAGACGATTGATTTGTATTACGATCCGCAGCGATTATTATTATATCTATTATACGAAGAATTCGGACAATTTTTTTTTTTTTTTTTTTTTTGTTTCAGTTTTGTTACAACACGATTATGTAAAAACGTTAAACGATTGGGGGCTTCGTTTTAGTTTCTCAATAGGGATACGAGTATTTGAATCGTGCCAATTTTTTCTCCTCCGGGTATTTATAATAAATCTTATTTATTTTGCGAAAATTCAAAAAAAAAACATCGATCACTTCTCTCACTTGTATTTCCACTTTACATTTTAATATTAAAATGCTATAAAGAAATATGTTTGCTAAAAAAAATTAAGAAACTAGGTTTCAATATCATGTGCATTTATTCACTGTTAATTTGTCGACATTATAATTACCATGATACCATGATAGTACCTTCCTTAATCGTAAACCAAGGTAACAATTAACTGTGGTAATAATGTTGTCCATGTCTTACTCTAATATCTCAAAAGGTCGGATCCCGGTAAAGGCAGTCATTGGTAATAGTTTATCGGTATTTTATCAAAGACAGCGCAATTATATAACATTTTATGCGGGCCAAAACTACGTTAATAAAAAAATAGGACTGCCAATTATAGTCTAAATCCCTGAAATGATGCCCTTGTCGACGATCCAATTTACGTCTCAGAATGATCCCCCGTATTTTAATAACGACTTTTGATCCGGTGCCTATGTCACGCTCTTTATCAAATCGGAGATTCGAAAAGAGTAATTTTCCTAAAAATGTCGATAGTATTACGCTATGTATTGGATTTGCCATATATGTATTAAACAATTATTAGACCGGAGGGGTAGGAAAGGGATGATATCGTCTAAAAATGGATATGAAATTTATTACCCCCTCCCCTTCTGCTACGATCTTGATTTTAAACTTATCATAAAACGATACATCCGATATTATATGATTATACATTATACAACTATGTTCGGTAAATATATTGTTTTTTTATTTCGAAATGAGAGGGAACCGGTTGAAAATCAAAGTCCACTTAAGATAATAATATAATAAGGGGTAAACATTTGAAAACGTCGCAGTATTATGCTTAAACAATTGCATAATGGTCGAAAAGAAAATATCAAACGTAATACTGAAATCTTGCGAGAGATATCACGTTGGACGGTGACAGAAAAAGATCACCCTGTATAGTGTATAATGTCATAATAGATTATGAAAACGCATTATTCCGGGTTGTTGGGTAACATAATATAGTTGACGGCATTTTTATCGCGCGTGCACCGAAACCTGCTGCACACACGGTCAGGTGGTCGTCCCGTCGAAGGCATGACCAATTTATCATTAATTATATTAGGCGTATAATACAATACGTATTATATATACTGCGGCATTACATTTTATTATTATTAATTAATTACCGGGCATTGCGGATAATTGATATCACATTTGTTACGGCCGCGCGGGTCTTTTCGGGGATAAAATACGAGAGTATAATAATAATAGCGTGGTTGATTGAAGAAAAAAAAAACCTCAAGACGCGATGACCTTTTCGGGACACCGATCGCATTATACGTACACCGAGTATCCGTACGGAAAGCGTTTACGCTCGCGCGTGCGTTTGTGACTATTAATTTAAACGCACACGAAAGGCGAATGCGGGTCAACGCGGCGTACATAATATAATATAACAAGAGTTGATTGAAGCCAACAACTGCGAAACCGGCCCGGACGGCGGCAGTGGCGTCGATGATGTCCTCTCTCTTCGTACAATATAATAACATTATGTGTAGATAAGCACGATAATATTATTATTTTTGTATTTGTCGTAACATTTCCTAACGCGTTCGCGACTATCGACGTCTCCGTCTGCCCGCGGTGATAGTTAAGCGCGATGGTCGCTGTATAGCCGTTATCACCAGAGTTATACTAAACTCGTCGCCGTGTTAAACGTACATAAAACAACAATTCAGAAGGTACCTATAATCTATCCAGTAGTATGCCAATGCTATCACACTATCACGATAGATACAATCATACCTCCATGATAGTTTTAATTTTATTGAGATAACGATACTAACTATCACGTAATACTACCGTGGTGCGTACAACAGGATTTATCATCGGGGTGAGAGTGAGGGGATTCGGGTAGTGTTTGGGATTTTGCATGTTCTAGGAGATTTAGGGGTTTACAACCTTCTTACCTTACCTATAACTATAGCTAAAAAAAAAAAAGCAATGGAAGGGTTACAACACCCAAAAACCTCTCCCCTGCCTAAGCCACTAATAGGCTAACTCAACTAGTCCGGACAATATCTATAACAATATACCTTTTAATGCTATATACTCAAAGCTATCTATTTAAGTAATCCTAAATGATTATTTAGAAAATACAAATTAAAATTAATGAACTAAAGAAAAAATATAATATTTTTAAGATTTACCTACGCTCGGTATAAGAAGATAAAACAAATAAAAGCTTATTGAGATCTCGTAAAAATTACTGCTCTGCTGGGTCTCGATATTTTCCAAGCTGGTCCTGACTATACTGCTATTATCACGCAGATGCTATCACGTCTAAGATCACGGTGTGATCACATAACGATAGTGATTGTAAATTATTGCAAAAGATGTTTTACTTTTGCGATAGCAACTATCACGTTCAACTATCATCGTGTGACCGCAACTTAATACACGAGTACCTATAATAATAAAGGATATTAAAAATATAGAAGGATATACTAAAAATAAGTAGAAAAAGAAGCCGGTTTTATTACAAAATATTATTATGCAGGTATATTAGATGTATTTTATATAAAAGAGAAAATTGCGGCGAAATCGATTATTTTCTATAATAGCTCACTGTAGTACACATATTATATACTCGTAGACGGGCGGGCGTCTCGAAATCGGGGCAATATTTTAAAACAATTTCGATGCAATTAAACAGGATTTCGAATCATATACTAGTATGTATATCCTCGCACTCCTTTTCAATTTGTATTTATTATTATTATTATTTTTTTTTTTTTTGCAAGTGTTTTTACATCATATCATTATAATAAACGTAATTTACAAAATACAGAAAATTAAGAAATACATTATACATATTATGTGGAATAATATTATAGGTAATAATATAGTCTAAGACATTTATTCGAACTTTATTCCACTTTATATATATAAGACATATTTAAGTTGAAACCACCAACATATTACAACAATCTCTTTATCGTTTTACATAATATTATGTACATAATCTGATTTTTTTTTTTTTTTTTAATTCCTTTTTTGGTAGATTTAGATTATTATTATTATTTGTTTTTTTTAAAAAAAAAAAAAAACATCAATTTTATTGGCACGCAATGTACAAACGACGGTACGGTTAACGAAATATACCTATTAAGAGAGACAAAGAGAGGGGAGATTACTTATCGTATATTATAAATTAGCATAAGTTCCGAGTTTCGAGAAAATTATAGACGCCCTAAGGACTGATTTTCTGATTATTTATAATGCTCTGGATATGTGCAGTATTATTATTTCGTATGTTTGTAATATATATCGTAAAACCTGTTTTTTTTTTACATTTTTTTATTGAGTTAGGTTAGACGATCGAAATAAATTAATATTTAATATTATATTATAATAACTATATAGACGTATAATATTGAGATGTATTGTTCTATATCGAATAGTGCAATATCACCAGTTCAAGTAACCTAATTGTCTGGATAAATAAAGAAGTTGATTAAAATAAAATACAAAACAAATATTGTGCTCTATAAAATAAAATGTGCTATTAGCAAAATTCGGTATGTTTACACGCGTTTAATCAATAATTCACTGTTATCTTTGAAAAATGTTTTAAAAAAGCTTATTTCGTAATAGATAATATTATATAGCTTAATAGTACAATATACTAATTAGAACGGAATACTAACCATTATTCATGCAACACAATGATTGATTTGAAAAAAATATATATGTAATACATATTAAATAGAGGATAAGTAAAGGTTAAAAAATTGCAGTTTAAGTCGCAAATTCAAATATGTATAGTTATATACATAACATTGTATAGTTGTATGTATGTATATGTATGTATTTATTTTAGTTAAAATATTTAAAAAAAACATACCAAAATTAAATTATCCCGGAAAAAATGGTAATGGTTGTATTAGCGTTATTTGAAGGACACACAAAAAAAAACATTTAGCGATTCATTGTTTGTTTGTTTATCCTCATCGTAATAATATTAATTATATATTGTGTATTTTAATCAATTTTGTCAACAGTGGCGTCACAGTCATCATATTATGCTAATCCAGCGTGATGCTGATGACCTTCGCGGTAGTCTTTTCTGGTCGTTCTATACGTATACTATCTATCCAGTAGCCTGTTATACGATGATATTTCAAAATTAATTTTAAACTAATTATATTATACTGTATTTTCACAACAAAACAAAATATTTCGCTCTTCCTAGGTCTGTCGAATTCATAGATGTATATTGTATAACAATATTATAAATAAGTCCCATAAGAAATATGTAGTTTGACATGCAGCTATATATTATGAGAGGTGGGGTGAATTTAACCCTCGTACACATAATAAAAGAAATAAATTATAGAACATAACCTCAAATATTGTTTCATCTAGGGCTTTAGTTCGAAACTTAATGGAAAAAAATCATCGATTTGTAATTTAAAAACAATTTGGGGTAGGTTGGAACGCAATAATCCTCTGCGTGTTATAAAAATAGTATTACTTCTTTTCTCCTTTATACTCCTTTTTTAAGGATTTAGAATTCACTCCTTTTATAAGTAAAAAGTATTAATTTGTGGTTATCTCCATTAAATAAAAACTAAATTCAGTGAATTATCAATTTTAATATATCTTGAATCTTTATGACCTGTTTTGATAACGCACAAAAACTATCAAATAATAAAATAATAAAGTAAAAACAAAATTATTAATACAAAACTATCACTTTTAAAATATTATCATGCTATTGAACATGGAATAAAAAGCATATTACTAAATATTTTCTTTCAAAAAGTAATAAAATTGTTATCTCATTTTAAAATGCAGTTTTTATATTTTTATATGCTCAGTTCATTTATATTAGGTAAATGGAAATTTTACTTCTTCCACGGACTTTTGTGTTCCATTATCAAAGACGAAGAACTACCAAAGCAAGGTTTGTTATCTATAAACCTTGCTGCCAAAATCCTGACTGGCTGGCTTTTTAATATAACATTTTGGGGGGTCCCCAAAGCCCACCGTAATAATAAATTACGATCGAGTTACTTGCAGACAAAACAAACTCGACTGCAGCGAGCAGTGATATTATCGAAATGTACACTTAAAATAGGCGGCACACAAAATTAAAGAGTGTACATAATAATAAAAAGAAACCAAACCTTCATTTTTTCGTGTGTCACAACATGCCGTTTATGACAATAAATATTATACGTGTTTTTTTTTTGTCGTTATCTGTTGTACGGTTAAACCTATGAACGGCGGTTAAATATTTATCCCGAAACTCTCGGGGAAACTATCGCTGGAGATAACCGATTTTACATGGGGCCGCGGGAGGGCAACCGGTAAAACTATAATAACATAATATTATGACCCGACCCGCCCACATATTATACGCATATAAACATATCATAAATACACCGTGCACGAGAGCAATAAATATACATAAAATATTATATTCAATACGTTGTGTTCACAAAGGACAATAACCGGCATTATATTATAATAATATGATATTGACTACCACCAAACCGCGAGGGAAAATATATTATATTAGTCTCGAATCTCGGTATTATATACATAGATAAGAGGCCACCGAAAAACCGGACACCAAAACATATAAAAAACCAACCAATAAACAAGTATAGTATAAGTATTCCGTCCTAAGCCTAACCGCACGTAATATCGTGTTGCCACTGAGGTGGCGAAATAGCATGTGGTTAGGTTTAGGTCGGGACGGTTTTACTTACACGGGACGTTGCGGCCGTTCGCAGGAATTTCAGAAATCGAGAGGAAACGACATTTCTATCGAAATCATGTTTTAAAATAACGGGAGATTCCGTTACCACATGCCCCCCTCCCTCTGATTTATTTCTACAACATCCGTACTTACTTTTTTTTCAATTATTATTTGCAGAAAACGTACAGGAAAACAAAAGAAACGAAAATTCCGATTTTTAACTGAAATTAATATTTGTAATACTCGTATTGGTGATATACAATCTACGTAATATATGAGGAGAAAGTAAGTAGCATCAGGCCATAGGTAAAAAATTACTATTATTTTGTAATTTTGTTTAAAATTATCATTTAAAAATGTAATTTAAATTTTGGACGATCTAACGATAGTAGTAGCCATGATTATCAAATGATAACTGTTAAGCTTCGTAACATAAATTCAATATTTTTAAAAGTTTTTAAAGGATAGGGTGTTGTCACGAAATTGTATTGAAACTCGGGAAAAAATCTAGCATAATGCAATTTACTTTTTTAATGGCCCTCATATATGTTATTATAACTATTACAAAAAAAAAAAAAAACCAATACGTTTCGGGTATTTTGTACACCGTCGCTACAATCCTTGTGCAGAATACTGCTCACGCCACTCATGGATAAGAGCCAACTGTTGTATAGCTGGGAATTGGAGAGGTAGGATTTATACGATAATCTGATTATATTTGTATGCAAACGACAAATCTTTGCGAAAACGAAAAAAAGATTCTGAGCGAAGTTCGATTAATCACGTTTGATGAAAAATGTTATCTACTATCGTATACCTACATTTTCAATTTTGAATTAAAGATTCGTCAAAAGCGGGGAACATAGTTTTAAAAACAGTTTACCTCATTTGTCCATTGGCATCATTGACCCGATTACAAAAAAAAGATAAAAAAAAAAAAAAGAGAGAGAAAGGATAATAATATAATATATGCCCCAACACGGTGAGTACACCTGCGATTGTGAGATTCGAGGAGTAATAATAATAATAATATTGTAATAACAACGCCGATGACATTGACCGTTCACTTTTTTTTTTTACTTTTTACGTCATAATCGGCGAGACAGTTGGTGGGCGGGACAGTTACGATATCATAGTACATAGGTTGGGTGCACGCGATTTCGGCATGTTTTAAAATCCACCGCCGCCGGACCCAGGCAGAGAGTGTAATAATATTAAATATAGAAACTCTGACAGAAACCGTTTACAACGAATTCGGTTAACATAAAATAATATTATATACACACCCGAGAACTCTGACAAGTGAATCCGAATAATCCGAATTGGTGCGACCCGTGTCATCGGCACATTCGATGTGAATAATAATAATTACAAGGCATACAAAAAAAAAAAACCGCCGTAAAGATTCGCGTACACGTCTTAACAGCTGTATATAATCTATAAGCACGAATTTGAAGTCGATAATAATAATACGCGTACGAATACGTAAGTATATACGATGAGTTTAGTCATCCGATCCGTGCAGTACGAACGCGTGACGCATAATATCGAAATTATCATCACTTTTCCTTATTAAATTATTGTCGACCATTGATAAAATATGATTATTATTATTGTTCACTAAACATTTTCTTATCCGTGTTTGCGATAATAATAAATAATATAAACGGATCGCCAATCGTCATTGAAGAGCTTATTAATATCAGCTAGATAGAATGAAGATATCACATTTGTTGTTTATATTTCCCTGGAGAAAAATTAACCATAAACTGATAATAATACATAGCTATGGTCCGTCTATATATTTATTTTTTCAAGTATAAAAGTATCTACCATTTATCAACCTATCTTTTTATCTACCTTTATCAAAATAAAGGTTTGAATCGGACTTAATAACGATTTTCAAAACCATTTTTACTACGAATACCTATAACGACCGCGGCGGTCTTCGAATGTTTTCAATTCCGAGAGGTCTCACCGGTCAGCCTATTAAACAATGTCCACTCGTTGAAACAGATTTAATTAAAATTGTAATCACTAACCGCCGTAAGTTATATTTAACTGAGATTATGTAATTACCAAATACTTGCTTGTGTGTTTGTATTTAACGTTTATATTATTTAGGAGTTGATTAGTAATCATCTCGAATAAGTGTAAGTATATTCTAAAGAGACTGTGAGTGAATTTCCAATTAAAACTGCCTTGGTAAAATGGAAAACTAATAATAAAGATTGGTCATCAGACATTATCTATTAAACTGTGCAGATAAGAACTGTATAATCTCCGTGCGATGTTTCATTTACTCACCATATCTGACGCTGTTCTTGGCCGGCAAATTCTGTTGCCAAGCCTCGGCCAAACCGATCAAGACAAAAGCATAGGCGTGTACGACGAATTGCAGAGCGCGCCATGTTTCGCAACTCGAACGACTCCCCAGCATCTTTACGTATACTTTGCAGCGTTATTCATCTGAAACTATAAAAACACAGTGCTTTAGTATAAAATTGGGTGGGAAAAAAAGTAGTTTAAATCGCAATTCACACTTCAAAACACCTAATAAAATTATATACGGTTAAATTTTCTGGAACCACTACCAACCGGGAAAAATACAAAAATGTATTGCATCATTCCCCCAACCATTCCTCCATTCGTTTCACATGAAAAAAATATGCGTAATGCGCAGCACATGTATAATTACAATATTATACAAACAATCAAACCTGTATTATAATAATATATAGGTGCAGTGTGTTTATTAATTTATTATACCCGGGAGTTTATTATATATTATATAAAATATTCAAATAATATATCATTTTTGCAATAAATGTATCGTATAATTCAGTAGCTCACGGGTATATAATATTATTATAGATTGAGTTTCAAGATTCTGGACCATCAACCGAGTCGCTTAAAACGATTATTGTTCGAAAAGAACAAAAGTATACTGAAATATTGTAATTTTCTTACAATCTAGAACAACCCGACATCATAATGTCAACTCGTGTAAAATACCGTTAAAATAAATGTTATGTGTACACGTTATTTACTCATCCCGACACCTTTCTCTTCGCTGCGCAGAACACGTTCCATAAATTATTCGCGAACGTTGCCAAATAAAACGACTTCCTAGTTCTTATACATATTATAAACACTTTTTTTTATATATACTACAATAATGAACGTGTAATTTATGTGTACTATAAACGCGTATACATCATATGATAATAGTTTCATAGTACTTTACTTAGCGAAGAAGCTACTAAGTTATACTCATAGACAAACATTTTTTGTTTTTTCCATGAAAAGCATTGATTTATCATAAAATATAATATCCATATTATAGATTATACGACTTAATACGAAGGTGATTCCACCACACTTAATATTAAGTTATCTACGATATAATGGACGATGAATTACGATGTAACGTGTGATAAATCATAGTTTTCACGGTAATACACGAAACATTTCTGTTTTTCTTTCCGAGTACCCTTTTTTTGTTTATCAGACGTTATCTGATTTTCAAGCAATACACAAAGGATATATACAAGAAGCTGTCGAAATATTTGATACATGAGTCTAGTGTCTAGTAAAAACGAAGATGTGTTTTTTTTTGTCAAAAAACAATATTTTGGGTTATGTTCCGAAATATACACGTCACATCATAAAATATGGAGATTTTTTGCCCGGTTGCACTTTATTCAAATAAACTGTCTAGACTCCCCACAGTTTTTCTTAGGAAAAAAAGCGAACAATAAAATACATAGGTTGTATTTTTGATGATTTCTTGATTACTTTTTGACTAACTTATGGTGCGAAGTATATCGGGATTTTGTTTTTTTATTATTCTGTTTGTATAATGCGTGAAAGCAAAAGCCGCAATAATAATAACGTGTATTTTTTTTTTTTTTCTAGCTCATATAATAGCGCTCAATTAATGTGAAACGGAAAAGAAAAAAAAAATCAATCGTGTAATTTGTTATTTTAATTTAACTACCTATTATTTACATTAAAAAAAAAAAAAAAAACAAACAAACAAAAATGTAAATATTGTCGCGATAATTTTTTAATAATTATGTCATTATACTTTTTATTATACTAATTTTGCCGCGGGCATGTTGCAATATATATTATTTGATCGACCGCAGGCGTTCGAAATTATCGATATATAACACTAATTACATAAGAAGAGAAATAATTATTTTATTAACTAGAGTTGCTCTTGCAATTATTGAGTATTGACGAATATGTATATAACCTATATATTATACTATAATACTCCCACAGTTGATGGGAAAATATTATAAAAGAAAAAATATTTTCCAAGAACGCTTAATAATACAATTTTCTTGTAAATTTTGTGCATATTTAAAAACAGAATTTTCTTGCAAATATAAACAATAAAATGAGAGTAACTATTGTTATTGATATTTAGAAGAAAATACTAAACATATAATACCGAACGTTCATTAGACAGAAATCGTTTAAAATTGTACTAATATGTTAATTTTAGATCCCAAAGAGTATAACAAAGAATTGGTTATTACAATTTTACGTTTTATATGTGTAGTTTTTTCCTCTCTTAATAAAAACTTGTTTCGGTTAGTAATAATGATCCTTTTTTTTTTTATGCCACGCCTTTAAGATGCAGATTTTTTTCAGATTTAATTAAACATTTTTTTTCGAAATTCCGATTACCTTATTTATATAACATTGAGCTTTGTTATTATTTTTTCACGCACCAACTTAAAATTTTCTGCCCGGTAGTAGCTACACTTTATTTGAAAAAAAAATGTGTGTTAAAAACTGACAACAAATGTCGATACTACATTTGGTTTTATTTTTGTTGATTTCTGGGTTACCTTAATTACAATAGGGGGAAAACATGAACATCAATACAACTCCGCTTAGAATCGTTTCTTTATTGCAATGATTTATCGTCAATATCAGTATTATGAATTAAATTACACTGTATCATACACATACATTTCAAACTTCTCGCCTGCTACCACTGTATAGTCTAATGGTGCAAAGTGTACGTCTGAATTTTTACTATTATATATATGACGTCGGGGTTAACATTAAAAGTGCTTATTATTATAATTTTAAACAGCACAAACCATACACACGCGTCGAATTAATTAGGTAATGACAAAGGGAAAAAACCGTATGTTCCTGTATGCATAGTATTATTATTGATTATAATGTATACAAACAAAAAAATTTAAAAACAATTTTTAAAAAAAATTACAGGGTTATCGGTATTTATAATATACATGGATAAGTAATAGTTTTTTTCGCCTGTATATACGGCCCAAGTATTGAAGCCCATTATTCGAAGCACTATACGAACATTACTCAAGTACCTTTAATGATATATTTCTAAAACAATATAATTATTAAAAAAACGACGACACAACAGCATCTATCTCTGTCATATATACCGTCAAAAACAAAACGGGAAAAATATTTAAAAAAAACCGACTAAGCGCAAGATAACAATATTATGATATTATACTATTACAAGTATTGCTAGCTCTGCTCTTTAGTACCGTTCATCTCGAGATACCCGTATATTTTTAAAATTACAGTTTTCGTAATCTTGCACTTATTACAATGACAATGAACACAAAAAACGAAACTTTCGTATGTATAAAAAATACATATATTATATAGGACGAAAACCGCCTTCGCGTGACACTTAATAAAATACAGGACAAGTAAACAACATCGTTATATTATGTTTACGAAAAATTGATTAAAAAAAATATACCTTTTCAAAAGCTTTTACAAATAAAAGTACTTATATGAACTTCTTCAATCAGAAAAATAGATATACAGATAAAAAAAAAAAAATTGGCTTTGCATTTTAGTTATAATACTATCGATACGTAATATGTGAGGTAATATCTGTGAAATCTTAAATCACTTTCAAAGGTATAATACTCGTATTTTATAAGTTCATTTGAACGTGTATTATGAATACTATAACTTTACGGTTAAACAATAAGCAATGTATGCTTGTGATAACAAATCTAGACTAAATTATATTTGTAGTTTTAATATTTTTTGGTTAAAAATGTTCGTTTTATTTTTTCGGAAGATGTCGTTTTAAAATTGCCTATACACGACCCCTTGATAAATATACTGAGCGTAAGACGGCGACAATGACGTTCTCTTGTAAATTAAAAACTTTTAGTGGTCACTGTGTTTATAGAAAAAAAAAAAAAGCTCTTACTATCTTTCCTCGCTCATATACACACTTCCATCGGTTTCATTATACAATACAAACTCGTGTTAGCAACACAAACCGCACACAAAGCAGTATACGTACCATTATTATTATAAGCACACTCCGTCACACGTGTAAAAAAATTATTACATACGACATTCGCTCGTTCGTATCGCGTACAGTAATTCATAAACGTGACCGATGAGAATATTATATTTGGCTCGATGCCTGCCCCCGACCACGCATTACCAAAGCCTCTATAGTAACGTAACAACACCGTTGTGAACATACGCTGCCAGCTATCATTGGTCGGTTTGAATTTCGCGGTTAAAATACGCGTTAACACTGATTAAGGATAAAATGTTTGGTAATACGACGATATCCTGACTACCTCCGGGGTAACATACACAAGGTTTTTTTTCATATCCTTCCCGCTTTATCTAAACCCCTTGGGGTTTTTCGTTCAAGCGGTTTTAGGACGCCGCGACTTCCCCACGGAGAGCATCATCGGGTTCGGACCAGACACTGTTGATCGGGCGGATCAGGTTTTTGAGTCGAGCGATAAAGCAGCGTAAAACAAAATAAGTCGAACATTTATTTTTTTCAGTGTTCGGTATTATCGTTAATCGCGTATATGTTCACCGCACGTGAATCGATCTGTACCGACGAGAGCTGCGTATTCGTACACTGAGACTTTGGCTGTGTGCCCCCCGACCGCCATATAAAATATGCTGTATATGCCAAATATATTTATTCAAATATAAACGGTGCTATGCGTCCGTTGGTGAAAAAAGGAGAACGAGTAAAAAAATACGAAATCGCGAATCTCGTGCAACGTCGGGAACACTATTATAGTATAACACAATAATAATAATATTATTATTATAATTGTAGCGCGTGGGCACGTGGCTATCGACTAACACTTTCACCGGGTTGTTAAATAATTATCGTATTAACAACAATATAATTATAAGTATATTGTTTCATTATGCGTTACTACCACGTTATATTTTTTTTCTTATGACGTAACTCACAAGGATATTAAAATATTATAAACGAGGACGAAGACCCGGTACCTTCGGGGATCGAGTATCCTATGCGTAAAGTACATAATATAATGTCCGGGTGTTCCGTGGTCTTTAACCGTTAACCGCGTACGATGTTTTTGACAATCTTTGACAGGGGAGCATATTAGCGTTCTAGGACCCATTTCGGCACCGAATCGATTCGAATTTGCCGCAATGAATTTTATAGTGAGCGCAAGATAGTGACATACTATATCGCTATTATCTATTACAAATTATTGCGTATTGACTATATCGCTATTATCTATTACAAATTATTGCGTATTGGGGGCTTTGGCCATCTCTATTCGCTGAGGAGCTCGTGACAAAACCTATTCAAAAATAACCCACGATTTTTTGTGCAAAATCACGTCGAGTAGGTTATAGGAGAAAAACTATGAAAAATAAATCAAAATAATTATCCCGAGACCATCGATATTAGATCTGACAAAAATGATTTGCGAGCACTGTGTTAGCCCCTGCTGATAAACCACCATCGTATCGTAAATGTGTATATATTTTCAGTGGCGTATATTTACGGAGCTAAATTAGGAAGATATAATTATGACTTTATAGTCAACCTATTTTTACGAGTAAATTCAAATGATGTCCTTTTAGTCAAAAAATGACACAATTTAATGTGTTAGTATCTGTATACGGTTAGTATATTTAAAAAAAACCTCAGGGTTTAAATTGCCTCATTTAAAACGAAATCTATATCTATATATTTATACCACTATATAATATATAAAAGAGGTTAGACTAGTACCTAAATATACAATTGTAAATAAAGAATAAAGAATTTTATTATTAATGTTAAACACATTATTAGGAAATTTGATTTCAATGGTAATTTTAGGGCTAATAGAATTATTAATAAAGCATCTACAAAAATATATGAATTATGAAAAATTGATGTTTTTTTTTTTTTAGCCGGAATACTACACGTTATACAACACGACATAATTACCGAATTCAATATCTCCCACCTTGGCGACATCCTAAACACGCCACTACGGGATATTCAAACTATACAAAAACAATATACAACATGTATCATTACCGCACGAGTGGACGGATCGATTTCAAACGGGAAATGTTTATCCTATAATATATGGGCGCTGAAACGGATACGAGAACGCGTATACGCGACCGGGGATCGTCGTCGGTTTTCCGCGCACTTATTATAAGCGCAACGATAATACCCTCACGGGCCGTCGGGTCGCGCGAAGAAGCCCCTTAACGTCACGATAGTAACGAGTACAAGATGAGGCAGACGATATATTATTGGGTTATAACATCGACACGCCGCCGCCGTCGATACCGCGCGGTTTGGGCCGTCGAGTGTATTAAAAGTGCTGCACGAGACTTGTGGCCGGCAACGACGACGGCACGCCGGGGTATCGGGTGTCACGAAAAACGTCTAAGCTCGGAGACAGCGACCACGCGCCTGTACGATATTTTTGGAATCCTATTTAACAACGTCCCGCCGCCGTCGTAGTCGCCCGAAGCCGATGCGGCCTCCTATTATTATTATTATTATAAAACACACGTGGCGCGTTCGGCAGATGGTCGGCTCCGTCATCGTTTATAAATTATTATTGTTTTAATAAATTGCAGATACGCCGGGTTCTGACTTTACCGTCGTGATATCAGCCATCGAAAAGACACGTCAATCACGCCGTCTGTATATTATAATTTATTGTTATAACATCACGGTCTGCTGGCGGGCAACTCGACAAATTGCAATTGTTCGGGAAATCAATTCAAGAGTTTAGGAAAAAGAATATGATAATAATCGTTTACAGTCCGAAAAATAATAACAATATTTTCGGTGGTCGATGAATGCGTTCAGAATTTTGTTGCGATTTTTATCCCATTAGTAGTGCGAAAACAATTTTTTATTGTTTTCTCCGAATAGGTGTCCTTCTTTGGACTTCCGGCGTTTCTCAAATAGGTGGTTTTCAATAGAAGGGTGCGCGCGAATAACGTAGTGCTATGTAGAACTTTTTCGGATTTCGCTTTCTTATTTTCTTCTTTTTTTTTTCTTCTACGGAATAAAGAAGCGCTCAAAAGTGATCTCAATATATGTTTTAAATCTTAAAATTCCCAGAATATTCTTAGAGCACACAATCATCGCCATGTATAAACGAGGAAATCGTCGATCGGCGATACTTAAAACGTGGCATGTGCGTTACACAGCATTGAGTCTGTCGATCACAGTTAACGAGTTAACGAACACATAATAAACGTGTAGTCCAAATAATAATATTCAAAAGATTTTAGCAATACATTTTTTATTTTTATTTTTACAATATTGTACAATTTACGAACTGCTACGGTAACACGTTATTCATGCGCACCATTCAATCAATGACATTTTACCCAACACATATGAATTAACTTTTTTTTTCAAGAAATTAGCCACGTTTCGCTTTTTACAGCTGTATCGCACTAAAACGACGAATTCGTATCGAAAAACGGCGAAAAGACGAAAATCGTAAATTTCTAATTTCTAGCTGTGACCTCCTAAATACTAGTATTGTCGCGCAATTGGCAGTACAATATTATCGACTCAAACGTTATGTAAACTACAAGACGTGAGAGCCGAGAATCATTTCTTGAAAACGGCCGATGTATACGTTTTGTTAAAAATAAAAAACGCGCCAGTACGATACACGAGTGTGTATACTATGTATATTATAAGAAACGACCGAACAATTCACGTCTCTTCGTGTTTTCAAAACGCATCGTCGAGCTAGTGTATTTTTCGTTTTAAACGTACAAACAAAACGAAAGCGTGCAATTAACAAAATGCTATTTAATCGATTTTCTCGAAAACTATTTGAGTCTCGCTAATTAAAATTTACTTGCTTACGCGCATGCACACACAAACACATACGTATATTCAACCATAGGAAACATTTTGCCTAATGATCGAACAGTGCCAACTTAAATTGGTATGCGAACAGTTTTCCTTATTCAGTAATTTTATACGGTTAAAATAATACGTCCTCGTCATATGAATGGTGTTTATAATTTTAAGTTTTTGGACAATATGAATACAATATAATATAACACGTGCGGAACAGTGGCGTAATTCCAACTTTTTTTTTAAGGGGGATTGGAGGGTGCATCAACACAATTTAGAAGGCTAAGTCCATCTAAATCGTATATCAAGTCCACCAATATTAATAAAAGTCATTTGATTTTGTAGAAGGAGTAACCCCCCAGTACCCCCTCTTCCTTCGTATTTACGCCACTTGTGCGGAGGTTACCTATTCCCTAAGGGTTAACGGCATGATCTACATTTGTTATTTCAATATAATGGCGTATACCTATTCATATTGTTATAATATGTTGACACCGTAATTTCTCGTGGCGTCTCGTTATTAAAATATATAATAGACATTATAAACGGATATTATTATAATATTACATTGGTTTCAAAAATCGAAACGTATTACGTATAGGTATATAATTAATAGTAGCGCCCAAAGATTTACAGTTACCTTTGTTTGTTTACCCAAGCCAGAACAATTTTTCCGTAAAATGCCGGCCAAGAATAATTGGTTTTCGACCAATCGGGATTCCCGACTCTCGATAAATATAAATTATTTCAATCTCAATGTATAGAATTATACAACTATTCTTACAATATTTAATCCGTGCAAACTCCAGTGCAGAACCTCGGCGATCATACCACCCATATAGGGATATAAAGAGGCTCCCACAACAGTTTAGGAACCACTAAAAATCTGTTCATATTTGTAGAATATAGACGAAGAAAATTTTTAAAATATCGATTTATTTTTATCTCAAAAATTACGAAACAACAATATAATATATAGTATTTCGGGTTACGTATATATGTATATTTACGGTGCAGCAGTTGCCGCCGAGTGTTCGACATTAAAACGTAAGCATTTTGCTCGGGCACGATAGATATTTCGAAACGCGCCACATAATATTCGAGGGGTGGCCACATTTAAGTATAATATTATTTTTAAACCGACGACGGCGTCATTTATTATTATAAACAGACAAATAACACTATATATATATATATATATATATTATACGTATGTACATGCACTTCGTGATAAGTACCGCAATCACTCGAGTGACACGCAAAGGATACACGTTGATAATATTGCGTACGACGTATAGTTATCTCCTATCGTCGTGTACATACGAATATGATGATGATGATAATAATAATAATAATATATTATTATTATAATTCTGAACCGTTTCGTTCGAACAAAATCGCGAATTACCAGCGGGAAAACGCGGAACACACGCGATAATACGGACGTGAATCGTTGGGCCACTAGAGTGTTTAACACCGCCTTCGGGTCGTCCGCAGAACAAAACAAGACGGCACGCAAAGCAGGTTAGGTTGAATTAGGCGAGGTTAGGTTGTGTGTCCGTTGAGCACGCGCGTTATATACAAGCCTGAGCTGCGATCTTTCAAGTCGGCCTATTAGATAAAAGACACAAATCACCAAACGAGTGTAGAACGAGGTAATTTTGAAATGTTTAAAATTGTCGCCGACCGCCGCATACTTTCTGTTGAGCTTCTCGGCTCAATCACCGGATATCGTCGGTAAAAAACAGCTGTTTTTTGTTACTTCCGAAAAACCATTTTTTTGAACTTGTGTCGTTTTTTTTAAGTATAGTCGGTACGAATAAAAAATCCCTCGACATATTATAACGCGCGCCAAGGTCAATACGTGCTATAATACAGCCGGATTTTCACAGTACAGTTTATACGTAAGGTCTAGTCGTATATAAACCAGGTACTATTCGGTTTTCGTATTCACTATAGCACGCCTGAGCGAAGACCGGTCGCGGTGGCTCGTGCTCAACTCAGTTATAGGTTAGGTTATAAGCATATAAGGTTAGGTTCGGCCTGAATACATACTCAGGTGTGGACGCGCCTTATTGCGATTATCGGTCGTACGCGAGCGCGCGCGGATGGCGTGCGTTTAATAATATAATAACGACAGTCGACAAGTCTCGATGCACGATACGACCGCCCGAGGACAATTGGCACGGACTGGAAATCGCTATATATACGCAGCGGTGGTTGCTATATACGCAGTTGACCAATCGGAACTAGAGCGCAAAATATTGCCGAATAAAATAATGCGAGTGGATATAAATGGGTGCTGAAAAAAAAAAAAAAAAAGGATAAACGCGGACTGGGGCTTTATTGTTGTGTTTGCGGGCGCTTTGTGTCATCGTCGCGACCGCAGCCACGACTGGTATTGTCTCCGCGACGACCAAACGACTTGTCAAACCTATTTTCGGGGTCACGTCACAAGTGAAACTGACGATATTTACGACTACCATTGTCTATTTTACATTATCAACTGCAAACGATAAACACTGCTACCGATAACACGATTCATACAAGTACGAAATATTATATTATATTGAATAGCGGATGATAGGAAACTTGAAATATTCGAAAAATATTACGAGTATACATATATTGAGGAAAATATAGGTCACTAAACGAGAAATAATGAATGAAATAAGAAGATACAATGAATTATCAAACGTATATTAAGTATTATGAAGCTATATTATAGTTTGAATCGTAAAAAGCAAAAAAATAAGTTGCAGAACAAGACATGTGTGAATAGACTAATTTATTAGACTACACATAACTACAGATAAGGAAACCAAACACTATATAGACACTCACAGAGAACGACCAGTGTATACAGTAACCAACAAATTTTAAGATTGCTAGAGAGTCAGTGTTGCGGGAATGAGGAAGAAGCTGCATACGATATATTGGGAGGAGTGCAGGAAGCAGTGGGTTGTTGCGACATTTATTAAAACGACCTGTAAGTAACTCGATTGGGACACAGTCTATTGTCTGACAGAATACAGCTGTTTAGTAAAAAGCAATGCAAAAAATAAATAATACAAAAATGTCTTTTAATTTTTGCGCCTGAAATCAACTATACTATTACACTTGATTATAAACTCGCGACGTCATTTGAATCGTTCCCGAAATTGAATTATGATGCACATAATATTATGCGTCGTCGCTGTCCCTGTCGCGGAGTTCGGTTTTACAGACTGCAGTTTTCATTGTTTTTAACGCACAATGTCGATAAAAAGCGTCCTTGATGCGCGATGTGTGCAGCAGCATGCCCGCAGTGTTCATTTTCGATGTCATTTGAACTTGAAAATGTTCATTCGAATGCGATTCCATACGTAACGCGCCGTAAATAGCACATAATATTATATGGTAGCCACACGTATTATTCTATTACGATTATTATATTTAATTAACGGCTGCGGTGAGCGCGAGACGCATTAAATTGCCATTTGAGGTATACATACTTACGTCATACATGTATAATAATATAATGGAAGTGGGCGGGGAGGTACCTATTTTGTCTGTAGTTTGTTTCTCGCGGGTCCGACGATCGTTAAAATATAATAACGAAAAACAGCAGCCTAATACCGTGTACATGCGTATATATAATAATAATAATAATAATAATAATAATAATATTATTATTATAACCGACTTAAATAATCCGGTAATAATAATCATATTTCATTTAAAAAAAAGTCTATAGTAGAAACAATACGTAATTTACGAAAATTCGCCGCTGCGTGAAATATACACAATTTCATAAAAATATACTTATATAGGTACTATACCAGAAATAATAACCGTATAATAAGTATATTATAATGTGTATAACTGCTGTGACGTTTTTTTTTATAAATATCCGCCGTATAGCAAATAAAATAATAACATTATTATCCGCGGGTAGATTGCCCAAGAAAAAACGAAAAATAAAATTATTCGATTTTGCGCGGTAATAATATTATCGCAATAAGCCAATAATTTAGCGCAATATCTACTCGCCTCCGTCGATTTTTCAATATAAAACACTTTTGCGCGATTAACCATTTTTCTCCCCTTTCATTTTAAAGACCGTATATCGCAACATGATATGACCATACGTCTCGCTTTAGGTGAAACAGTCCCACTGTCGAGCTATACAGACAAGGATCCAAGAAGGGGGGGGGGTTACCCAATTAAGTCATATTTTAAGTGTTTATGATATACCGATTGATATATATATAGTCGTAAATCGACCTTAATGACAAAAGCTTAAGTACGAATTTAAATAGCCGAAGACTAATCAAAAACAAAATAAATTGTTTGAATCGTCATAATTTCAATTTACGTTATTTGCAACAAATTAACAGCAATTAAAAAAAGTCTTTTAATTTAGTCCTCCTATTAGTGATTTCTAGATCCATACCTGGCGCTATATGTGTCCTGCTGTACCCAAAGAGCGCTAAGATAACTAGACTTCGAAAAAAAAAAGGAGGGCGGAGCATCACAAAACGATACAATATACCTATATATTCGTAAATTCACCGTGGATCTGTCCGCTCTGATCGCAGATTTAAAAAATACAGAAATTAACCAGCCCGCCGGGCTGTACGAGATTAGTTTTATTTTCATTTTCTAATTGTTAACAAACGTATACATACATTACTTCACGTATTTCGGATAATAATTCGTTGTATTATATTCTTTACCGTCGGGCGACGCGTGTTCACTACAGTTATACTGTTGTCATTCAATGCGGAAATTTCGCCGTATTTTCCACATTAAAATTTACAGGCGTCCCTCACTCTAAGGGGAAAATATAACGGTCAAATTACGTGTACACCTATACTGTAGCACACGCGTTTATACTACTGCAGCGGGCAACGACGGACGTAATATGATATTATATAAAACATAAAAAAAAAAAATCCCAAAGATATTACAGGTAAACATAATTGTAAATTTCCATAACTAACGGGTTAATTCGATACAGAACGCGCTACGGACATTGCAGAATAATGACAATCCGCGTATAGACGGCGAAAAATTCAATTTTGCGCCACCCGAGAAAAGGAAAACCTGACGGCTCGCGCGCGCGGTAACGAGGCGAACAACGAAATTTCACCGCACCGCTGTGCGATATTATTTATTATTTAATTATGTTATTATTATTATTATATTTTTTTTTTCAGAGAATAGTATACAATAACCGACACGTTATGACAGACGAGGTGCGCCTCGCGTATACACAAAAAAAAAAAAATAATATAATTTCCGAGGGTGCTCGCCGACCGGAACCGACGGCGAAAAATGATAAACGTGCGCGGAGACGAAACCGCGGCGTTTATTTCCGGGGAAACTTCGCAGCGACGACAGACGATTAGGTAATAATAAGAAAAATACCTATAAGCGTATATATGGATAAGTTCGCAGCGGCGTGTCTTCAAAAAAAGAAAGCAGTGTCTCCTCTCCGTGACCTTTCGCAAACAACGAACGATTTGTAATTTTATCCTACAGGCTTTTTTTTTTTAATAATGAAACGCAAAAAATAAATGACACGGCCGTACGAGAGTTTTAGGAGAAATAAAAAGCACAACGACAAATAGGTTTTTTCTATAGATCGACCCCGTACATATAGTACGCTTATGGTGGCGCGGGAAACAAACTGTAAAAAAAAAAAATATTATTTTACCACAACGAGAAATACTTTTTGAAATAATTATATTGTATTCTAATCGAAACGTGGAATGTACTGGTTTTACTATGATGTATTTTATTTTCTGTCTGTAAACAATTTTTTACCAGAAATCTTGTTTCGATTAAAGACTTTATATGAAAACTTTTGTAGCATTTTCGGTGCATCGAGAAGATCGTTTTTTTGATTTCCCTCGTAGTTTATTTGTATAATAAACGAGAAATTTGGTAATTTTTCATAAAATTTTGGTTGATTTCTGGGTTACCAAAAAAAGGAAAAAACACAGTTATTAATACTCTGCTCTGAATCGTTTTTCGTTGACAACGGTTTATCTTGCGTACAGATGTATTAAATTAAATTACTCTATGCATATCCTTCCTTGAATTATTGTACGGCGGTACGACGTTTAGTATTATTACTACTGCAGGAGACACTGCTGCTACACTTACACATTATAGTTTCCGTTATATATACGCGGTAAATATTTCAACTAACCGTGTATATAAAAATACTAGGTTTAAGTATAATAATATAGGACAATTAAAATACGATTGAAAAAATGTATACCACCGTAGGTACACAAAACGGGTTTACTATAATGATTTTAAATGATACGCACTAGTTCGACGCGAGACGATAGTAGTAACAGCAGAACAGCGTCGATAGTTCTGCGACGACGATAATAATATTTACCGTTAAGCGAGACTACCTATAATATATTATAATATTGAATGATATACAGAAGCGAAAAAAAACCGTTTATACGGTTAATATAAATTGAATTAATTTATTTTCAATCAGCGATAAACCCGATAAATAAAACTTTATTTATGTTTCCGTCTATATCGGGGCCCTGAGTCGAGAAGGGCTAAGCAAATTTTTTGTGACAATTCGATACAGTGCTTAGCGTACACAATTCGGTGTTTAATTTATTGTGCTGGAAGAAGGGTGGAGTTTTTTTTTTTTTTTAATTTTTAAATCTTTGTACATCATCGTTGACGCATTGTATACACTGCCGTAGATTCATATATTTTCCTTAATATTTTCATTTCGAAACTCAAGAGCTTTCATTCGTCTCATAATGTGCTAGCTCATGTTTCACACGCATTTACGGATATACTCGTATACATATGGGGCGCAGATATATTTTAGTGTTTAACCTCTCTTTTGTTCGTATTGACATCCGAGTTTTGATGATAAAAACCTCATTATACAAGCTTGATTTCGTTATGTATACTATTTTTCTCGTTAATATTTACTCCAGTATGGATACTTGAATTCGTCCACTTGTTCGATTGGGTATTTACCTTGAGTTTATTCTTAAATAAAACCTATTCAATTATTAACCTAACCTATACTTGACAAAATCGTATAATACTTATTTTGCTTTGGATTCGTTAATTAATAAACCCATTATGCGCTATAAAGGATAAAATCAAAAACGTGGGAAAGTTGATCTCAAGTATATTATATAGACTCGGCAACAAATTTAAATAGATTTTCAAAATTCCTATCGCTTCTGCGCTGGATCAATCGGTACTTACGTCGGAAATGAAACGCGTCTCTATTCTAGACTAACACAGAAAACCACCGCTTTCAAACATCTAAAATATAATATTTACGTCCGCATTCGAGTAATAATATTAATAATAATAATAATAATGGTATGGAAATAATAATTAACACTCGTTTAAAATACACACGATAATGTAATAATATGTGAATGTGACCGCCAGATGTTCGTATTCGTTTCGCTAATAATATAATATATATATAGGAAATTATATAAACGGTTTTTTTTTCTTTTAAAATATATAACAAAAGATCTTCAACGGCCTTCTGCAGTGCATAACAATAATAATAATAATAATAATAAACCCCGAACGCAGACGATATTTACTGCAGATTTGTATAAATAGTGTAGCACCATAACGCAATTGAGATATAGGTATAATATTATTTCCCGAACCGTATATAAACCGGCAAGCTATTGTAGTTGGTTAGCTAATTTTTACCTGTAGACTTACCGAGTTCATAAAAAAAGAAAAAAAAAAGTTTAATAATATTATTACATAAAAAAACAAAAAAAACCGTATTGCGGGTTTTCGTCCGGCACGCACGCAAAGAGTTTTCGGCACAATCCATCATCTGCGCTATAATATAAAATATACTATGACGACGACGACGATGACGGTTTTTTTTCACGTTGTAATTATAAACATAGCTAACATTACATTATTATATACCACACCGAGATATAATAATTATTGCAATATCCATACCGTGCAAGCGGCGGTTTTAGAGAAAGAGTATATAACATACAGTAGAGTCCGTCACGTCATCTCTCTTTTGTCGGCGGCGTTCACACAAAAACGCCCGGTCTCGTATATCATATTTCGTGGGAGCCTATTATTATAAAATTATACGATTTATTTTTTTTTTTATTATTATTATAATCGCCATCGATTGATTACCACGCGCGGGGAGAGCGTGGACAACAATATTTTATATCCACCTAATTCTAGGGCGGGTTAAAAACAGCGAAAAACCTCACCCAAAAAAAAACACTATGGTTCACGAACACGCGCCTCAAACGTAATAAAAAAAAAATTATACAATATACTATACGTAGACTACCAAGCGCAAAATATTAGATCCAAACGCAACACACAAAAGCGTCCCAACCTAACCTAACATAATATTATGTAATTTAATATATTTTGTTTAAAGTTTGTTTGGTTGAAATTGAATGTAGAGTATAATTATGATGAGTTAAGCGTAATTAGATTAATAAAAACAAAAACTGCGCTTTTTCTGATGGGCTGTTCGTCATCTCCATTTTGAATTTTCCATTTTTTTTTTTCAGAATAATTTACCTAGTATATAAATAAAGTGTCAAATTATGTAAAAAATCGGTATAAAATAATTAATGAAAACACCTATAGTGAAAAAAATGAATTTTACAATTTCTTTTTCGTTTGTAACAATAATGTTTACGATATTTTTCTAACGTAGAATATTTAATTAATATTTAGGAAAACAGAGATTGAATTTTGGAATGAAAATTCCAGAATTTCATAGAAATTCTCAGACTATTTTGGGTTTTTGTTGCATTTTCAAATTCAATGAGAGTTTCAGATTTTCCGGGTTTCCAGAAGCCGCGGCGACCAAGTCATAAGTACCTAACAAATCTAACCTCACTTTACCGCAGCGATGAATACACCGCAGTCATTAGCCAGCGGTACGGTCGACTGCATTTTTATTGTACGCACACGGATATCAGTGCACTGCCGCCGCCGCCGCCGCCGCCGGTGAAAGGCGTCCATAATAACAAAATAATAATAATAATAATACCGACGACGATAACACGTACAAATCGTAGCAGCAGAAATAAAAGAAAAAAAATCTATAATATAATATAATGTCGGAACGCGCGAGAAATGATATAACACCGTGGCGCGCGCAGTATAACGCGTACGTAATAGGCGAGTATATAATATTAATTTAGGGAACGGACTTTATTCAAATGATATTAGGTATTATATTAAATTTTGAAATCGGATGAGAACAATGGTGCACGATTTAAAATAATACGTATCGTTTATGACACCGATTTCGTTCGGCCGCACCAAAAAAGGTTACAGATGTCGCAACGAGCAAAATACACGTATAGTCGTCGCAGGATGTTGTTTAAGACCCAAAAAGAGGAGTGGCGACCGATGTCGAAAAGTCCGCGAGCAAACACCACAGCCGACATCCGATTTTCGGACAAACGCGTCGACATCGAATTGGGTTTGTTCCGACACACGTTCAAATTATCACAGAACTGGTGAGCGCAGCAGATTTTTGCCGTTCCAATACGCCAAAAACGCACTCAAAACAATTCGCTGATTCGAATGGAGGGACTAGTAGTCAGAGATTCTGTTATCATTTAGTTATTTTTATTTGTTTATGCTATGGATTATTTGTGTTCGAATGTGTAACCGTTTCAATTCAATTTTTCAATTTAAAAACAAACATTTTATTACAAGACACAAGATTCGTTCTTATTATAATTTGTATATCTTTTCTATAATTTACAATCATGGATAATCCAAGAGTTAGTTCAAAACGCGTTCCAACACAAAACTCCGAATCTATGATCAGTCCACGTTGGCGCATACGCAGTAAATCGATCACAGATCAGTACACAACTAGTCCGAAATTCGGAGTTGGAAAAAACGAGTTTCCCTGTTATCGTCAACCCTCGATACTAGAGAAGATCAGTGCAGTTGAGCACAAACGAGTATCTATAATACTATACGAGTATAGTTACAAAGTGGCCGCCTCATTGTTATCATTCTCGTTAGATCTCACCAAATTATTATAGCCCAAAAACTAGTAAACATTCAAAACCAAACAATAAACAGGATACTAAGAGTATAACGTTGAACGTTTGTTTAACACACGAGTATTATTATTTCGGTCTCTAACAGAAATACAATCTAATGATAAATACACCTTGGAGATAACAGCGTAGCCAATAGCAAAGGCATTATCGAGTTGGCCGTTCTCATATTATCTGCAAACGAATCACGGGACCATCCATCATAATATTATAATATAAAAACGAGACAGGCTAACAAAAAACCAGTTCTGGGGTTTGTACTGAATTAAATGGTTAATTTTCATATAGAATAGCCGCATGTGCTTGAACCGGGGAAAATATTTCAAAATGAACATTGATAGAAGACCCAAAGCCAATCAATAGAAAACCACTGTGATGCAACAGATGCGTCAGAATTCAGTACAATCTTGTCGATTTTAAAATTACAGAGTGGGCAGCGTGGCAAAATGCTGGTTGAAGAAAATCTATAGAAACATTTGCAGTAGCTGACACAAAAAAAAATATAATAATAATAAAAATGTGTGCATATATTTACATGTCGTATAGTAAATATATAATTACACACGTATTCTTATTACCACACAAAATATATTTTAGAATCTTATATTTATTCGTAAACAAAAAAAAAATATTTTAAAATTTCACTTTCTACAGGAAAAAAATATGAGAGTAATTTTTTTTTTTTTTGTTTTTATATGGATATAAATTTTGTTTCTTAAAAAACAAAAGAAAGTAAATTAATAATAAATGTACGATAACGATTACCGATATTCAAACGAGTAGATACATTATTATTTTCTACTGTCATAAAAGCATATTATTTAGTTTTAGCGTGCATACCTATAATTCGAAGCGTATATAATTGAAACGCGTTTTTTTTATTTTTAACGTTCGTATAAACCGTTCCTTACAAAAATTATTAAACTAACTGCCGACGACGATTTTTAATAAATCGTGTGTCACTACCGCAGCCGCCACCGCAGTGAACTTTCGACGCTAGGCCAACGATTTGTAAATTATTTATATTATAAGCTTATAACCTTACCTAGATAACAATATTTTTGATTCAAACGCATCCTAGGCGAACCGATATCTAAAAAAACAAAAAAGGTATGCGTTATTTAAAAATAATTAATTTACGATACCAACAACATTTTAACATATTTTTTTTTTACAAATATTTGCTTGAATAAATACAGTTAATACATAATATTATAATGTATATTATATTAATAAATATATAAAATCTGAGGTCAAGGCAACCAAGTATAAAATCCACTATAACCCGTAATATAGCTGGCCATAAAACTATTATAAATATTGAAAGGGAAAAAGACATGAGGGGGATTTATCCCATTCGTCCTCCATCCCTAGAAGTTTGACCAACCCTTATACGAAATCTGACTAAATGCGCATGTCCTCCGGGAATATACAGCGACAAAATTTGTTGTCCGTCCCCCTCCCCCTCGTCAGTTTATTTATTACATTTTCTGTTTATATTTTCGTTCTAATCACATTACTACGATGTTATAAAAATAACTGTTATTTTTCACGCCGGAATCACGATATTCGTTTCATATAACATTATTTTACACGCGACAATGTATTTTAGTATAGTCGTATTACAAAAAGTACGTACAATAAAATATCCGATAAACACAAAAAATATACATATGTATTATGTAACTATATATACGCGTTTACAAAATATAATTCGTTGGATAGAAGAATAATTTAAGTGAATAGACAACAAAAATTTGCCACTATTATTATTATGAGATGATGAAACATAACAAAAATAAAAAACCGTTATTATTGCAGAATAGTAAAAAGTTAATTTGTTAACATATTATTATTATGATTAAATGTGCGTGGTGTTCAACAACATTAATATTCGTACCTACGGTGTATAATATTATTTGGATGAACAGTTGCATTATCATTATAATTAGTTAATGTGTTATATTTTTTAACAATATAATAATATATTCAAAATGGATTCTATTAGATTATAATATAATAACGTGTTATTATTTTTGTGTTCCGACAGATGTGACGCGAATGCATGACTATTTTTAAGAAAATACCTAATTATTTTACAGATATTTAAATCCTTAACAATATGTATCGTATAATAGAATCCGCTGATAATTATTATAACATTATAATTCTATTGTTTTTTATTCGATATATTTTACTCGTGTAGATAGATATATAGATATGTACGTCTCTTTTTAAATATTATTATTTTGAACTACGCTGGTCACCGGTGGTGAGCATGGAGCATTCACGCTTAGTGAATCATCTAAAATAATAAATAATTTAAATATTTTTGTAATAATATCGCCCTCTCCCGATTGGAAAGTCCTGACTACGTCACTGTTGCCTACGATATTTTTTTAGGTGTATTAAATGTCCACAAATACCATAGATAATAAAAAGATGAAATGACCATTGTATAACTTATCTCACGCTCAGATTTGGTATTGTATTCCAAACTGTGTTGAGCAAGACAGCAGGAAAAAAAGATCGCGTATCACATAAATACTGATACAGATGTATCCATCATTTTTTTGATTATCTACGAAAAATGCGCGACATGTCAAGCTAGAATTTTCCACAAATCCGCATGTAAAATTATAATTTTACGCACGTGAAATACGTGATTTAAATATCTCAAAACACTAAAATTATTAACGAAAACAAAATCGATTTAACGAACGTGCCGAACATGTGCGTATGTTAATGAATCGTGCTGCGAGAGACTGGGAGGAGTGGGGGGTTATTAACAAAACGCCGGCTAAAATATGTAAGGATTAGATTAATAACCTTTTTTTTTTGTTTTATTCTTAGCCTAATCTAACCAAAGCCACCCCGATTCAATAGCCAGCTGTAATCAGTGACATATTTAAATGGGGAGATCGGGGAGATAAATTTTTCCCCTTGACATTTTTTTGTAGCAGTTATTATTTATACGTATACCATTTTTTAAAAAATCGTACTTGTTAGGAAAACTTCTGTGCACTGTAACGATAAAAATATTGTTATTTTCAGTATAAAATGATAAAATGTCGAGTTAAGTTTATGTCAATGAAATATTTTACAGGGAATTTTTACGATGAGAACATATTTAGAAATATAATTTTGGACAGGTTTTTACGATTGCCGAACTGTGGGCGGCGGCGGTGGCATGAAAATTAATTACATCTGGTTTTTTTATAAAAAATTATTCTGGACTAAAACCGTCAAAAAAAATAAATATACAAATCAATACGATCGGTACATTTTATTTGATTTTTGGAGCGGACACGAGTGGCGCCAAAATCAAACGCGGCCCCGAGATGAATGCCAATTACTCGGATCGTAACTTCTTTTTTTATATATTTTACTTATGTATAGACTGGAGCGCAAAATTTAAAAACTCGCAAATAAATAATAACAAGAATATTTTTTCATGTTTAAAATGGAAATTTTTTTATTATGTACACATTCTATTGTATACAACAACTACAGTGTGTATAAAAGTCGATCGGAAAAACGAGTGCCACCCAAAACATAAATTATATACTGTGATTTTTTTTTTATCGCAATTCAACGATTTTCCTGGAGGATTGAAACTTAGTTTTATTTTTTTTTATTGATCATTATGGAATAACGTTTGAGCTATATTTTAACACTATTTTCAAACGATTACCCTTCGTATTCCTTCATCGATTTTCAACGAAGATTCTAAAAAAAATAATACACATTTTTAAAAATTGTATTATGCTGCATAACACTAATATCCCATATAATATACCTTTTATGATAAAACTTAAACTGAACAAGTAGGAAATGATAATGAATTTCATGTCCATTTTTAGATGATAACCGTTTGTAACTTTTTCTTGAAACTATTACAAATATATAATTAATCAAATGATTCTATTAAGACTAAAGAAAAAAAAACAAAATCAATTTTACCTTTTAAAACCATCGTAAATGATTACCCGATGAGAAAAAATTGCCCTGTATATAATGCATACAGAGTAATTGGTTTAAAAAAAAAATTGTTCGTTCGATAAACTTGACCGTCGTTGCGGTATTTTTCTTTGATGGTTATTATTATTAATTTTTTTTTTTCATAAAGACTACATAATACACATTGTAAAAAACCGTCTTCACTTTTAATTTTATTCTTCGTTCATACCAAATTATGATGTGTCAAACAACGAGAAAAACAGTTAATAATATCTTCTCCAGGGTATTATTTAACATATTCTTGAATCTTGTAAAAATATTTACGTTACTTGGTGTACGTAATATTATACTCTCATCATATATATAGGAAACAAACGCAACCATAATATTATAGTCTCGGGCTAAATATATTTTATCGAATCAAAGGTTTTACGTGTTACATAGTTGTATTAAAATGCACTTGTATGTGAACAGCCGTTTGATTTTTGTTTATAAGACTGAAATTTCTAATGTAGCAATTTTTTAACTGTCTCTATCCATTACCAAAATCGTCCCGTTCGATCAATCCACCTACCAAAAGATTTTTAACCGCATACAATCACTTCATTTTCAGTCTTTCCAAAGATCGTTTCCCCGTTGAGCTCTCTTACAGCATTGCCCTTATTTGAGGTTTTCCGTTTTTTTTTTTTGTAGTTTTTATAAAAATATTAGTTTTCGACATAGGTTTCAATATAATTCTATGTTTTTCCTTCACGTACCAACTCTCACACATCTAACGCATATCTTAAAATATACTCGCTTTGTAAGTCAAATATACTACCAACTATAAGTATAGTTAATGATTTTATTAATACATAAAAAATTACAGAACGGGTGATCGATAACCCGTTTCATCAACCATACGTATTCGTTTCTATATATTTGTGTATTATTCGTAAATAATATTTAGACGAGAAAAGTGTTCATATTGTACCTATGTTAAAATAATAGAAATAATTTAAAAATACATTACTTTAGTATTTCCTGTAAATAAATTTAAAAAATAAACAAAGAAGCTATTTTATGTACATAGGTACATATAACAATAACAAATAATATCATTATACGTTTTCGTTGGGGTATATTAAAAAAAAAAAAAAAATTATTGTTAAGTATATTATATTGTACTATTATTTTCTTTAAAATCGTATCTACTTATTAATAATATTATATATTATATACGCGAGAATAAAATGTCATACGGCAATAAATTATCGGCCTATAGTCGTCTTTTGTGGTGTCGCAACAACACCGACCACATAATTTAAATAATATGACCATTATATTTTTTTTTTCATTTGAAAAACACGTTCGACTATAATACGGTGCCTAACTTATACGTTACAAATATAAGTTTTTTTTCCAAATTCTATTTCTATTATTCTCATTAATTATGATTTCCCTTAGCTAGGCATATATTATATTCTAATATACTATTGTGCACGCACATACGTATAAACGATCCCGATCGCCTAAAAAGAAAAAAATCCGATTCGAACGGTGAAAAAAAAACTCATCACGTTTATTGTTTAAACGCCACGAAGTGAACTGCGTAGTTCGGTTTTTATATTATTAATTGCCGATAAACATAATAATATTTTCGAACTCACGGCACGTCACTGCTGAGAAGCAGCTTACAACGCATCTCGTTTGACGACACGAATACAAAATCAAATTTATTGTGATAATAATAAATAAAGAAATAAGGATTACCTGCGCTACGTACAATGTTACACATTATTATTATTATTTTGTCTATATACATTTTATTACTTACACTTCACTATTATCACGATACGTGTTATAATAATATAATAGTTTTCCGTTCCAAAATGTGATGTATCTATTATATTTCAGTACTATTATTTTTATTAATTATTAGTCTCGGGTTTACACGCGTATTGTACAGGTTGGTTTTATTTTCTAATCATCGAGATCCATACACCAATCGGAGTATTTTAAGTACATTTCATATACAGAGTGTCCTACAGTCATTAGGCGCAAATAGTGTTTGATACATGGGGGGCTGATGACCTTTTTTTTTGCTCTTATGCTGTTCTTTATGATATATTCCAATAAATTATGTAGTGAAATCGTTAAATTTTATGCTACAATAGCAATTCTAGAGGGAAGAGCTAAGCCTCCAGCTCCCCTATTTACACATATGCCTACAATAAGATATTTGTATGCTAATAATTTTGTCAAAATTAATTTTTTTCCTCAATCGGGTTTTGTAGAAGGTGTAGAGAAAAATTTAATTTTTAATTTTATTCTTTAATTATTGAAAAAAACTTTTTATTTTATTACTTTTCAAAACTCATCAAAAAATTACTTTCCTTTAGTACTGTTTAGGGAAAATTTTCTTTCAAAAGAGTAAAATTTCTATAAGAAAATGTATTCACAGGGAAAAAAAACATTATTGTAAAATCAATAAATTCCTTGTTTCACGCAGAATCTAAAATTACCTCAGTAAGTATGTACATAAAAACTAATCCTAATTGAATAACGGGATTTAGAGGATAACTTCAAAAAAAGTCAATACACTCACAACACACGTAGAGAATAATAGAAATAATCGATAGTATACTGTTAACGTTTGTAAAAAAGTAAAAAAAAGTAAAAAATATATACACTTAAATGTTTATACAATTTGATTTTTCGAAAATTATTATTGTGACACCATTATACTATATTATGTTACTGAATGTACATAAATAAACGCAACAATATGCTTAACATGCATCATTTTACCTACTCTACAATATTAACACAAAACAGACGCGTTAAATTTTTACGATGGTAGGTATAGTTGCATCATTTATATAAACATTTTTTTTTTTCAATCCTAAGATTAGTTAAATGATAACCGATGTATTTTTATATTGTCCGTTGATTTATTTTTTATCTGGTGTTCATTAACCTATTCATTGTCGAACACTTTAAAATAATTATTATACACTGACAGACTAATTTTTTTTTTTAATTTTGATTAATATTGATGTTTTTTTTTTTGCATAGTAAGTTAAGCAGCCGTCTTTGGCAGAACTATACAAATTATAGCCGTTAGGGTAATGCGATAAATTAATTTGCTTGAATTGCAACTAAAATAAAATAAAGTCTAAGCTATTGAGCCTACGTACCTACGTATATAATATACTATATATAGGATGATTCTTTTATCATTGGACACTCATTATTTCACAAACTATTGAATTTTTTCAAAAAAAGTTTATTTATTTAACAATTTAAGAAACAAGCTGTTCTAAAATGTTACACTTTCATTATTTTTTGGGATGGAACAATTACCAACTTGATTTTCAAGTGGTAAGTTACATTAAAAGTTACATCGATTGATAGAGTTTTAGTTTGAATAAATTTTGGTGTTGACATTTTTGATTTCCTTCAACTCATTCACGAGATATTTCAATTTTAAGTTTGAATGGGTAGAATGTATCACTAGTATGGCGGTACGGAGCTCGGAGTTTGAATAGTTTTCCACAACTCTCTATATACCTAAATTTTAAAGTGGAATACTTCGTAAATGGAAAGACAGAAATCAAAAGTTTCAAAACCAAAATTTATTTAAACTAAATACTAACACTCTATCAATTTATGGAACTTTTAATGTAGTTACCATTTTAAAACCAATAGTAGGTGGGTAGTCATTCCACCCCCAACAAAATACGTACATATTTCGCACGATGGGTGGGTGGCTGTTATAGATGAGAAGTTTGGAAAGTAGAATATAGAGGGAAATTAATGTATATCTATACGAAACGATTAATCTTTGTTAACGAAAAACGATTCTGAGCGAAGTTCGGTTGTACATGTTTTGAAAGGCCGTAATATATACGATCTGAAAATAATACATTTCGTAAATATTCCCAATTTTTCCTATTTATTATGAAAACCTTTGGAAAAATCAAAAAATGACTTCTCTAAAGTACCACCCTAGTAAAATTTATATCAAAGGATAACAAAAACTATTAATAATGTAACATTTTAAATCTAATTGTTTCTTAAATTACCAGACATTTTTTTTTTTTTTGTTAAAAGTCAATACTTTGCAAAATATTTATCAGTGTTCAAAGGTAAAAGAAGTTACCCTGTATAACTTTTTGTTTTAAATATACACGCAGTAATATTCTTATACAAAATCACAAGAAAGTGGAACGCGTATTGCTATATTATTACATACGACACACAATAATAGTAAGTATAAGGGATACATCTGATAATATTATAAAATCATCAATTTCCATAGCATTGAAAACGTGCCAATATTACGAAGACTATGCGAACAGTAATTTCCATTTCGTTTCGTACACGAAGCTATAGCCGGGGTCGATATTGAAAATTAAACCACGAGCGACTCCATCAGTCATTGGGGTACCTTATATACCTATCCGACAATTGTGAAATTATTTTATTTTATCACCATTTGTTGCGTATAGGTTAATACCTACTTGTGTAATAATATTATTCGCAAAGCATGTTATTTTATTATAATAATCTTCGGACGATTTGGTTAAGAAATCGATTTGGACCGCCGCCACCGCAGAACATCGATAGCAAATAATACACGTGGCATCCGGTGCCGTTGCCACTCAGCAAGGTCGCCACATATTTTTTGAAAATAAAGCAAATTGTACGTGAACTCGGGATGTTTATTTGTATGGCTATAATAAATTGCATTATACTATACTAACGGGCAAATTAAAAAAAAATTAAGGTGAACATCTCAGCGTACTTTAAGAGTAAATTAAAAATAAGTACCAAACTTACGAATATAATACTAATACGACATTTACAACAACTAAAAAGTACAGGTATTGGTATAACCGTCTGCGGGTAGTCTTCGGTCAACACTGCAGTGTTTCTTAATTAAAATACTATTTAATAAGATAATAAAACGTGAGAAATAGAACTCGACGAACGCGAGAAAAATCTGGTAAAATATTACGATGAGATAACTAGACATGTCTACCATTGTTTTGGATGAAATAATATATTATTATTTTTAATAGACTCGTTATGATCGCTGTACGTGTCGAGGGTGGGGAGGAACTTGAAAACTCACAAGCAGACGACTAAATGGGCCAAACGAATAATAATAATACAAACGCATTTTCGAGATGGGTTTCCTTATGACGACGTTGTGCGTGGCATAGGTATAGTACGTGTGATGTGTATAATACGAGCAGGAAACATCAGACTATAAATCAATCGGCGCACGTGAATAATACGAGCGAGAATACTGTATTGTTGTGTTGATCCGGACGAGGACGGTCGAAAATCACGTTAATATCACAAAGAAAAACTGAGAAAAGAAGCCCCTAGGGACCTGAGAGGAGGAATGCCCAGGCCGATGTAAATTAATTAGCCCTCGAGTGTCGTACGCTGCAGAATTATAATAGCCGTATACGCTTTTACCGTCGTCGAGAAGACTTATCGTCCCCAACGATAGTTTCGACGCAGATATCGTTGCTTGCGGTACATAACAACACTATATTATACATTATCGCGGTGTCCCCCTCCCCCCTCTCTCTCGCCCATTGGCCATAACCGCGTTTATGTAACCGCGCGTCGAAACGCATCGAAAGCGTGTGCGGCGTGCGTGTACACTGTATAGCTGAAGCAGCGGTTACAATAATATAATATACAGATAGGTACCAAGACCGTGGTAATAACCGCGCGCGCGGTAAACAGACGAAGACACGCCATTTGGCCTCGGGAACTATACGTGTTACCTATACTATACGCGTATAATACACGACAATAAAACGCGCCCGTTGCTCCCAGATGAGTGAGTGAGTGTGTGTGTGTGTGTGTGTGTGTGTGTGTGTGTGTGTGTGTATTTGTGTGTATACTGTATATTATCTGCATATAGTGCGTGTATAGCTTGTGCCAGGATTATATTTTATTATAATGTACGATACATCGTACCAAACCTACCTATAGTATATTGCTTATACTTACATCTTACCACGTGCGACCGGTACGCGTATAATCGTTCTTCGCAGACGAAATAAAACCCGGTCGCTAGTAACAATAATATTATGTTTCACCCGGTATACGCACTGAGCCACCGCGGCATCTCAGCGTGGGTTAATCGTATAGATAATAATAAAGAATGGATAGGACATTGCCTAGGATCCCGTTCGGTTCTCGAATGATATAAGAAACAACTCTAGGCGATTTTTACTTCCTTTCCACGTCACAATTAATATTTTCGCGTTCCGTTCTTTTCGTATATTGTATCAAACGGGGATTACGCACTTGTTTGATGCGGGGTTATCGCATGCGTATCATAAATTGAGCCAAGTCCATATACAAGGGAGGGGGGGAGGTAAAACCTCCGAAATTTTAAAAATAGGTAACCCATATATTTATAATATAACAAAGATAAACTATATCGAGTTCATGTATTAAAAATATTTTAAACCCCCCCCTTCGAAAATTGACCCCGAATACGTGCTTGACGCGAGCCGCGGGTTTTTAATTCGCGGCTGGAATGGTTATACGCGCACGGGTCATGCCTACGCGCGTACAGTAAAGCCGTACCGAACCTAATACCGGTATACTTGCATCTTATGCCTACAGCCCGTACTACTACACAATACACAATATATGTATGCATAGAGAGAGTGCGAAAATAGGTAAATGTTCACCGAGAATAATAATAATAATTGTTATTTCTACGCACGCGGACCGATATCGCACGAGTATGTATACAAACACTGTAAACGCGACTCGCGGGAAAATCGTGTACGTGAGTTCAACGGACTAACCTAAATGAACGCGATACAATATTGTAAGTATATGGTAAAAAAAAAAAAAAAGCAAAGAAATAACAAACTGCGTACTGGATTAATAATAATAATACTGCAGTATACTCGCATTATCGTGCATATACGTATATACATTATATATGTATATCAAACTTATACATTTCTACACAGAGTGACAACGACGATATACTCTATATAGGTGCGTACGTCGAATATTAGAAATAATATGAGTATATATAGTATTGATAATATCTATATATCGTGGGCAGGGAGAGCATAAAAAAATAAACTTTATAATATTATTATTATGATCAATGTTAACCACCGGTGCGGAAAAAAAAATTACGATTTACAAAATAGCAATAATATATATCCGGCGATATAGATTTTGACATTTTGAATTTATCGCGCATGTCTAACTATCGTAAATGTGTACGAGCTGTACGAGTAAAACGAAAACCGTAGAAAACGTGACGTACATTTTTTTTTTTTTTTTTTCAAACACAGGCATATTTTTTTTTCGACGATACGTGAAATGAACTGCAACTGACGTGCACATACACAAGGTCGCGGGCATTTTTCTCGTCCAATCTTAGATATTATATAGGTACTATAGTGGTCAAACAGCGAATTCTATATTTATACACGAGTATTATGAGTATAATACATACGATATCGAAAAAATGTGGGGAATAAAAAAATTGTTCTCGCGTTAATAACAGACAGTTTTAAATGTATGATAACAAAGAAAAAACCGCAGTAGATAGTCATATCCGCTGCATTTTCCAAACAGTTGTTATCAAAAGAAAAATAAACATACGTGATAACTAATAATAATAAATGATAACTGATCAAGTATTAAGTATCATTTAATCATATATACATGAAATAAATTATTATTAATTTATAGATATTTTTTTATAATACTGCAATAAATGTTTATAAAGTAGAACAATTATACTATGCGGCTTTACACACACACACACACACACACACACACACACACACACACACACACAAATACCACACGACCTTACTATACATTATATACAATTATACTGCACGATATACATAATAGGTACCCCTATATAGAATTCAAAACCCAATCCGAACACAATATAACTAATAGTTGTAACCTACAATAATATATGTATAATTGAATCTTTTATTAAACGAACTAACAAAAGTTTACCAGACGATTTGGTCACTTAAAGATACTGTATAGGCAGGACGTAATAACTATATGGACATTCCGGAGCTAAATCGAATTAAAATCCCCTCTCAAAAATTTAAACCGTTCCGAACATTTCACTAGACACCTCACTTCCTCCTGTTCTTAAATCTCCTTTTAAGTTTTAGTGACACGTCTATAATAAACAAATAATAACATATCTATTTTAAAATACCTCTCCCCCCCAAAAAAAAACACGATAACACTATACTGTTAATTATTTGTCTTCGGAAGGCCACATCTTGCTCATTTTGGGAGCCTCTGATATCGACTGTTATCAGTCTCACTTTGCTGATTTGCCGGCCGCTAGTCGTGCCACTAATATACTGCGTTATAATAATAATATATTGTAACAGATAAGCTTTAAACGTTTGCTATTACAATATTATACGCTACACTATGCTATACTTATAGCGATTAATAGAGGAAATTTAAAAACCATAATATAATTATTATAATAATAATTCATAACGTATAGGTAATAAAAATTACGATGGCATTTCCAAATGACGATGTCAACACACGAACAGTTATTATATAGGTGATTGCAGTAGTGTACATAAGTATACAGGAAATGACGGTTTCAGCAACAAGTGCAGCTATATTATGATATATGTACATAGAGGACGATTAAGAAAAATTACGTCGTCTATATACCCAATAATAATAATAATTTAGTAATAATATAATATGGCAATAAAAAAATATTGAACGACCGTTATTATTGATTGTTTATCACGTCATATTATATATATATATATATATAAGTATACACATATATATTATACATGCGTGTGTTTGAACACCGGAGCTGTGTGTTTCGCTATTTTATTTTTTTATTTGCTTTTTTTTATTTTTAACCGAAATCATCAAATTCAATAACCCCGCAGTATTTACGCGTGCACTAGTGCCGCTGCACGTTGACAGGTTAATGTGCGACGTAGGTGCAAGATACGCGCGTTTATTATTATTTTTTTTTTTTTTAAATTTCCTAAATCGATTTTCGAGGCGTATATTTCTACCTATTTATAGAGTTCGTCCGAAATTATACGGTCGACGATACGTCATTATTGTAATATTATTCAAGTGCATATAGGCGCGGTAGTACATTTCAGTAACGGTCACCGTGGTTATAATATACGCGAACACGTGGCGCATAATATACTTATGCGGTATATATACAGACGTCCGAAAAATCGTTCGAGTGTTGTTTTTTTTTTTTGTACAGAAGACTATGTTATTATATTGTTAAAATTAATGTTAAATATCAGTGCGAGTATATCTAGTTACGAGTATTATTACGCGCGCGTTGCCTAAAAACTCGAACTGTGCTTGTCGTATTTATTTATTTACGAGAGAATATTATTGTATAGAGAAAAAATGTGGAAGATTTACGTAGAAAAAAATAAAACCGATACGGACGCAGACGATTATTAAACCGGTAAAAAAAAAATACATATTAAAACTATGGTACGATACGATATTATTATAATAGTATTTATCGTAATAGTAGCTATAAGATGGCACGGTAGCTCTCTATAATATAGGTGCTGTACTACTGCAGGCGTATAATAATTTTCGCGTATATCGTGTATAATACACGAGTCAAAGGTTTCAAAAATTACGTTCGATTTCGTCATCGTCGAAGCGCGATTATGAGATTATAGAAGGCAAAAAAAAAAACCAATTGATATTAAATTTTTACTATAATTATACTATATAATGCATAGGTATACGTTACAATATTACATCGAAGAAGAGGATAATATTATCATTATTCCGAAACTCAGTTCTAGTATATATGTCTGTTGGTATGATAGGTAATTTACTCAACTACAACTCTCACTATATACACAATCGTATTCGAAATGCATTTTTTTTTTTTTTTTTTAATAATTTTTTCCCAATATATACAAAATTAAAAATCGTTTTCGAATCTGCACGAATCCAATTTTAAAAACGAACGCCACGACGCCACCGCATACATTTCTTCTCTTCTGCTCCATTCTTCACTATACATAATATACATTGTTTTTCATTTATAATATTGCAGCTCATTTCTGAAGGAGTTTTACTGTATTCAAATGGTTTCACAGTTAAATGTACAATGGACAAAAATTCTACTTACTGTGTGTCCAATAAACAACGTTTTTACTATACATTTATTAACGATCAAAGGTATAACGACGTAGCAAATTTGCAACAAGTAGAAACAACTTTGTGCAGTTAGTTTTAGTATTAAAGTGAATTGTTCTTTTATTATTTATTATTATTATAAAAACAAACTTAAAGATGTGAATATTATTTGTAAAACGTTGGCAATATTTGTTCGATACATATTTTAATTCTAAAGAAAGATATATGAGTATCTGAAACATCAACATGTTTAAGAATGTTTATATCTCGTTTACAAATTGAAATATTTAACCCAATGTTACACACATAATATTATAATATCTTTAAGTTTTATATTAGGTCAATTCACTAAAATATTAAAACTGACAGCACAAAGTTGTCTCTGCTGAATACAAATTTGCTGTGTTTGTATAAGACAAAGACAGCACATCTTAATATTATAATAATGGTTATATTATATAGATAACTGATAAGATTATGTATACATCTGATACAAATTATGATTTTAGATATGGTTATAAGTTATACTCTTAATATTTTGTGTATGAAATGCTTTCACTAGTAAAGGGGAGGTCACAATTTAAGGTTGAATTATAAAGTGGAAAGATTGGAACTTTCTATACAGGTATAGGGTATAATTGGAGATTATTTTTCAACAGAAGGAGAAGTGGATATTGCGTGGTCGTGCATATTCATAAAAAAAAGACCCACTGCATCACATATACATATACAATATAAATATTATAATAATTGTACGGTGTCGTCGTTTACACTGTCGGATTCAATTCGCATGAACGTATCATCGACCTAATGCGAATAATGCAACTTTTGAATTGTAAATTATAAACTTTTGAACTTTATAAACATTCCATTAAAGTAGTTAATAGACAAATCATAAATAAAATCGATTTTTGGTCGATACGTTCCTGTGATTTTAAAAGCCGACGATATATTATATGCTACATACGGCATATAAATATAAGTACACGTGTAAGTTGTTAAACCGGATCGGCGAAAAAAAAAATAATAAAAAAAATTCGGAACGATCGTCGTCGTCGCCATAGACGATACCCGCTACTCGCAGCTATATTAAAAAATTATTATATTATATTAGCGCGAGCCGCTCGAAAGGAGCGATTATTATTAATGTAAATTCAACACACGTGTGTTTACAACGCTCGTGTGTGTGTAAGTGTGTGTAATTATTATTGCGATGTAGTAATAATAATAATAATGTATACTCGTTGCACAGAGTCGCGTACAACCTGTTTTTTTTTTTTTTGCCGTTTATGGCTTTCGTGGTTCTTACACAACTATTTTTTTATTTATTTTTTCTTTTCGGAATAATAAACATAAGAAATTATTATCGCGGGTTGGTATCCTATATTCGAATATCCGAGAAAACTCGGTAGGTATAATAGGTAACACTACAACTAGGCACTATTATATGTAACGTGCATTCTCACGCGACGACTTTGCAACTGCAGCGTGCACAACTGCAGTATAGTATCATCGATTTTTCTCGAAAACCTCCGCGCACAGGTGTATTTTAAGTACGTCGTGTGAAGAGAAAAAAAATCCCCAGAGGGGTGGAGGAAACCCTGTGAAAACTCGATCAGGTAAATCTTTAGTACCAGGAGATCGTCACGTTCCCACCGCAAGCGTTCGGAAATCGTCCGAGTACGTGACGAAACCCGTTGCCGCGGGATTGCCGCCGCCGTTGCGCGGTCGAGGAGTCATTCGTTTTACGCACAAAGAATGTAGAAAAGAGAGCCTGTCTGTACCTACCTATAATAAAAATTCATCGCGATGTATTTTTATAATAATCCGGAGTTTCCGAATTCTTAAAATATTACCGGGATTGTATTACACGCGTGCGTACCTTTTTCATTTTTCCCACACCAATATATTCCACGACACGACTCCCGTCCGAATGTGCGCCTGTATGTTAATAAACTAAACTACACCATTTTTGTCATTTATACCTTTATTATATAATGCAGATATTATCGGAAATCCTACATTTATAATATATTCATATATTTTTATCCTTTCTTATTATCACTAATATTTATTATTATATTATTTATATATAATTTAGTGCAATTTTATTATAGTGTCCAGGGTAATCTCCAAAACTATACATCCAATCGTTACGTGGTCTCTTTTTTTTTTTTAATTATAGATCATATCACGGAAAAGGTTTTAAACTATTGAAATCCTCGATGTGACCCGTATAGAAGTAGTAGACCTAACCTGCAGTAGTTTGGGCTGGATACAAAATAATTTATAGATGTTTCTCATTGCTTAACAATCATATAACTAATTCATACAAATTTGAAATAAACATTAAATAAAAGGCATTTTTAAACATTTACGGGCAGCAATGGTTAACCACAGTAATAGTAACAGGGGTTGAAACAGGGAATCCAAAGGGAAAACGTTTTTATTACACATTCTTTTAGCACAAGCAATGCCGGCCGGACAACTATTAACGTAAATCATCCTACACTTTATAATATAATATTAGTAAATATAATTATAATAATTATTATTAATAACGTTTACTCTTTCTATTTTTCAACCTTTCGATCGGTTAGTTAACAGCTTGTCTCCGTGCTCCCTTGTCAAAACTCCTTTAACTTAGCTTTCCATTCCCTTGCCGTGAATAGTTAGCGGTATATATTCAATCCGTTTGGTCTTTCGCTCTTCCAATTTTACCTTAATTATACTTCTACAAACTGTATAGTTTGCCAAAGTTTTATTTTTTCTTGGGTTCTTCTTAAAACGTATCTTAATTTGTTAATCAGCCTCAACACAAAATCTTGAGTATTTACTTCCTTATTTCAAATGCTTCTATAGCTTTCTCTTCTCGATGATGCTTATTGTCCAGATTTCACACCCGGTACAATGGCACATTTCATCGTAAGCATATAATACGTAAATTCATAATTTTATTGAAATAAGATATTTAATGTTTTTGAAAAGTTTAAGATTCAAACCATACTTTTATTAAAATTAGGTCAACTCCATTTTACATATTTTGGTATGATTACATATTTTTAAAGATATTTTGGCGTTTCATTATTTATACGTTTTTGAACTGCACGTCACAGTGGACGAAAACAACCGATCATCGGTATATATACATATTTAATCGCTAGTCGTTATCTTATTCAATGCAACACATGATTCGAGTAAGAAATTACCCAAAACTAACGTTTTCCGGTGATATAATATAAGCACTATTTTCATTTTGTATGATTATATCTAATGTATTTTCTGTAAATTTATTACACGAAAATAGTAATTTTTTTCCCACATACCTTTTAAATTATATTTCCATATTTAGGTGGGTACATATTTTTAATTACATATAAATCCGTTCTTTATTCATAACTCTACAAGTATCACAGGCTATATTATATGTAGGTATCACCCAAGACGTAGATAAGATCAACGTGCGTGTATAGATAATATTTAAGACGCAAGTTCCTTTAGTTCAATTGTATTTTTGGTAAATAAATTCAGATTTTTATTTTGAAAAGCTCTTTTTTCTCACGAAAAAAAAGACAGACAAATTCCACGTGAAAATCCTACCATTGCGAAATTTAAATTTAAAATTTATCTACAGACTATATTCTTTAGTATATGCTTATTATGGTGTGATTTTCCAGTGGCGATTTGAAAGAGGTATATTTGAATTACATGATTCAAAAAAAAAAATGGATCGTGTATCGTGAGTGTTTGGGTGTTCAGAAATATTACAAAGATTATTATGTTTTTACAAAACAAGTCATACAAATTTTAATCAAAGAATTTTAGACCTCGGACATTTGATAAAGTTGGCGAATTGTATTGAAATTTAACCAATTCCAATACATTTGTGATGGGGTATTTTTGGGTTATGGCGGGTGGGTGAAAAATTAAATTTGTGATTCAAAATAAAAATACTTCGAGCCGCCACTGATATTTTCTATACATCCGAAGACTTATTACATAGACGGGCCGTATTTAGTTGCAAGTAATAAGCGCTTTGAAGAGAAAGTGTAAAAACGATGATCTAAATGATAGATACTGGAGGATGAACTACAACCGCTATATAATACGCCTTTGGCGTACTACTTTGCGATTGTGGAGAGAAAAGAGTCATATTTATACCGTAAAAAAACGTTGGAATAACATGACGTACATATACATAATATATTATCGTCAATAATTTATCATATAATATTGTTGAATATATCTACATGTTTTATAAGCGTAATTTTACGCAATCATAAATTATTTTTATTATTATAATACCGATTATTTATCCGCGGTAATATTTTTACACGATACATGTAGGTAAGTTATAAGAATATTATTATGCAACTACGTCGAGTAAATTATTTGTAAATACTCGTGTATAATATTATAATATAGCTAACGTATTTAACATGACATATAACCAGGTACCAATAACAAATTTTTAATCTATACAAATTTTATAAATTATCGTTATTGTTATTTTGATTCGTATAAGACGGTAAGTTGAAGTGGATACATACTATATTATAGTAGTAGTTGTTATTATAATAACCGTGTATATACTTATCGGTATTATTATAAGCGTTTATTTTGTCGTCGTATTCTGATTGGCCATTGTAATCTCGGTACAACATTCTGTAACCAGTAGATATATCGGGAAATGTCGGGCCGAATTCGTCTTTTTTCACGATTGAGTTACAGTGGTCGGTTGATTTGATGGCATTGCCATCGAATTTTACGCTAAGAGGATGCCATGTGCTGGTAGTTTTAATATCAAAGTTAATTCGCCAACTATCAAACTTCTTAAAGATATGCCCATTGTCTGGGTCATGTGGTAGGAGTTTTTTTCGTTATTTTAATTTTTAAACGACATATAAACATTTTCAAATCATGATATTTCACACATTCGTATATCGCTCAGAAATTAAAATTACGAATAATAAATGACGACACGACACAGATGTTCTTACCTTCAAGTTTGATAATATTGGTCAATTTGCTCTAATGTTAAAACTAATGGCGCACAGTGTTGTCCTCGCTGAACAAAAATTTGCAGCAAATTGATCGCGTGATTGTATGACGGATGAGAGATAGCATATCGTGTGGCGTATGACGTCCTCTTAAAATGTTCTTACAGAAAATATATTATATTGACGATTATTATTAATATTATTTCACGTATTTATAAACCGATGGAAACAATATTTGTACACCAAAAAAGTGAAACATTCTGAAATACATCATAAAGAAAATATTAGAATTTTTACACACGTCGATTAATTCGAAATCTAAGAGTACATTGAACTTTTTTTTTTCAATCAATATTTCATAGTACTGATTTTCTGTAAATGTATCGGGAATCATGTCTCTACACCAACATACGTACATAAACTTTACAACTAGACCGCGCAGTCACGATTTACTGTTCAACTAGCGTGTACACGTAATTTTATATTCTATTATGATTATGTTAATTAATTATCCGTTTATACGTTTCTTGAATAAGTTTCCAGCCTAAGTACAATTGAAATATGCTCGGATGTAACTGCGTCTATACAAGAAGTTTTTCTAGGTTTAAATTTACATTATAAAACAAAAAAAGACTACGATCAACAGTATATTATTCAGTCAAATTACGAATTACCATAATACAACCATTTTCAAGTATTATTAAAAACACAAACATACAAGCTACAGACATTATAGGTAAAAAAACCACGGTTAATAAAACTCACCGATCGATTACCGCAACAGTTTTAGATATAAGTGCGTTTTTTTTTTCTTTTCTAAACTAAACCTAACCTAACCTCAACTTAATAATATTAAGTTGCTCGCTAACATTGAACTTGTTTTCGGTTCGTCATTGATGATTAGACTATAATAGATATACACCCAATTATATTAATATTAATAAACACAGAATAATAATTTTCTAAAAACAATTTATTAGTCACGGTATATATTATTATAAGTATAATAGTATACACACAGTAGTACTCCAATAATAATTATAGTTGTACACTATTATAGATAATACCTAGTTAGCATAATATTATTATTGCTATTATTAAGTAATTTGTTTAACTAGATACAAAACGAATTAACTTTTACCAATATATATAATAATTATAATGGTATATTTAAATTTAAAAATAAAAAATAGTAGACTCAGTAAACTCTTATAATTTTTGAATTAAAACAACAATCGGAGATGGAGGTAGTTGCCAGCTAGTACCTAGCTGTATAATATATAACCTGAATAGTCATTGAAACGTAAAATAAATAAACATCAATATTATTAATTATTTTCAAAAACGTCATAAACTGCGGCAAATTTATGGGAAATAACACTCGATAATTTTGTCCACTGTCGACCTAATAATACGCGGTGTAATAATTATTACGAATCATTGTGAATCGTCGACCCATTATATTATAATAAATAGGGAAAGGAGGGCGACACACTATATATAATAATATAAGGAGAACGTTTGTTTTTTCGTACACAAATTAAATTTAGAGAAAAAAACGCAGGAAGTATCTACCTAATGTCTTTTTTACAACGAATATTCTCGTCGTTTATATAGAGAAAATCAAACGCAGTAATAATTATTATAATAGTATTACAATAAGACCAATTGCAGCGAACCCGCCGGTTTATTGACGACAATGACAAACACCAAAATCGTACTAATTGAAAATACATTTTGGAGAGTTCAGGTATAACGACGAAACGTCACAGCGATGGGTTGTCAAATCTCCCCCCCTCCACCAGCCTCGTTTCGTTTACTTAAATATAAAATAGCGGTTAATATACCTAGAGTATAAAACAGTGCGGTAACAAAATACACAGCATTATACGTATATAGCACCCGATCACGGTGAGTACGTATTTTTATTATTTTTTTGTTCACTTAAAAATAGAACCTAATATATAATTGTTCTATATACTGGTGATCACTGACTGCTCGCCGAAAAACTATCTAACGGGTTATCGTTGTCGACATTTTTTTTCTTCCGTCATAGTCATTGATCGACGGGCGTTTTTTTTTCCTTATTGACGTAAATGTTGGTGCATCATCATCATCACATAAACCGATATTTTTTTTCCTATTCTGTTAAACGCGTGTAATCTAAATATATCGCGTATATAAATTTCGTAACCAACATTTTACGGTCCGCGTAATTGTATCGAAACCACGAGGAGGTGACAAATCGCTAAACAGAATACGATTTTCACAGAAACGTCGTGTGTAAGTCATCCGATCAGTAAGTGCACGTGCAAGTTCGCGTGTAAGAGAAATCGTTCAGGCGAATAGCGGACGACCGCAAAATCTCCGAGAAATTTTTTCCCCCCTTCATGAACACGATCGTGACAACTCGTACGCGTGTTTTGGCTAAAAGACCAGAGTTGCGAAGTATTTTAAACACTTTATATTTAAAAAAAATCCTAGTAGTATTATGTTTAAAACGTTTTATTCGTAAACGTTTTAAACGTTCAAAAATCAAATAAAAATTACTAATACGTTCCAAAGAGTAAAAATATGTAGTTATATATAGTTCCTATCCATTCTAAAAATACAAATTTTTAATATGCAGTTTCTATATTGTTTTCGAATGAAGAAAACGAGTATGAATTATTATTATTTTTATCATTATATTATGATACAATTCGATTTACAAAAAAAACATGTTTTAAATGTCAAAAATGTTTTTTTTCTCTTTTGCAACCCTGCTAATGGCACTGCCACTACGCATGCATTGTCCGACACTGTTTCATCTCCCTGCAGCAGTTTCGACAGCGTATTTATTTGAACCGTTATCGGTTTTAATAAGTTTTTATATATATTTTTTTTATATTTAATTTGACTAATTTTATATAAACCATAATCTCGCGCGCCATACATTTAGTGATCATTAATCTTTGTCTGTTGACCGTTCCCGGCGATGCGCTACAGATGGTCAACAAATCACCTAACACACAGTGACGCTATCATCAAACCTTATAAACTAAAATATATTTTCACGAATAATACATAAAGAGTATAGTAGAGATTGTCAATTTTTGTATAGGATATTACAATACTTTAGAAAGTATTATGTTTCTAATACGATAAAATGTTTGTTTTCTTTTTTCAAAACTAAACGAGAAAAGTTTTCAGCGTATATAAACATTTCAATATTCAATTAATCCGTAGTACAGTTAATAAATGATCTCTATAAAATGTAATTTATAAAATATTTTTGCCAGAATATAATTCTATAAATTAAAATCTAATAGGCTGTAAAATCATCTTCGATATACTAAACCGATTTCAATATTTCATAAGTCTATTAAATATGTCCGTTTAAAGTCAAAACATTTTGACTATAGATATGATTAATTATATTGAATTTAATTATAAATACCTAAGCAATAATATTTTAACATTTGTATTATAGAGATACTTATAAATACCTGTTTTGCAAAAAAATAATATATACACATTGATAGCAGTAATAATAGTATATAATGTCACCAATTTGAACTTCGGCTGTATTAAACTTAAATTTAAAAAAAAAAATCCCCAAGAGAAACTTGCCATATGAAATTATAAAGAAAACGAGTTTATCGACAAAACGGTTCGAGATTAATGCAATCTTATGAAATGCGTTTGGCAACCAATGTAAGTTTTCTTGCGTTACATTGCACTCATATTAAACTCGCGTGATATATCAACACTCAGGTATTTTACTCTAGGGAGAAAAAACGCGAAAAATATTATATTTGAACGGACACAATTTTACAACGCGACATACAAAACGACCAGATTTAATTTAAAAATATTAATTAATTAAAACGAACGACTAAGAAATCAATTTTACCTAAGTTATGACATTTTTGTTTTGTTGGTTTTTTTTTTGTTCAGCCATCTGGTTATATATTTTTATATTTTTAGTGTTTTTAGATGGCATCGCCCAACCTATATAATGTAATATTCTATAGCAGCCGGACAGCAGGAAAGTGTGCGTATGCGCACAACATATGACTATTGGGTAGGCCTGAATGACACAAGTCGTCATCGAATTTCACTGCTTATAGAGTGTTTTTCACCCGAAAGGATTAGAAGGTGAAAAAAAAATTACGAGTAGACTATCGTTCTATAACTGCACCTGCATCTTATGTCTTACATGTCTTACACTACCTGTCAAAAGTAAAATAAAAAAAAATACAATGTACACGCGTGACCCGGTATGAATATCAAACCGTACGCCGCATGGCCAACAGCAGTCAAGCCAAGAAATTTTGTAAAGGTGGGTATAATAATAATAATATTTAAACGAGAAAACTATTTTGAAGCGATAAAATATTAAAATAAGTATCGCGTTTATTCGAAAATATTATAGAAGAATAACGACGATTGTCATTTTTAACGCATTAATTTAAGTACAATATTATACGATATAGTATTTTAACCCAAAACACTAAGGTACTTTTTTTTTTATTTTTTTTTTTATTTATTTAGCAAACACGAAGTTTTTTTAAAATAAATGAAAATTGTTAATTTTACTGAAAAACGAGTAAACGTTTTATTCATTGTCATTGTTATGATTTTAGACGATAGTATAATAATAATATAACAGTCGTATAAATCGAATAAAAAATCGGGCCGCAGTTTTAGAATACACGGTGCGCAGGTTGAGAATATTCGAAAACTATACGAATATACGAAATATTTCACAAAACAAAATTTAAAAAAAAAATCCCTATTCTTTCGGAATACACATTTTAACATAATATTATAGTTGATTTATAACCACGTACAATGTAGAACTCGAATCAATAAAAGAAATAGCACGTCATGATGTTGTCGTTGAAACAACCGATATACTTATATTATACGAGAAACACAAACACACACACTAAAATCGCATATATTTAGAACAACTACACATTCAGATGGAAAAAAAATACAATCTATTGTAGCTTTTTATAGGATATTCAATTCAGTATACTATCGTATAGTATGTAATTGAAAAAAAGAACATATCGCGAGTATAAATAATAAAATAGTTCAATTGTATTATTATTGCAGTCTGCATAATATCGTAACCTACGTGGAACAAGAAAATAATCAAGTGCAAATGTATTATATTTCATTCCGCAGAGTATAGAAAAAAAATTTTGATAAATCGGTTTATAAATACTATATCCATAATCAATGATGAAACGTTCAATTGAAAATTCGAAATTTTTAACGATTTACGGGTTGTTGTACATTGACTAATTTATGATATTCAAAATTATTTATGTAGTTTGAAATGAAAAATTATCGAATTATTCGGATTGAAAACTTATGGAAATGTAATAGGTACCTGTACATATAAATACTGCTGCAGTAAAACTATAGTCCAAAGAACGAACGTCTGCAAACTGCCTATACACTATTATTATAATATTATAGCAAGGTCAAAGGTATCCTTAAGCTATAATATACTATTACACTACATTATATGGTAAAAGTCGCGAATTGAAGTTGGCAATGGGAAATCATTTTCGGAACGCCCTGTATATAGGCTTTCGATAATATCTGCAGGAGCCGCGTTATAAAAATGACCGTGGATCAAGATATTATTAGATTATAATATTTTAATTTATAATACCGCCGTAGCTACCAAATAAAAATTTTTAAAAAAATTCAAAATCCGCACTTATATCATGACGTATAATATTGCAGTACTCGTATTATATACCTACCGGATCGTGCGTTGAATGCTAGATATGTATAACGATAAATTAAGTAAAATTGGATGGTATGCGTCTATAATATAGTAAATTTACGATTTCTGTTGGAATTATTGCTCCGTTCTATAATAATTTCGACGACCGTGGAGACACACACGTTTCAATTTTAATCTCGCGCCGAAGGCCAATGATGTCTTATATTACCCATACTATTCTTCCATATTATTATACGTATATAATGTATAATACACTTTTACATGAATATCAATAAAATGGGTATTATATTTATATTTTACAATGAGTTCGAAAACTATATTATAGTGAACATTTCGAATAAAATATGTGTACAAGTAGTAATTCACGAGCACTGTGGAACTGTTATCAGAATGTTTAATAAGACAATGTTTCTGTGCGCGGAATCACAAATGAAATTTCAACGCACGCCGCTTGTTCGTCTCTATTTGATTTTTATTTTTATATTTTTTTTTTATTATTCGATGCGTCTTAATTTTAAGGGTCTACAGTTGTTTTTACTGTATAGCGAATAATTAACATTATTATTAATATCAAAAAAAAAAAAAAAAAAATCCTAACCTATAATCATTATAAAATATTACTAGCAAACTCTACTTTAAAAAAATATATTAATAATACAAGTAATACACATCACAATATACGATACAATGTATGTCCGTTCACGGAGACTGTAAATTACTTCATTTGTCATCGGATCAAGGTTTTCCACAGAAAACGCACCAAGGTTAAACTTTCGACTGATCTGTTTTTCTACGAATACACACCCCTACAGACATTTTTGATTTTAAACAATTTGTCTCTACAATGTACACGATATTAAACGAACTTTACGAGCTTTTCACATAATACAGGTCCATTACGTTAGCACTCTAAATTTGGAATTTCGTTAAAAAAATTGTACAATCAATTTTTATTCTATTCGTATGCACAGATTTGTAATCTCAAATTTTGAATTGATACACCACTCAGAACCCAGAACCCGTGAAAATGTATGTTTACTAGTAATAACGTAACGCACTTACATAATACAACAAATTTAAGACACATTATTGGCGTGAACGCTGTACAATTCGCATAAATATAATACATATTTTCACAGTTATATTCATCATAATTTTAAATGAATATGAAATAACATCGTATTAAACATTTATAAAATTACTAAAAATATCACTTACATGTGTACGCACTAATTTTTAATTTTAACAATTTTAAAACGATGAAGTTTTTTTTTTAGATATTTATAATAGTAAAGATCGAGATTAAATATATATTATGCATATTTTTATATAAGTAACAAGCGTAACAGTTGAATCTTTAACTTAGGTATTATATTTTATAATTGATAATAACAAATTATATAAATACATACGAAAATAGCCATTTTAATATAGAATTCATTTTTTTTTTTTCAACAATACGATGCAATTCGATTTATTTATTTGTACTGCAATCTAAAATTCACATTAAAAATACTGTAGGTATAATATTATACAATTTGATTAGATGATATTTGATCCGGTTAAATCTGTTATAATTTTGGCTGTCGAAATACTTTAGAAACGAATACAAAACTTTACAAATATAATATTTGAATTCGGCACTAACACATGCAGACGTGTATACAAACATGACCTGCTGCAGTGATTGAGCGAAATGAAAATGGACAGTGTCCAATCTGGCACTATTACAATATTGTAAAGGTACTAAAACAATTCCCAGACGTATCTTAAACAATATATAATGTAATTAAAACGAATTGAGACCAATTATTTATACTTTTGCGTTTTAATCGTGTTATTAATTAAGATTATGAGATGATTGTGTATAATATATATATATCCTAGAGATTCACTGCAGCAACCATCAACCTATTACAGTAATCAATCCGCCAAATAATAAATGGCCGCGTAATAAATGTATACGAGTGTATCATCAAGAGAATACATATAACTTTGAGTTTATCAAATGATTCAGTAGAAAACTTATAATATACTATACAGGTATAACAAGATAGTGGACAACTCTTAACAGTATTTCACTATGGGGCGAACCGTTTTACGATTATTACACAATATATTATATTATTACTAGAGAGCATTAGAAAAGTCCAAAGAAAAGTCGCATAATGGCGTCGCTAATAATAATCGACAGGTACCTGACCAATATAATAAAAAACGGCTCCCTAGTTGGCCACTACTCACTTATTGTATAGACCAATAACTCTCTAATTATTAATCATTTGCGTCCATATTATCTATATACAATAATAAATATTATTAATTATATATACAATTGGCGTGCGTATATAACGGCAATAATTGTTTCCTGTTCTTGACATACATTTTTCAAAACACAAATAACATAATATAATATATAAACGAAAACAATTACTTATTATAAATATTTAAAATATTTAACACGCGTAGGTACCGATTATATAAAAATAGCACGCTTGCACATTAATTTACATATTTTTCATATTCGTATAATCTATTTGCACGTATATATTTACCTTATACATATATAGTAAAAATGATCATAAAACTTTAATCGTGTATGTGACATATTTTTATTTTAAATTTTAATTGAATTTTTATATTAAAATTTCAATCTATTTTTGTATCCTATTTTCACGATATTGTCAACTTGACAAGCACATCGCACCACCAGTGGCAAGAGGCTCTTATATCAGCGATTGTAAATTGTTAAAGGGAACATTTTTTTAAATGAAGATCGTTATTACAAGGAAACGTTTTAATGCAGAAGGTTTTTTACACTATGATGGTGTGACACGTTTACTTATAATAATATTGTAACTACCTAAAATTTTAATCCAAATAATCACAGGCTAACGGAAAAATAAAAAATGTATAGCTCAGATAATAGTTTTAAAACGCTTTACTCGATTAGGCACAAATTATACCTTTTGTTTAGATAAAACAGCATTCTGTGTAAGTAAAATCTTTATTTAAAAAAAAAAATATAATAATTACAAAAAATCGTGTTGTTTACTTGTATTATAAAAATCGTATTTATATACGATAATTATTATAAATAAATAACAATTTTTTTTTTTTTTTTTAACTCAATTAAATGCCTATTTCTTTATTTATTTGAACAGCAATTGTTTACTTTTCCGAATTTATTTATACGGTAACTATATATAATTTACTATAATATAATAATGAACAAACAATATTACAAATTAAAATACGATTCTATTTTGACTCGAGCGCAGAGAAGTTCAAACGCGGGAATAGTACCTATATATCAGTATAATAGTTGTATTATTTCGTGCCATTGCCGCGGTTCTGAGTTATAACTAATACGTAGTACACGGTTGTTTTTTTTTTTTTTATCTAATTACGGGTAATAATAATACGCGTCTGATCATAATAATATTATTATATTACATCAATATATAATGTACTCACGGTCATCGCGGTATCGCGCAACGGTTCATTAAGAAAAGTCGTACGTTCTCGTGTCGTTTGGCTCTATATCTTGCGACGGCCACGGATCGATAATAATAATAATAATATAAGCACAGACTGCGAGGCTTCGGGCCGGGGCTATTACACCGAGTTGACCGTGAATATCGAGAAACGGAAAACCGAACCAGCGCCATTATAGCGGGGGACCAGTTAGGCAACAAACGCACGCCGCCGGAGACAATGCGACCGGTTTTTTTTCCCCAGCGTAATTTTTTAATCTTCAAACCGTACTCCGCGCGTCTCGTCTGTTCGTTCTCCGGACTGGTTAGAGGTTTCGGATTACGCCCGACGGCGGTTGGTAAGCGGGTATAAACAATAATAATAATATTATAAAAACTGCAGGTTTACCACCCCATTTGTGTTTGAATACATATTGTAGGAAATAATCCGTTTTCAACTAGCGCGAAATAATCACAATACGCATTTCAACTTAAGTAATAAAAACTCATAGAATGTGTATCGACAAGGGTCATCCATATTATTTATCATATTATTATCTTGTAACTCAATTGAGATTAATAAATATTGCTCACCCGCATTATTTATTGTATCGTTAGAACATATTTTGTTTTTTCTGAAAGGTCTCGCACGTAATGTATAACAACAAAGGCATTCCGCATTCCCACGATTATTCCGAATCTCTAGTTGAATTTAGAAAGATCTTTAATAAATTTCATAAAGATAAGTATTTACTATGGTCTATAGATCTTGTGAAAGAAACTGTTAATAATTTTGTTATTCCAACTTAAAAGAGTATGGCACCCAGAAATTTTTTTTAGTTTGTACGTAAGAGAGTCGTTTTTTTATTACTTGTTTATTTTTTTAATAGTTGGGAAAAAACCTAGAGAAAATCGGAAAGTTCACGGTATTAACGGTTTTATTATATTCGATTTTGTTTATATTGTTGTAATTCAGTTAATTCGGACCTGCAATTTGCAGGCAAGACACGTTTGGACTAGGAATGTTTGGGTCAATAATAAAACTGCAAACCGTTTATACCAGGATTTAGTGAACCCGTTTGGACCAATAATTTTAAATTTCCAGAAACGCTCACAAAATTTGGTTAATATTCAGTAAAACTAAAATAAGGAAAATTTTGATCCAAACGGGCTGCATAAAAGTAATATTTTTTTAGCCCAAACGGGTCTTCAAAATTGGTCCAAACGAATCCTGCCTCAATATTTGTACATAATACTTGTATAACCTAACCTCTTTCTATAGACTTGATAAAATTTTTAAAACATTCCGGCTATTTTTTTTAGTTATTTAAGATATATTTATAGGGATTTCATATTTTCGAGGTTTTTTAGTTTTTGTTTGGTTTTATTTTTAAAACTGTTTTGGACGAGCAGAAATATTTAAAATTTCGAGTTTCATCATAAGTTGTACTTAGTGGCCACTGGCCAATTAAAATTAATAGACTAATAAAGAATTTTTTTTAAAAACCAATTTAAGTTCGAATTTTGACCAAAATCGTAAAAATTACGCCATTTCAAAACATGTTTACCCAACTTCAGTTCGAGCCGTTTTTCGATAACAATGGTTTATCGTTAATATTATAGGTATAAATTTATATGACTTTACGTATCCTACCTTCTCAACTTTCTACTTAGTGTTTTTTTGTTTCACCCTGATTAAAAGTTAAAATGAACTATACGGTATATTAAAAATACACGCGCATTTTCGATCACATTTGTGTATTTTTCGTACACACATAATACAAAAATTGAAGAAATCATACACTAACAAATTATTTGTATTCATTAAACCGAAATAATACATAAAATGAGAGGAATAAAACGACTTTGTATTAAACATTTATAGTATTGCGTCTCGAAAAGAAGAGAAAAAATACAACAAAACGGTCAATGCTGCGTGATTCATATAATTCCGAACAACGGTGGCTTCTGCAGCAAACCAGTTCTATTGTAAACGACAAAGGTATAGACGCGGGGGCGAAGAGAAGAATAATCGTGACGTGTTCTCCAGCTGGTTTGAACCACGGAGTCTGCAGTGCAGGTTGCCATTATGAATTTACTTTTTTTTTCCTTTTAAAATATAAGTAGTAAAAATATATTTACAAATTAAAATATATTATGCATGAAAGAGAAGTAAATACGATTATATTAATTCGTATTTTACTTTACTACTAATACTCCTGCGAATATAAAATATATTCAAATTAACACATTTGTCAAGTTAAATATAATATACATTAAATATCTTTATATGTTATTAAATATGTCTATCCGATTTTTTTATACAATTTTAACTAAATACAATACAAAATGCACATTTAATGATAATCGTATATATAAAATGGTTACCTACATGTATATTAGTGAATATAATAGAAAACATTTTTAATTTTAAATTGTCTTTATAGTATATGCAGTTACTTAGTGCAGCAAAAAGAGTGAACAAAAAGTTTAACTACAAAATATTAATGTGCAAGATCACCTTATAACAATAAATAGGTACTAAAACGTAATTCAAGAGCCCGTTCTAACCATTGCATACACCTAAAACGGAGCTTTGTATTTCACGCAATTAGGTATTGTTAGACGGTGACACGTTACTTTTTAAACCCTCGGTTCTTTTGTCCGCCCAGTCGGCAAAAAAATAGTATAAACAACTACAATAATAATGATCACGTTAAAAACGACAAAATAATACTTTTAAAAAAATACTGTCGTTATTACGAGTGGGTAACCACAAATAACAGAACGATGACGATCTACCATTTATGAGTCGAGCTGCGAGCCGTTAAGTCGAATATTCGTATAATAAAATGGCCCGTGGTGTTTATATTGAACAGCTTAAAAATACCCGCAGTAATCCGTAGATATCGTATCATGTACTAAATACTGTACATTATGTACAATAATGCAGACACCCCAAGAATTTCTATCGTAAAAATATAATACGATCTTTTATACAAATCAACAGTCGAGCCGAATATTATATAAATACATATATATATATATACAAACATGTCACAAAAGAACGATCGCGTATGGAGAACGGGCAGGTGTACGAAAAGGTACCTAGATAATATATCAAGACAACCCTATACGATTCAAATAATAAATTATGTTTTGACTCTGGTTAAGCGGCAAAACGTGTCGGTTAACTGAAAATATTGGATACTCAAAGACAGATTTTATACGAGATTGCCCGTACAAATTATTATACTAAATAGGGTTTAAAGATAAGATACAATATTTTATTTCTCTTTTCACAGTACTTATTTGTAGGTATTATAATCTAAATTTATCCGGATGTAACAAAGAAAAAAAAAGCTTCTTTTAATTGTAAGCTAACAACCTACCCAAATTAATGCAATATTTAGCAAATATATGCATATATATTATGCATTGAAATTCATAATATTATATTCTAATATTATTATATACATACATGTTGACACATTTTCAATATCAGTAAAAAGCGGACACAATCACAATAACATTATAATACTAACAATATCATAAAAATTTGTAGTTGAGTAATGTATAATAATAAATCTTACCTGCACAAATAAAGCGTGTCTAGAGCGTCAAAAGTTGTGAATTCAAATATCATCTAAAAAATAAATAAATAGGTAAAAATGAATAAGTATTTTGTAAAAGAAAAAAGAATACATATAACAGGAATCGTATTCAAAAGTTTAACAAACAGTGTAAAAATAAAGAAAACCATTTAAAAAAAATACATGGTAGTCTGGCACTACATTTGCGTCATCGCATATGTGTGCCAAAATACTACAAATGAAATAGAACGTAAGTCGATAAAAAAAAATTATAATATAGTAAGCATTTTGAATTATCCAGTCGATGAGAATAATCCGTCGATGTAAATTAAAATTATCCAAAAATATTAAGTAGGTACCGAATATTTTATGCTATTTTAACCTATGAACTATAAGTACCTAATTTTACAAAATCATATCGACAAACAAATCTGCGTGGGTTGTTTATTTACGTTCGATTTCGTACGATACTGAATATTGTTAAAAATATATTAATTATTAATTTAAAATTAATAATGACTATTTAAGACGCATTTATACGCAAATACATTAGATAGAAATTAATGAAATAAGCATTTAACCTAACTGTAATATTGTAGTTTGCAAAATCACATTTATTACACACTAATTAATGTTCGCGTAGATATAATATTTAAGGTGGTCAGTCCGAAAGCCATGCCTTCCCCTATCTTGTGTCCTTATTGGGAATTTTATTTTTTTTCTTCCCCAACCAATCATATATGATTTACTAAATGTGTACACGAGAGTATAGATTATAAATACAAATATAATATATTTGGACGTGGTGATTTTAAGGTAAATAAATATGTATTTTTGTAAAATTATAACTTCAGATCACCTTGATTACGTTGAAAACCAATTTAACATAAAAAAAAAAAAAACAATTTATTTAATCACAAATTATTAGTATAGTATACAAGAGTTGCGTAACTATAGTAAATTCAAACCAATTTAAATACTATACTTTTGTCAGAATATGTAAAAATAATACGTAGATAATGCACACACGCGTGCACACATACATAAATGTACCGATACATAGTACTTATATATACACGCATAATATTGAATATTATCGAGTGTGGAAATTCATTTCCGATACTCGAAATACCTATACCCAACGAACATTATCTACGGATGAGCATGCGTGAAAAATCGAGACAGGTGCGAAAAGAAAAAAAAAGTAGTCTTCAGAGGACAGCGACGACTAACTGACGGTTAATGAACGAAGAGTCGTGTAGAACGGGTCGAATAATGGAGGGCCATTGTTGTCGGGTGCACAAAAATAAAAAAATAAACAACGCGAGTATATAACAGAATATCTCTACTCTATTGAAAGGATTACAAAAAAATTACTTTAATATAAGGAACGTAGGTACCGAAATAGAGTAATGAACAATAGAATCCCCCGGCTAGATTGTTGAACTGTGAAGTATCATGATAGTGTAACTTTAGGGCATCTTATACATCTAAGCGAGTAATTCAAATATTTGAAATATCACCAACTACAAATTTCGGTTGATTTGTGTATATTAATTATTAATCGAGGAAATGGGGAATTGAAATTAACTCATTAATATTAACTGTACTAGTTTATAGAAGTTTATTGTAATCGTCGAAAGTACAAAATAAAATACAACATTGTAGTTATGTTTTTAAACTGAAAGATGACTATATCGCGATCTCATACTCTCGTATACGACGGCTGTTATTGACGAATCATATTTTCTAGTGGAAAAATATAACATAACTATATTTATTACTTTAGGCACAAGTGACAAATAATTAAATTCAGAACCTCGGAGGTCAAAATGGGTCGCAAATAAACTTGAATAATATTAATAACGTTACAACTAATCCCACTAGAAAAATCTTAAGTTTTAAAACTGTGAAATACAACCATTAGTTTTTTTTTTTGACTTGTGTTATGAACCTACAGCAACGAAACCGGTTTCATAAGAAATGTCTGTGGACCATTTAAAATCATTGTAATTTATACACCGGTATAATATTGTGTGCATACGAACCTTAATTAACGGTCCGTGTATCGTTAAAACATAATGTACTTAAAACATATACCTAACAAAATATTAGGTTTTATTAGGGGGGGGGTATTTTTGGAAATAATAATATGGTAATATGTTAATTTAACAACTAAATTATTTTTATGTTTAAAATAATTTCTATTGCTACGTGCAATACTATGAGTATATAGTAATACGTGAGATATAACATATCAGAACACACTTTGTATATATTGTATATATTGCCATATTGTTAATATGACATTTTAGGTATACCTCAATTATTATCCTTATTTATTTTTTTTTTTTTTGTATCATAATTATTCGCAACAAAACAATATCGTTCACTGATCACGTGTATAGCTATACATTTTAGCAGATATAATTATATTAAAATCTGAGTGATGATTGCTTAATGACAACACCGATATTCAAGGTTTTAACCAGGTCTGTGGATAAATTATCTAATTGGTACCTGTACTTGGAAGCGTCGGAGGTTGCAGTATATGTATATTACGTTGGAAGTATCAGAGATAGCAGCAGACTTGTAAAAAGCAATCGACCCGCGGGCAATTACTGCTTCCCGACAAACCGGTTTAAACATATATATATATATATATATTTAATTTTTTTTACGACTTCTATTTTACTGTACACTACAACGACACAAAATTGACCTCATAGGTTCGGGGAGACGTCGTTTTATTACCTTTACAAAATCATTATTTATATTCAAAGTAAAATAAAATAATACGACGGTATAAACCGAGTACGACATAAATAAACGGTTAAGTTCAAAAGAATCCGTCATCCTTAATTCTAGAAATTATGTTGTTATTGTTATAATGCGTTCAACGAATGCGTACAACAAACCGCGTTTATCTAAAAAAGTATATCATTTTAGAATTCCGACAGTTTCAAAATTATCCGAATTCATTGATAATAACCATATTAATATTAATATTATAATATTGCTGTAAAATGGGAGTACTGCGAAATAAATCTATAATGTCAGATAGGAAAAAAAAAATGTTGGCACTGTTAGCGCAAATAAAATAGCTTAAACGATATTTTAAAGCATAAGAGATTTTTGGCACTTTTGGTTATTTATACTTTTAGATTTCAATATAAAGTACCTATCTTTCAGACTGCCTGTCTAGCTTTATTTTCCCGCTGCGGTCGTTCCAGATATTTGTTGTTTGCAAAAAAAAAAAAAAAAAACAGTAGTGCAGAATGTGTTCTTTCTCACTTATTTGTTTAAATATACCAATCAATCAGATCGTATTTTTTAACGTTTCAACGGGTATTATAAAATGTTTAAAAGTATTAAGTTTTTTTTTTAATACTTACACAGTAGAAATACATTTTAAATCACGACTTTTAATAAATAAATCGTGAAACTTAAACTACCTATACGAATTTTATCAATTTACACATTGTCAATTTATAGTGAATATATTACATTTAAAATATGAGTATAGTATATTCAAATACACAATATGATATAATTACTTACTTATAGATAACATTTTCCCCTATAAAAGGATTCGAGTTACGCCATTAAATTTTCCCTATTAGAAGCCTACTTAGGTATACGACTATATAGTGTATTATGGTGACTACTCATACATGACCTCAAAACAAGTACGGCTGATGTTCACCGATGATTATTAGTCATTAAGTGAAAACCCAAGTCACGCGACAACAACAACCCTTCTGCCGTATACGCGTATGATTCATTGTTTTTATACCTACCCGTGAATCATACTCGAAACTTAATTCGTATATTATGTATTAGGTTCGAGAAATTAAAGCTATATATATATACGTATAAATATATCCTTAAAAAAAGGGAAAATTAAAATTCGAATCGAACGTTAAAGTGCATTATTATATATGTTGTTAAGGAACACAGAAACAGAATGATGTCACGACTTGTCATCATTTGAACTGAGCCAGAATGACACGCAAATTACACAATCAAAATATGCTGATAGAACGGAAGCTTAATTAAGGGTCCCATACAAGGAACGATTTGCTTGACGATAAAACCACTTTGTTGACAGGCCTCACGACGGTCTCGTTAGTTATTTAAAATATGATAAGATGATAACAAAGAGCAGATTCCGCCCGGTCTGCAGATATAGCCACACACGCGACAACCGCAGCAGATATTGGTCGCCCAACCGACGTGTTGACAAACACTACCTGGATAAATGAACTTCAATCAAACCGTGTTCGCAGACAATTTTAACGACCAATCCTTTCGTGTACTCAGGCATTTAAGATGGAATATTAACAAAATAAAATAAAATAAATATTTAACAAGATGGTAATTATTGAAACATATTATACAACTATTGTACAACTAGTGTGAATAAATAATGTACTTAGGACACCTATAATATTTGCAAAATTTTTTTACATATATAAATTCAACAAATTGAGACAATTATTCACTTAGGTACCTAATGTTTGTGTAAAGTGTATACTGCAATCTTTCAGAGTTTTGTCCAATACACACTATTCACTCCTACATTAACATTATAAAGACGACCTAATCCCGTTGTAATACTTACAACTATTTAATTTGACAACGATAAAGGGGCCACGGAGACCTTGAATAAACACTTAATCAACATGAACCAATTTTGAAATAGACATTATCACTCTAGAATTTGCTAATATTACTCGTATATACATATATATAAAGTTGAAGTATAATATAATGTTTGATTTATTGTATTATATTTAAAAAATAATAATAATGATTCGTATTATAGGTAGGTACTTAATCTATAAGGTCAAGTTAAAATAATTCACATTATGTAATATTTTTTATTATTACTATCGTCTATACTAGATTACAACAAGAAGTACAACATTAATGTGTTTGATGATTTTCACCTGCAGTGTAATCCCACGCTATAATTTTTTTATTACACATTCGTATGTCTAGTGTGTCCGGACAAATTACTAACAAATATAATAAGGTTAGTGACCACTATAATTATCTTCGAGATATACCTAATATAATAATGATATGTACCCGATAACAAAATTAATAATTAATAACTAGTAAGTCCTAATGGCTTGAAGTAAAAAAAAAATCCTAGCACGGGTAAGTACTCATAGTATATTATATTCAGATCGGTACCTATACAAGAAAGATATTATATTGATATTACTACTATCTGTATCGTCTATATCTACTTATTTCCTTGTAACACGCGAGATTTCAGGAACTTTATTGACCTACCCGTACACCTATAGTTTATTGACCACAAACGAAACTTTATTTTTTAGTAACATTTTATTTTTATGTTTTCGTATTTACCAATCAGATAATTTTTTAAATATTTTTATAAATGATAAAAATATAAAAAACTAAATGTCTAAAATGCATATAGATGTGACGACTGCTTTTGAACGCGATAATTTCTAACAATAAAATAATCGTATTCGCCAATATTCTTATTCAATAATAATAATGTTATTAAAATGGAAATCAACATTTTAAAAAGCATATTATTGTAACATGACTGTTACCTGTAAATTAATATTTTTAAAACTAACATAATACACATGATCAAAATAAAATAATAATTAAATATTATTTTTTTGTTTAATATAAATAAGCAGTCTTATACGCACCTCTATTCGTATATACTGGTACAAGAGAACCGCCATTTATAAGAAAAATTATTGAACTGGTTCCAGTGGGTGATCTAGAACCACGCCTTTTCCGGCCGCCAGTCTTAGACCCCGTGGAGCCCGACGATTTAACTGACATTACGTGTACGTATTATTATTATTATTATTATTATTACTAATATGAAACCAGTTGTTAATTTTGCAACATCGAGATTTCCCCCATAGATATTTTACTATTCAACTGTCTGTACGCGTATATTTCGGGTTGAAAAAAATATCTGTACGGTGTACAAATAATATAGTAAATATATGGTACCAATGGTGCCCGGATGGTACGACATTTGGATCTGGGGGTGCGACGACGACGGCGCCAAACCGTATTAGTATATATAATGTATATATTTTTATTTTTTCAAGACACTCCCGTAGTCCCGTCTCTTTTTGTCCTTCGAAAATGCGGCGCCGTGACTCCACGGGTTACTCAGACACTGGATTTATAAAAACTAAAAATCCCGGACAAAATACACGAAGCACCTATATTATATTATTATATACTCAATGGAAGAGACATAATAAAATGTTTTTGGCGTCTTATTATTATGGTTTGGTCCATATTGCAAAATATAGTATATAATAATATATAATATCGAGCATTAACTTTAGCATTCACCGGACATCTTACACCGAGTCTTATACTCGGGAAAATAATACAACATGTATAATTTAACTCTTTAAAACGCATAAACGTATACTGTACTACTATTTTATTACAATAGGTTTGTCGTATATCCGCGTAAATATTAAAAAGATACTGTACACAACAACCGGGGATTACAACCTGTATCATTAAGTGATTAGCATTTTACTTTTACACCTATTAGGTTAATTAATAATAATTTCAATTTCTCTAAAACTATTGTGTACACAAAAAAATAAATATATTTGGTAGGTATACGTAGGTATTAATTTAGGTACGTCTAGACTTTCTATTTATCTAAAGTGTTTGTTTTTTCAATTATTTTAAAATAATAAGAAAATTATCTTCCTATTGAAAACTATAGATTAATAAAATACATTAATTGACAAGAAATTGTCCATGTTATTCAAAAGCTTTATGTAAACAACTATAACTACTAAATACCGACAATATTGCCTAAATCAATAGAAAGGCTCTGAAAAGATTTGAATAGCTACTATTTAAGACATTTTGAATAGACGCAATAAAAATATAAAATATCCACATCGATTAAACATCGATAGGATACTAATCTATCCGGAGGGTAATTATCATTAAAGAAAATCAGTGTACACATTTTTGATAGTGACATCTAGAACATCATAGAACATCTTAAGGAAATCTTTAGTAATCTTTTTTTAGAAAATATTTTGTAATCTTTTAGAAACTCTCAGTATCGATGGGAAAATCATGGTATTCTAGAATCTGGTGTACACAATATCCATCAGTGATTTACATTCTGGACCTATAAATCAGAAAATACAAGTAACCAATATTCTTATTCTAGTTCTTCTCCTTCGTCTTGCTCTCTCTCTCTCTCTCTTTTTCTTATGATGGTCTATTATTAAATTATTGAAAATTATTATAAATTATTGATAATCATGTTAAGCCGTCATCTGGGTCATCTGCGTCTCGGAAGTCTTGTTAAATTTATTTTGTTGGACAGTACACTTTTTAATTATTTTTATATCATAATATTTTAGTAATTTTCCGTGATTTCCTGAGGATTTAAACGAAATTGCATCATTTTCGTTCGACAAGAATTAGTAAAAAATAAAAACATACAATCATTCATTTTTAAGATATTATAAGACGAGTAAGATATACATGATGTATTCAATACGTATATTATCATTTATTACTATTGCCTCGGTTATTACTGAGTAAGTACCTACATAAGAAAATACTGTTGAGTTGTTCAAAACCTTTAATTTATTATAGGTTCAAAAAAAAAAAAAAAATTTAAAAAAATAATGCATTGTAAGTATACGTGTAAAATAATAGCAATATGAGTATTACAGTTTGTCGAATATATTAGTTGGCGTAATAAAAAAAAAAAACAACAAATAAACAAACACCTAATTATTTTAACAGCGAACTAATAAAAATGTTTGATTAAATGCAATACGATATTATTTAACTGTCATTAAAAAATCGAATTGAAATAAAATATATTTTAAATAATTATGTATATCTATACTTGCGCAATACTTATAATAACAGACTTAACAGTAAATAGGTATTAATGAATCGTTGTTAACAATATGAATTTTGTATAAATTTAAAAATATAGGATGTAATCTATAATAAAAAAACGTCACGATAAATCACTAGAAATTGCATCGGAATTACAAAACTAATAATTCTAAATATTGATTAATAAAAAAAAAAAAAAAAAAATGAAAGCATATTAAATTTCAACGGAAACGGATATTGATAAATCGCGATTAATATATATATATACATACATAATATATCATTATAAAATAAAATAATTATTAACAAAAATTAAAATAAAACATAATTACGTCCCGCCGAGAAGAAATAATATTTTTTTTTTTTTAACTTTCAAATAATATAACGGGCGTACCTAAAATTAATATCAAATAATTTTCATTTTTATTATATACCTATTATTGTTATAATATAGTCGTATTAAACCCGACAACGACAAAAATACAAAAATAGAAATGGTTTTTTTTGTGTTTTGAAACTTTTTTAAAAAAACGACGACATTGAAAACGTTCAAGTATAGGTGTTTTGACTTGAATTTATAAGTCATTTTCTTATATTTAAAAAAAATCTAAAATAATTGTACAAAACGAAATAAGAAACCTGGGTAATAGTTGTATACAGTCAGACGGTACAAATCAAAAAAAAAAAATTGGATACCTATCGCGAAAAAACTATTGTCATTACAATTCTACGTAAAATGTCGACTTCAGAAAATAACAATTTTTAAAAATTGTAAACCAAAAACTAAATAATAAGCATTTGACATTAAGTATATTTATAATAATATTACATATCTAAATTAAATATAACACTAGGTTAATTATTATTCTGGTTAAAAAAAAAAATGTTAAAATATATATATTAGTATGTAAATATACCTACTTTACTTGTAATAAAATATTGCACATGTTAAAATTAGTAAGTCAGATAAGCCGTGATATACCTGACAGTACATATGCTCATTGTATAAATTATATAGGCACCCTGTATACGTATGTTATATTATATTATTAACTCCTTATATATAAATTACCTAAGAACATTATAGTTACTTACACTATCAGTCAGATTAAAGGGGAGGGAAGAGAGGGCGCATGTTTTGAAGAAAAAGCCGCAATTATTTAATTGATGTAACCTTTTTAGAGTCGGAGCGGAGCGAAGGATATATTGGTTTTTTTGTTCTGCCTGTAAATAACTTTTTGAAAAGAAAACTTACTCCAATGTATCAAGTGTAGCACCTTTTCTGAAAAGGAATTTTATTCAGTTGATACATTAAACAGGTCATTTTTGATTTTCCAAGGGGTTTCTAAAATAATGGAGAATGGTAAACTCCAACAAAAGCAGGTAATCTCCTACTTTGACATAGTGTTAACTCCTACACTAGATAGTTTTAAAGTTGTAAAAAGTAAAATGATTAAAAATCAAAGCAAAATATAGTAAAACAATTTTTTTTTCTAGTTATTATAATGAATAAAAATCAGTCGGATGTGTTATCGAAATGTTCAAGAATTTTCAATACGATACATTATATTAATATGTTAGCTAAATTGTATTTTACATTTTATTATCTTAAGTTTCTACGAATCTTTATCCAAAAAATGTCTTTTATAATTTTTCTATTAGAGAACTATTTCTGGTATAAAACATCGTGAGTGTTTACTTAAAATAATGAAATCGTAAAATCTTAAGTTTCTCCCCATTTAAGTACAATTATCTCAAATAAACATCATTGTAAAACCAATATACACCACTCGCTACACTCAGAATCTAAAATGTAAATAAAAGTCTGTGTAGAGGAGATTAAAACATCTATTTTTGGCAGGTAAAAAAGGACTATGTAAGAGTTTACACTATAAATACAGGTAAAAAGGTCATTTTTGTAGGAGTTTACATGTAGCCAAAATAATTTCGAAAATCCGGAAAAGAAAAAAATAAACAGATAAATTTACGGCATTGTTTTAAATTCTTACGGTTTATGTATTCTACAAAAAATATTGATCCAATGAAAAAACGAAAACAAATCTATTTTGATGTATAAAACTACAATTTTAATCTTGTTGGTGTATAAGAAAGTCATTATTTTTTATTTTCTCTGTAGTTTTTTAAAAATTAAACAAAACCAAACAAAAACGTTGACAAAACGGGGATATTTACGATAATAATGCTTTTATTATTTTCAATTTGGTTTTTCTGTTGCAAGTCAGTTTGAAACATTAGTACAAACTTGAAATGTTAACAGATAAACTATATTTGTCTTTTCTGGACGTAGTAAAATTTTAAAAAACATTTAAGCCATTTTTAGACTATTTATAGACATTTTAATTTTTCCACATTTATTACGTAATTTTTATATTTATAGGTACTTTGTGGATAAAATTATTAGACTAAACAGAAATGTTCGAAATTGAACAGGAGGTTCATTGCACGTTGTACTTAGTGGTCAACAATAAAAAGTTGAGTTTAATTTTTATTTTATAAGAATTTTAATATTAAATTTTGACGTAAATATTACGGCTTTTCAAAACACGTATAACCGAACTTCACTCCAAATCGTTGCTTATAGGTGTATAATTAATAACTAATTATCCAACCTTCCCACCTACAACAGTAACACATCCGTCTGCAGTAGCAGCTCTTTTTTTTCCTGTTTATTAGTTAGATTGTCTTTGGGTATATGCTCGGAGATGCGACAAATTGTGCTACCGATCGCCGTATGCCCATTGTGAATTTAATGTTTTAAAACAAAAATATTTTAAAGCGAAAATAGCGATGAAATACGGAATTAGATAATCATTAGACATTACGTTATCCGAATAGATTTATAGCGTACAGTAATACGGTCTGTGAACAAATAATCGTATTTGCTAAGTTGATAATACTACTGGATGAGCATGTGGGAGAAATTTTGACGAGTTAACTTGATCCTCCGAGTCGCCTTTACCTAAAGTGTGACCGGTACCGTTTGTTAATCAATTTTTCTTAGGTACTTATACATTATGATTTTTCCGTTTCGAAATACTACTGAGACAATATTCATCAGTCATCACTATTGAGTAGGTACCTCTAATTGTGACTACTTTTTGAACGTTTAAACACAAAACAAAAGAATGTCCGTCTACCTACGATTAATGTTTTTAATATTCCTAACGGGTACTAACTACTAGTTAGGTATGTATATACCATACCTACCAAGTACTTACCGCGGTAATTTTCTACAAACGTAGGTGCATATAGGTACCTAGGACAGGTAGGTAGGTTAGGAAAAGTACAGACGTCTGAAGGCGTTGGATAAATTACAAAAATAAAAACAAATATCAAAGTACTCACCGTATCGAATTCTTAGCGCGACTTCTTTCTCGGCGCTATAAACCTTTAGAATAAACAACATTGAAAAAAAAAAAAATATGCACAGACACAAAACTAAAACCTCAACACACACGGCGATAAATTATAACTGGTAAGTACACCCGAATTTCGTCATAATAATTAACACTGTGGGTGTACGTTTAATAATAATAATCGAATACCATTTCGTTTTCGATAATATGTAATATAATACCTAAATGAATAATCAAAAAAAATAAACGAAAAACACAGAAAGAACAAGTAAATAGAACTTAGACGGATAATATGTAACGTGTATCAGAAACCACGGAGTATCGTTACATTAAACAACAAGCGTACAACGAGTTGCGTCTCGGACTGGTTTTCGTTTTTGTTTACGTCCTATACAACGTGTCGGTCGTCGGAGTAGAGTGGAGGGGCAAAAAAAAAAAAAGTAGTAACGGTAATAACATGGAGCGTTGCTATACCCGGCGGCGTTGATCGGCTGCAGAGTGGCGTGTGCGCGGCCGTGGCGGTTTCAAAAAAGAACAGTGTGACCAATGTGCGCAGCTGGATCGCCGTCGACATTTCTTATTTTATTGTAGCCACACTGCTGAAAATAAAAGATTAAAACAACATGCTGTGATCTGTGATAATATAACCGCGTCCATATTGTTTAAAACAAATTTGGTAAACAAACACAAAACAATATTATAAGTAATTGACATTTTCATTTTTCGCAGATATATAATATTATCTAAGGATTTTGTGTAAGTACCATGCATTTTATTACTGATTCCTGTCTTGGATTTTGATTTTTTTTCTTATTAATGTTGATTTAAGGTATTTGTAAATTCTACTACTATCGACTCTCGACGACCAGGTCAATTATGGCCACGGTAATAGCCATCGACCTGTCAGTGTCTATGTTTAAAAAAATCAAAATCCCAGAGACCAAAGAAACCTATACTTTATCGCAGTTAGCTGAACACGGAGTTAATACATTGTTGGACTATTTGGCCGTCCATTCTAAACTCGAATTTGTTGCAGTCGTGAGTATTGTACAATAATATACTTGACTCGAAGCAAAAACGTTCTTTGTTCATCCAAAACATTATCTACCTTCCTGAGCAAGTACTGTTTTCCCTCCATTGTTGTAATTGTATCATAATACTTGACACTACAATATAAGTAGAATAATATTATTATCATGTACCTACCTAAAATACAATTTTGTACAAGAAGAAAGAAAAATATAAAACTTGGCAAATTAGCATAAAAACAAATGTTTATTTGGTTAACATTTGATTGAATTTGGTAATCATACCTCGTTCTAATCTGTCAAAATAAATTTAAACAAAAGGCTGTCTTCTCCTTTAAATTTGTATAATAATAAAATTGTACACCGGTTTATAAAGTTTATTTCCAACAGGTTACATTTTCACATACATGTGATATACTGTGTTCATTTACTCGCGATTATGAATCTATCAAAAATAAAATCATGCATTTAGATTTCCGAACAGATACACGCTATGCCCCTGTAATACAAACTATTAATTATTTAGTTCATAGCGAGTGGTCCAACTCAGTAACATGTCAAGTAAGTAACATAATATAAAACACTGTATTTAAACTAATATCGATAAATAAATAAATAATTTATTTGTCTAGGTGATTATGATTACTGATGGAAACTGTTATCGAGGTCTTCGACAACCAGATATAACACCATTTCTATTTCCTGGAAAACTAATAGTCGTCCCTTTGGATGAAGTATCCACAATTTATAAAAATACCTATAACTCAAACAAACTTCCAAATGGCATGGGGTATATAACTTGTCCTGAATTACCTCTAACTCCATCTAAAGTTGCTAAAGTGTTTGAAAAAATTGCTAAAGAAACATATGTTCCATACAGTGCAATTTTACGATGCGGTCATTTAAAATCTGATGTTCACCTGACTCCTCCTCCAATGGTATTATTAATAAATTTGTTAAATTAAACACTTTAATATATAGGTAAATAATGTTTTTTTTTTTTTTTAATTTTAGTCTTACACAAAAGCAGCAGATTTTGAGATAATAACATGTTGCATTTCTAATGAATTGAATATAATTGGATTTTTAGAGTCTTCAAAAGTTGAATGCCCTGCTACTTTATCCCGTCATCTTGTTTTACCCCAGAGATTTTCAGATGAATGTACAGAAAGTAATGAAGCGTCTTCAAAAATTCCATCATTTTGCGTATTATTACATGGCGCTTTAAAAGTAAATAATTTTGTTTTAATGATTTATTTACTTTAAACAAAAAATAATAAAATCATATTTATTCAATTTTTTTAGGTTGAAAACATGATGGCTCTTTGTCAGTTAAGTTCTAATTGGTTTGGATTATTAGTTAGTTGGGCAGATAATAAAAAAAAATCCAACTTAATGTTAATTGTACTCGAACCTGGTACAAATCCAATTCCTTGGTTGGGAGACATTCGAAATCTTACATTAACGTCAACAGAAAATAAGACAGGTTAAATGTCTAAAATAATAATTTGATTATTTATTATTTAAATTTAATTTTATTAAATTTTTACAGAAAACGATGATCCTCAGCCAATAAAATTATCCGATAAGCGTAGTTACAATCAGTCACAATTGGTATGGATTAAAGAAGCTGGTCTTCAGGCGGATATTCAAAAAATTTTGAGGCAAGCCAGAAAAATGCCAGATAAGATTCCGAGCTTTTATAAGGTAGTTGCCAATAAAATGATCAATTTAATTTTAATAAAGTAAAAATAAATAATGAGGCTATTCTTAGTTTATGTTACTATGAGCAATGATAAAAAAATTACAAATAAAACAAGATTCTAAAATTTTAGAGGAGGTTAAATGTTGGAATTTAGGAAAATGCTTCATTTAAAGTACTACCATTTGTAAAATCTTTTTATGAATGTGTGAACATGTTGAAGTATTTTTTTTATTTTTTTGTTATTTTTTTTGACAAACGTATTTAGAAAAAAAAAAACATCCCAGTTAAACTATAAGTTTCCTCCCTCCAATTAAAATCAGAAATTATATGTAAAAATGTATATACAAATAAACATACTAAATAAATATTGAATCATTTAAAATGAGATTATTAGTTATAAATTTATTTTAATTTGGTTTTAAAATAATTGTATTTTGTTAAGGAATTAAATCGGATCCGAAAAGCTGCAATTGCTTACAGCTTCAATGATTTATTAACCAGTATAGCCGACCTATTAGAATTAGAATGCAGCAATTTACCAGGCGGTACTCATCCAGATTGTGCCCTACAATTATCTCATGCTGCTATTGAATTGCGAAAACCTTACGCTATGGATCCTAAACTTACAATCGTTCCTTTGGTAACAAAATATCCTCACCACGAACTTATGTAATATTACATAAATGAAACAAATGTGGTATTTAATTATGAACTCAATTAATAAATCATAATATCTTGTAAACTAAAATGATTAGTAAGCAGGAAGAATTATTTTGTTGACATTTATGTATCAGCACGCATGATTTTCTAACAAAATATATTTATTATTATTAATATATGTAAGTATGTAATGATATATTTATATAATTTATTTTTTTTAAAACTGAATATGGCAGACAATATCAATATATTTATATTATAATAAATGATATACCTAGATATTTATCAATAACCCTTGGGTTTCGTTCATTATTGATTAAAAATATATTATATTTTTGTTTCATGTAAATAAATAACAATAACAATCAACAATAAAAACTGTTTTAATAAATTACTAGGAAACAAGGAAATAACAAAATATTTATGAATCATATAATATATATTATTATGTACACAATTGCAGACGCTAAAATTATATGATAAAAGGAGTAAGTCTCCATTAATATATTTTTTTATTACTTTTTACATGCATTGTAAGAAAAAGATTTAATGAGTGCAAAATAATAAGTTAACTTTGGTAAAATTTTATAAATAAAACATTCAATATAACAATATATTATTATATAGGTATATAATATTAATTTGTATTTATATAAAATATAAGGTAACACTAATCAATAACAGAGTTTGTTGGTAATTTGCTAATATTAATTATTTTATTCAAGCAGAAAAAAATAAGATTTATTGTTAATTTAAAATAAAGTATCATAAGAAATAATACTAAATAAATAGTTCCGGTTATGGAATTAAAAATGCTGTTTTAAATTGATCATTTTTAACTTAAACAATTTATATAAGTATTAGTGAAATAATATATTTAGCTATAAGATACTTCTGACAGGGTTAAAGTGAAGAAGAAGAAAATATTTGGTCAAGAAATTAATATTAAATGTCAGATAGAATGTTCAGTAAAATATGCACAAATAAAGTTTTTTAAATAAACTATAAGTATATGATTTTTATTAAGATTATAAGTACATAATATGTCAACCAATCTTTAAAGTTTTATTGTCATAAATATATTTCCTTGGACAACAATAAAAAATTGATTTTTGTTACTAGGTCGTTTAGCTTTTATAAAGCAACTTCTTTTTTTAAATATTCAAATGCAGATTATATTTTAATTTCTATTTTTTATGGATAGATATATCATACAATGAACCAATAAATCATTTATGTATAACCATTTAGCGTTTAGAAGAACAGAAAAATATATTGTAACAACAGTATGTAATTATTTATTTCTTTATCTTATTTATCTAAACTTTTTAAACGCTTTTACATACATAATTATTGATTAATATGTACCCAATATCAATGTACTGAGATTTTCAGAGAAAAATACTACATCAGAAACTGAAAATAGTAAGTAGGTACAGGTTACTATTTAAAAAAAATACATACAACCGCGAAAATTTTCTGGTATAAATATAGGTAGGTAGGTATCTATTTAAAATTATAATATATGTTTTTAACATTTATTCGAGTAGGTAGATACCTCAAATTTTATTAAAACAAAAATCGACATAAAAACAAATGTGTACAAAATAAAAAACCATATTATATATTGTATAGGTACCAAAGGTTCCCGAACTGTGGATTGGAACAGTATAATAATTTTTATACCTCAATATATATTAGTATATTATCTCCAGTGTATATTATTTCAAAATGTGTGTAGGTATCATTTAATATAATATATATTATCTATTATTATCTATTATATTATAATAAGCGGTCTAAAAAAACTAATGGTTTTTTTTTTCAACACTGTCATTTTTGTCGATGTTTTTTATACAGTCTTCCAAATGTTATTTTACGGTTTTAAGAGTAGGCATATAAGCCATATGGTTAGGAACTTAATACTCTTACTCTCAAAACTGTAACATAGGTATTACTTGGAACGCCCAGTATATTAAATAACAATATAAATACTTAATATATTTATTATGAATACATTCTACTGAAAAATTATTAGGTTTTTAAAAATGAGCTCATAATATGGCGTACTCGAATGATATTATTAAAATGCGATTTTACAAAACCCTTAACATCACTGCCAAACTTTTGGTAAATAGGTAGTAGTCCACAAAACATATAATGGAAAATAACACACACACATCGCTAAACATATTATTATTATATGTTGTATGTGTGTTTGCATTTTCATACCCTGATTATAATATAACAGTTATATAATAATATAATGATATAGAATATATAATATACAGAGTGTCACACCACGCATATGTGTCCCGGTAATATTAGCTTATTTATGTCTATATTTAAACAATAATAAATATATTTTTGAAATCTGAATTTTCTAAATTACTATTGTCTATTATGTGTAAGCAACAATTACAATGTGTTATTTTTCCTGTTTGAAGCGCGCATTTTGAACAAAACCTAGTTTCTAATGTTGAATGTTTAAAAAATTATTTATTGGGATGCACACTGGGTGTTGAGACACTATTACATTATATTTGTATTAGGGTGGTTCTTATTTGGGCGATGATGAAATGTTTGTTTCCCCAACTGTATTCTAAGAAAATAAATATTGAACCCTTTTTGAGCTTTCTAGGACAATATTTTTACTCCTCCTGTAACGGGGTAAAGTTAAAATGAATACGTTTTTTTATAATTATATGACATTCAGTATATTATAGTTAACGAGCAAAGTTTTTCTTGAAATGATCGTTGTTATAGTACGCTTTAAGGGGAAAAAATAATTAAAATATACCGGGCAGCATTCCATGTCACATTCTTACTGATAATTATTAATTTTTTCTTAGTTTCCTAAAATGCCATCGATATAATATTCAGAAAATCAATTATTTTTAGGATGTCGCATGTTTGAATATCGTATGAACATGAAATGTGATTCACTCTGTATTAATTAATAAAATCAATCGAAAAGCGTTCCTAAAATAGTCCATGTGTATTGAAATTATATACAGATAATAAGTGGGTACGGACCCGTGCATTTGTATATATATTATTTTTTGAATGAAATACTTATTAGTTGATATAGAGCGATCCATATTCGATGTTTAATGTTTATATGATTTTCAAAGATGTGACACGTTACGTTGACGATATTTTAGGGAACTAAAAAAAAAAAAATAATTATTATTAGTAATAAAGTGAATTGGAATGCCCGATATATTTTCTATACATTTTATCGGCTTAATGTTTACTTTTATTATTTTTTTTTTTAAATAAAGTAAGAGGGCATCAAAACAAAAATTCCGCAGTCACCCAAATAAGAACGATCCTAATCCGTATAATGTAAACACGATTGTTATAAAACGTTTTTTATACATCAACAATGTATCAAGAGGACGTGATGTATGAGGTGGAAATTGGGGGAAGCTAAGTGTCCCCAAATAATCTATAAGTCCCCCCCAAACATTTTACAAAACAGTAATTTTATTTTTGAGCAACCTAATTGATTTACATGATTTATACAAATATTAGTCCCCTCCCTTGACATTTGAATGAAATTCCGCCTATTTACCGCCCGTAATAAAGAGATTACCTATAGACAATTTGTAAAACATTTAGAAATAAAAACCGCTACACATTTTAATAAGTATACAAAATTTTCAATCAAATCAACGTGACGACGTATTTTCACCAATTAAGCTCATGGGCATATATATTTTAGTGAGTAGCAAAAATAAAAAGGGTCATCATGTCTTGTGACGCCCTCTAGAAATATGGCGCCCATGGCAATTACTTTCATTGTAAACTCCCTTCTTTCACCCCTCCTCACCTCCAACAAAAAATACGTCCGTGAGTTTACCCAAACAATTGTTTACAAATAAATGAAAAAAAATCAAAAATTTTACAAACAGAAAACGTTTGTTAATTAATGTATTTTTTCCATTTGTGCTAAGAAACAAAATATAAACACGTCAGTCATTACGGTACAAAATTCAACTTAGGCGTTGTGAAATTTTTAGATACGATAATTCTTCTATAAATATGGTGCGAGAACAGTGTTACCTCGAACTAAACAGTTTTTGCAATCGAATTTTTACGGGCGGTGTCACGTCCCCTCAATAATTATTATTCTTCTACCGAACAATACACTATTATTATGGTAAAACCACGGTAACCCCTTACACTCCCTAACTCACCAACGTACGCATCGAAATAATAGTATAATTTATTATAATTTGTATAATAATTACTGGCGGTATTTTGACTAGTCGTACACTTCAGTACTGTTGCCACAATGACACTTAAGTATAATAATAATAATAATAATAACAATAATAACTATATAAATATAATATTAGTTATAACGCGTGTTATACGGTAGAACACGTTTTGTTTAGAACCAATAATTTACCTAATAATATTATTGTAATAATAAAATATATAGGTACAGTGGCGGCGTGAATAATGGATATCTTATGAAGCTGCTGCTTCACGAACAACTTATAGGTGGATGGCTGGGTGCATGTGTAATACTTAATCATTAAATGTGATAATGAAAGAGGTTAAGTATAGAAGAAACGTCTATTCACTGTCATAATAATATAGTTTACCAATAATATAGTTCGTCTGGTTCAGGACTGTATGCGGTTTTTTGCAATTTTACTGAAACTGCTTCACAGAAAAATAAAAATGTCATGCCACCACTGTAATATATAGGTAATACGAAACTATAGATGTTATTTTGATATCAGGCCTCGATCAGTGGACGGATACAAAAACAAAAAATTATAATTACATAATACTCGTAATAATAAAAATTAATAATAAAATAACCACCGGTAAAAACTCGATGATGAATTATTATTATACCGGGTTATGTTAATAATTCGCGGCTTCGTAGAACAGTATATAAGCCTCATTGCTGATTAATTTGGTCGTTGACGTGACCCTAGACACGGAACTGTCGTTGAAGAAGTTCCAGTCGCCCACAGTCGGGTGTTTACAGAACGCGGTGTAGTGGCCGGCTATCGGCGTGCCCGAGTGGTTGGACACCGCGTACAGGCTGTACTTGGTCGGGTGCGGCTGTATGCTGCGGGCCGAGCTGGACACGTACGGGCTCATGTCGAGCGCCACCAGCGGGAACGCCACCAGCGCGGTGATCTTCTTGTACGAATGAGTGCCCTGGAACCGTTTCAGATGCAGCACCAGGTACCTGGGCAACTTTTGGAAACTGTACGCCTTGTACATTTTCCTGTCCACCTTGCATACGCTGCACCGTGGCCGCTCGCGGTAGTCCAATACCTCTTCTTGCGTAAAGTTCTCCAGCAGATGTGTGAGCGACATTTGGTCGGCCGAACCGCCCGACGGCAACGACAGCGACAAGTCCCAAAAAACCTGCGCATCATACAATTAATAACCCATTATTATCTATATATATTATTATAAGATACAATAGTATTGTATTGTACGGGGTAGAATGACTAAGGCATTGTTTATATACTTATATGTACTTAACTATTACAGAGTTTTAGTATACAAACATTGACTTTGTGTCTATCTGCCCCGTACTGTATATTGCAGGCGCCGGCGTCACCGGGCGAATTGCCAGTGGAATGTATTATATAGCATATTATAATATGTATTTTTAATCTCGCGGCCACGGAATCGGGTCAATCGTTGTACGCGAATTGCGTAGGTATAAATGCGCCTACCTCGAACGTAATGCTCTTGTGGCCGCATACGGAACACTCGAGCGTCGATTTAAGCTGCCCGGCGAATAGATCGACCACGGTGCTGTTATCTGTGGCTAGATACCTCTGCCAGAAGTCAGCGGCCAGCGCATTGTCTTTGAGCGACTCGTCCACGTCCGGTGCCGCGCGAGGCTTAACCTTCACCCTGTTGACGTCCATGTGGAGTTTGTCGAGCAACAGCCGCAGGAACTCCTGCGAGTCCTGCTGGTCGTAGCCCGCGAACCGCGGTGACAGCCGCTGGAACGTCGACTTAAACGCGGTCGTGTCGACAGGATGATTGTCGTTTCCCGTCCAGATCCGAGTCAAGAGATCCCGATACACCCGGATGAGTTTGCCGTCGGCGCCGTCGGGATCGGCCAAAACGTAGTCTGTCAGGCTCTTGGTGTTGCTCAGACACTGCAGCACAGAGTTCATATAGCACGTGTTGCCGATGTTTCGGATACCCACCACCCCCTTTTTAGAGTCCGACGAAGACCTGCACGATAGTTCCTGCAATGTGCCGCCACCGTTATCCGTGCCGTACTTGTTCTTGTTCATGTTGACATACCTGGATTGTGGCTGATGCACTGTTTCGCTGCAGGGAGGCGTGTCCCGCGGTTTCTGCTGCTGTTTGTTGTACTTTTCAAAGTACGACAAATTTCCGGCCTTGTAATTGTACGACTTGTTTAGCAGGGACGACGGCGGCGATCTGTTGTAAAACGCGTCCAAACGTTTTTTCGTTGCGTCATATCGCTTGTCGTTGCCTAGCAGCAGAGTAGCTGAGCCAGTGATGTTGCTGGTCTTGCTGCCGATGCTGCTGGTTGTAGTTTCACCGCGGGATCCCAGGGTCGACGAGGACGTCGACGACAGGGTCTTGCTGAGGCTCAGCGACCGGATGTTGCCGTTGATGTCGGTCAGGGTCCGCGGGCTGGACCGGACCGAGGACGACGGTATTACCTGCCTGGGCACGCTATTGTACGCCCTGGACCGGCAATCGGGGCTGAACTCGGTCAACACGCCATACGACGACGACGACGACGACGACGACGACAAAGACGAATTGCCGTGATGATGGTACTTGGACACCGCCGCGGTCCTCCCGGTGCCGTATTTGTCCGCGGCCGACGATGACGACGTGTACATGCTGTTAAAGACGATCGACCGACCGGACGACGGGGCCGCATAACAATATTGTGTAACCGTTTCCCGTCGTCGCCATCGCCTCCTGTTGCACCGCGCGTCTATGCGTATTATACGCTCGCGGACAGCAAACTATACTGAGCGCGTGTTCGCGTGGGCGCGCTGTCGCGCGCGCGCGCGTATGCGTATGTATATGTATGCGTGTGTGTGTGTGTGCGTGTGCGTGTGTGTATGTGCGTGTGTGTATGTGCGTGTGTGTGTGTGTATGTGTGTCGTGTGTTCGTGTGTCGTCTCGGCGGTTTTTTCGTCGCTTTTTCTTGGCGCGCGCGTGACGTCAGGAGAAATTTTTTCCCGTCGAACATCTGTTCCGCGGCAATATTATTATTATGACCGCACGCACGACGAAAACGGTAGTGCGGCGGCGTCAGCGAATGATCGATGGTGCGCGCGCGGCACCGCAAAAAGCCGGGGCGCGATTGTAACAACAATATAATAGTGTAGTATCGTATTTTTAGCGCGGCGGCGCCACGCGCACTAAGTGTCTGAGACTCGGTGCCGTGTGCCGCCCGGTGAGCAGAACCGCGCGCGCTGCTATCGATGTGCGCGCCATATCCGCCAGCCGGCACCTAGAACGTCGATGCGACGCCGCAACGGTACTGCGGCGCGCGCGCGCGTATTGATTAACCTAGTTCGTCCCGGTTTTATTTTAGCTTTTATAATATTTATGTGTATATAGGTATATACCATTATATTATTGTGTGTGTGTGTGTGTGTGTGTGTGCGTATTATATTAGGTGCGCGCACGCGCTTTTACGAATGTGTGTGCGTGTGTATACAGGGCGGTGGCGGCGTCCAGCGTGCGTGACGGCTCTCTAATGCCATCACAACTTATATTATGAAATACTATACAATATTATACAGCCTTGACGGGGTTTTATGACAATAGATGATATTATACGCATTATTATTATTATTATTATTATTGTTGTTGTAATATAATTTAGGGGGCTATAGTGATGACAATATCATATTGAATATATAAACGAACGTGTTCGAATTTGTATTTTATTTTTCTCGCTTTATTGTATAGTATTATTATTATAATGTATCGCCCGCGTATATATCAATTATACGTGCGCACGTACTTAATATGATTATGTGTTGAGGTCGTCGCGTCTATTTTTTCGATTGTGTTTCGCTATGTACACGCCGTTGATAATATTATTCGCGTTGTAGTTTATAATAATATTATTGCCCATATCAGAATCCGTCCAAGACCGGGGCCGTATTATCACCGCCCGCGGTATCCCATAATGTAATATTATTGCACCTATTATACCTACATAGACTTGCGGAACATTCGGTATACAAATGCGCGCCAGTGACCCGAGGAATATAATATAGTCACTAGAGCGTTTTGTCCGGTCGACCCCGGACCGTAGTCTGTAATTTCGGTACTGTCCGACACCGCGTCTGACGCGTCGGCCCCGAATCCTCGGGGCTAACGTTCCGCATCCGATACTCGTATAATAAAAGTCCATGATATTACAACATTACGATGGGCGATTCCGAGCTTTGCGTATTATTTCGACCGGCCGCAAACATAATCGGATTAACCGCGTGCGTAAGATTTCGCGTGTGGCGCGTCAATAAGACACACACCCACCCACACACACACATATACGCACACGCACACACACAACTGTGGCCAAGGCCGCAGCTGTATAATCTGCTGTCCCTCTCTCGTCGTCGTCGTCGCCGCCGTGGCCGTCGAAATCAATATTTTTTCAATAGGTCTTATATACACGAATTATTTTTTTCTTTTTTTTTCACCCATTTATTTTCTTCCCCCATACTCCTTTTCGACCGAATATAACCGAGGACCACACCTTTTTCGGCACGATTTATATGTTACGCGCGTGTGCGGCGGCCGCTCGTCGTCGGCATATCGGTCGCGCGCTCTGAAAATTATTTAGGAAAATATTACATTAGAATATTACATAGGCAATACGTATAATATTGTGCATCGGCGTATTTCGATGGGGGAAGGACGATTGGGACGGACTGAACCAAATTATTTTTTTGTTCGTGTTATTCACACTTGTAATTATTAAAAATCGATTCTGAGCGGAGAATAGTATTGGGGTCACGTTTTTCCCCTTGCAGTCAATGTAACTCAGATTGTTTAACAAAATTAAAATGAGTGCGTCGACACCATCATTTGTCGTCAGTTTTTACATTGTAGCTATATAGAAAAATCATTGGGAATCTAGACATTTTTTTCAAATAAACTATCACTGAGTGAAAAATCCACATCTTATAAACGTTTAAGATACGATATGAATAATATTTTACTGGAACATTATTTTTACTACCCGAAGAAATATTTTCTGGGGGAAAGAAAACTTCACTTACAATGTGAATTGTATGAAGTCTATATAGTTTTTTAAGTAAATTGCTGATTACCGGTCAAAAGTTCACCATCGTCTAAGGTATTGCTTGAAGAAATTAAAGCATTACCTTCACCAAAAAAGTGTTTTTTATAAGAAAAAAAAATATCTTAATAAAACTAATAGATTAATTCTTATAACTCAAATAGCTACACTAGGAATCTGTATGAAATAAATCTGTATGAAAAGTGTGGGGAATGGGCCCACACGACGTTTACTTAAAAAAATATCCATCCTCCCCACCAGAATAAAATCATAACTATGCCATAGATATAGTTACTACCCGTTTACTTGCAGTTTACGTTATTCTGTTTTATTTTAATCATATTGTACTCGACTTAATTCATGAAGTATATAAGAACACGACTGCGCGTCTATCAATATACCTATATATGCTATTGTAGCTTACATGCGGGGGAAGTTAAGGGGTCACAACATCCGCTCCTTCCAAAAATTTTACCTGCATGAAAGTTCTTCTAACCAAGTTTTACATTTATATATTTTTATGTTACTTTTTACTTATTATGATCTATTATTTTAAACACAACGCTCCCTCTTCGAAATTAAATCCTATACGCGCTACCTACCTACTTCATGCAATTACGATTATCAATATTCAATATTCATTTTCATAAAATACACCTTGTCGTTTTAAGAGCATTATTCATACAACTGTATTATACAATGATACCTAAGGGGTTCCGTATAGGCAATAGGCATATAAATGAATAATGGTCATAAGATTCATTGACTTATCTAATCGTGAAATTCGTTCAAAAACATTTTCACGTATAAAACAGAGAAAAGTAGGTACTTTTTTCAAAGTGTTTTGAATAATTTGTACCCATTATGGAAATTGATTGCCACCATTATCCAGATCTATGGTACGGCCGTACCTATATTAATTTTTATTATATTTCTTAAATAAGACAATAGACATTAAAGATTAAAACGTAAATTTTTTATAGTTAAAAAAAAGCCGACAATATTTTTATAAATTAATATTTACGTAAACGGACGTTTCATTATGGAAATCAAGTTGTGTTCTTAAATTTTCATCGTATACTTTTATTTATACCAAATCATAAAAATTGCAATATAAAATTATTTTTCGACAAAAGATTTTTATGTTCAAAATTGCTTATGCTAACATCTTAAATATAATTTAATGAACTGTGTGGTGATACTTTTTGATGAATGAAATGGTCTAATCGTGTCTTTTTCTTCTACTTCGTTTTCATCCCAACCATTTAGAATCTACTCAAATATTGTAGCCATTATCTAAATAATTATTAAAATAAGAATATTATGTATTTATTTGGCTATTTTTTTTTTTTGCAAATTTATTTTTGATTGCTATATTAGAATTTTGTTCCTATATTATTATCCATTTATTGAATAATTAACGGTTTAATTTTTTTTTTTTTAATTCTCGTGTCACCCAAAAATAGAAAAAATAATAAACAACATCGTATTTTCTAGTATTTTAAATAATATTTTATGTCTAATATATTAAATATTTACAAAATTTAGTCCGAATTTTGGCAAAAACAACGTTTTAAAAACTTCTTTTAGGTAATTATTTAATTTTGTACAATAAATTAGATAAACATAATTGTTATACAGTACAAAAAAAAAACACGGTTGGACGAATATACTTTCGTCCATCATAATTTAATACAATCGGTCACTTATAAAAAAAAACAACTTTTTTTTTCAAAAGATTGCGGCGAGCTTAATAGAGAATGCTCGTGGGACCCAGTTTGATAACCACTAATTTCATGTATAGGTAGCTAAGTCGCAGGTATTCATGCATGCATTAATACAGGGACAATTTATAATTTAACCTTTAAGAGGCTTATATCACATTTAATTATAATTTATTATCGCATTAAATTACTTTATATATAATACTTACGTTTTAATCTAAGGCATTCAATTAGTTATTACTTATAAGTTATAGGTGCCTAGGTATATTGTCATAACATCTAAACTATAAGACACAATATATATATATATATTGTGACTTATATTTTATAATATAATATGTATTCGTATTACCAAACTATTCAAAATTGATACAGAAGCTGAATATATATAAATTAATAGGTACCTACAACATAAACAAAATTATTTCTTCTGGTTCGCCTTTATCTCACGCGATTGCAAATAGGTTTTAGCTTATATTTACCTTCCACATCTTTTTAGTTAACAGTCACCGTTTCTTCGTTTACTGTTTATATGCTAAAATATCTCCTTCCAGTCACTTCTTTTTTGGTCAACCTATTCTCGGGTTCTCAACTTATCTTGCCTATCTTTTTGATTTGACTTGATCGCCGATTTTTCTTATTTTATTTTAAGTACCATGGTACTTCTACAACTATACCACTATCGTAATAATAATAATAATATATAACTAGGTACCAATATTTATGTGAATATTGCATAGTTGTATAAATTATAAATCGCATCTATGGCGGCGATAGCACTTGAGTCATCATCAAATTCCGATCAATTTTCGTCATCTACTCATATAATAATATGCGTTTGATTTCATTTCGTAAACAACAACCGGGTAGGTTGTAACTCATTTGATTATCATTCGGATTCCTTTGTCGTCGTTTGTATTTATACAGTCGTAAAATAAATTGATTAGCCATTATACCACGATGCGCGTGCGCCATCGTTTTTTTACATTAATGAGACTCGCTTCCGAGGTACGAAACTCTATTATTTATATTAGATATTGTATAATACCCAGTGCCGCAAGTAGCTGAGGTGATAGGAGTGCCATGGCACCCCCAGAGAGACCCTCAAAAGTTTTCAGTGACGAAAACAATAGGTCGGTGGAAGATTATGAATATATTTCTACCAATATATTATACATCATAATCAATTATTAAGCCATATATTTTATGAAAATAGGCTAATGTTGCAAAATAAGAAGAAAAATTCGATACATTTGCGTGATAAAAGATAGAAATTAATACTTACTGATACGGTACGTAAAAAGTAATAAGTCTCAAAAATAAATAAATACAGCTGATGAGCTGCTTCCACCCTCTCTAGATACGACACTGTCACACGTTCGTCTAACGGAAATAATTATAGCTACCTATACCAATACTATAATTAGTTTCTTATTTACGTTAAATTCTGAAGTTTCTAGTCAGAAAATATTAGGAACACAAGTCTATTGGATCATTAAAATCAATAGATACAATGAAATATAGCTCATATATTATAATATTATTATGTAAATGGATCATATATCACACGCGTTTCAAAATTTAAATATAAGAAAGTTTCATCTATAATATAACATTGCGATTGTGGAAATGAATAATCCGATCGCATTCGGGACAATGATGTTAAATTCAGTGGCATACCACATATCTATTGTAGAGACAACCGAATCAATTGCTTCGGAGAGTAGAATATTTTAGGGAGCTTCCATGCGTGTGATATGGACGCTGGTTATTGTCAAATACTTGGTAGACAGATAGAATTAAGGTTCGAGCCAATTTAATTTACTGCGAGTCATATGTGTCATTTGCAGTGAAAATAAATTGATAAAGCTAATAATATTATGTATACTAAATAATTACTGTAGAAATTATTTCAGTTTCATAAACATGTGTTAGATATAAATTATAAGTATACATATAATATGTCTATGTATTATACAATACAATACTATAATAGTGTAAGTGTAAATTTACTTAATTTAACCTTACAATGCATAACTTTTTAATTATTTTTTTTTGTCCATTGAGCACTTTTATTTATTAGAAAAATAAAAACAATTTTTTCTTTTTAATCCTATTTAAATAAGTCATTATTTACATTGCTGGCGATAGGCAACATCATGCACACATGATCATCATTTTTTTTTTAAATGTTTTATAGATAATTCAAAACATTGTAACCTGTAGGTAACATAATGGATTGAAATTAAAACGAAATGTTTAATGTAGTAAGATGTGGGAGGGTTCATCTTTTCCAAAAAATAAAAAATAAAATCATTACTCATAAATATTTAATTGTTTTTACTTTATCAGTCAAAAATACAGTCAAAAATACAGTCAAAACACTGTTTTGGTGACAAAGAGAATAATTTCTATTTTCTATTTTAGGAAAGAAAAACTTATAGGGACATACTTAGCACGATGGGTGGGCCACTGTTGTAGGTAAGAAATTAGTAAGGTAGAATGTAGAAGTGAATTTAATGTATATTACAATGATATATATATACAACGATTGAACTTTGCTAACGAAAAACGATTCTGAATGCAGTTCGGTTGTACATGTTTTAAAAGGCTGTAATATTTACAATATTCGTCAAAATTATCTTATAAAAAAAAATCTACATTACACTTAAATTTTTTTTTTTAAAACCATTAGGCACAAAGTACGATTTGAACCTCCTGTCAAATTTTAAAGTATTTCTATTCGGCCAAACAATTTATATCCACTGAGTACATACCAAATAAAAATTACGTAAAAATAAATCGCAAAATTAAAATACCTATAAATAGCTTAAAAATGGTTTAAATGTTTTTAAAAAATTTAACTACTGCTAGAAAAGGAAAACAAGTATTCTATTCTGTCTAAATTTTAAGTCTTTGAAATTTTAAAAATTTAAATTTAACAAAATTAAAAAGCTGTCCTAATATAATGGAGACGATTGCAGCCATTGTAGGTGGGAAGTTGGGTTGAAAATCGTTGGTAGAAAAGTTGTCTTCAGAAATAAAAAAATCATAATATTTTACTATATTTCGTACATTTTCCTGTTCTTATTTTTTTTTCGGTTTTTTACATTTGATTAGAAAATTCCTAAGAAAATTAAAAATGACTTCCTTAAAGTACCACCCCAAAAAAATTTTCTTTCAGAAAAGGGTCTACATCGTATACATTGGAGTGAGCTTTCCAGCATAAAAAAAAAAATAAACATCTTTGTAAAACCAATACATTCTTCGCTCCATTTAGAATCTAAAATTATACATTTTGTAAATTTTCTCGTTTTTTTCATTTATTATGAAAACCCTTCGGAAAATCAAAAAATTACCTCCCTAAAGTACCATTGAAAAAAAATTTCCTTTCCGAAAAGATCCTGCACTAGAAAATTAGATCAACATTTCTTGTAGAAAAGTTGTTCATAAAAAAAATAAGAAAGTAAACATTTGAAACCAATATATTTCTCGCTCTGCTCCTTATTTAAAATATTTAACTATACATTTTCATTCGGTTATAGTGATTTTCGTTTTAGCGAGACTATACATAGCACATTGCTAGTAGATACAAAACAATCCATAATAGGTACCATCTGAGCGTATTGGCGTGTATAGTTCCTTATAAAGTTTTAGAGTTCAAATTTCACAATAGGTGCCTACGCTTTTGAACTAGATTTTATGGGTAAATACTTGCTTTTAACGAACAATAACTGTAGTTTCTATAAAACGTAAAAAGTACCAGCATAATATTATAATGTTATTATTTATTATTATAATTTTTAGTAGAGTCGACTCGTTAAACTGCAAAGCCGTCTATTACATGTGTTAGAGAATTTGTATTTAAAGATATATTTTAGATTCTGAGTGGAGCAAAGAAGCTTATGGTTTTTCAAAGATGTTTATTGTTTTTTTATTTTTCTGTAAACGACTTTTCTACCAGAGATTTTTTTCCAATTTGTATGCGTGTTGCACCTTTTCTGAAAAGAAATCAGTTGTTACGGAAGTACTTTAGGAAGGTAATTTTTTGATTTTTTCATCAAATATAAAAAAACCAAAAAAAAAAAAAAAAAAAAAAAAAAAAAAAAAAATGGAGGAAAAACAGGAAAATGTACGAAATATATTTGTAAAATATTACGAACTTTTTTTTCTCTGGAGAACTTTTCAATAGAATACCAGCAATTTTGCTCTAGTTTATAAAGATAGCAATTTTTCTAAAAGGAAATCTGACTGAGAAGGTACTTTAGGGAAGCCATTTTTAGATATGTTCAAGAGTTTTCCCAGCAAATGTGAAAACCAGGAAAAAACACGGGAAAATTGGTACATTAAACAAATATTTTTAAAGAAAATATATAAAGCCTATTTAATTATTTTATTATAAAATGACATATATATATATATATATTTTTGACAAAACATCACTATCAACTGAACTCTGCTGAGAATCGTTTTTTCGTAAGCAATGGTTTATCGTTGCTTACGGGTATACATTAAATTATCTATAACAGAAGTTGCACCCGTCAGTATTATCCTTGGACGTCTTTTTATTTTTTTATCTAACACATACAAACTCGGATTAAGATAATTAGAAGCCCCGGGCGAAACTTTTCAACGAGGCTCTTGTTTAAACATTAATAGTACACATTTTTTTTAAATTTTTACTAATTCATATATGACAAAAAAATAAAAATAAAAATAGTATACAGTGTCCCATGAGTATTTACCCATTGCAATATCTTCTGATACCTGATATAATAAAGATAATTCTATTATGTACATATATATATATATATATATAATTAATGTTTAAATTGGATTTTTATATTTTAGTAAAACATTTAAAAAAAGTAATGTATTGTATTATTTTTGAAACATTTCAAGATACCCGTTTTATAGAGTTTATTATTCTTCTAACATTTTTGACGTACCAGCTTTTTATTATCATTTAAGTTCGTGATTTTTAATAATTTTTTAATGTTTAGAGAAAAAAAGTGTACAATCAATTAGCTATAGCTACATAATTACTTTTCTCTGAACTATAAAAAATTATTAAAAATCGAGAATTTAACGAAAATTCAAAGTTGATACATTAATATTTCAGGAAAATAAACTTTATAAAATGGCCATCTTCAAATTTTTTAAAAATATTAAAAGAAAGTTATTTTTTTCAATTTTTTACCAAAACATATATAAAAAAATTAATTTGCCATATAAATATGTGTAGTTCTTATCCCTGTGAGTAATATAAAAAAAAGACAGAATTTGATTATCTTTATTATCTATGAAGATATTACAATGGGTATATCTTCGTGAGACACTCCGTACATAATTTAAAATATAATTTTGAGTCAGTCTAACAATACGTAGTGAAATTAAAAGAATATTGGAAATAGATATTAGAATTCCACATGAAGCGGCGTAAGTATGCGGAATCGGTCAGGTAATTTGTCCAATTGAATTTTAGCTTTGGAATTTTTTGTATAACCTACATTTTATATTTTATAAAGTGCACTTCAGAACAAAGACCGAGAAGAATCTAAAAAATGTTTGATGTTATTTTATTAAACGTTTTCTGGTAACGTTTATAATGTAGTATACCTATTGCCAAATTATTATATGTAAATATTTCGGAAAAACCTAAAAACTGCAATAGGTATTCTCAAAGCAGTTTTTCGAAAATGAGTCGTTAAGTGATTTAATTTTCGGTTGTAAGTACTGTATTGTAATAATTTATATCCCTGTATAGTATTACGTTTATATTGTTTCGTAAGTTTCGTTATATAATTTATTGAATTGTATAAGTTATTGTCGAAGTTCAGAACGATTCATCAGAGCGCCTGTGCGCACAAAACGTTTTGAGTATTAGATATGTGGGCGTACATAATATCAAGGTCCTAAAATTTCAACGAGTCATAAAAACAAATATCTACCACTGTATGTATACAACTAGCTGTATTTCGTACATAAATACCTACATACTATGGTGTAAAAAACTGTAAAATTACAATATTACGACATTATGCGAATATTTGCCGTGAGATAGGAAACTTGACATAGGTACTTTTAATAACGTTTCTCTGAATAAATAACGGTCTTTATCAGAACTCGTATATACCATTATAACATCTGCTTCAAAACTAATATAGTATAAATATCCAAAATTAAATAAATAAATTTTTGTGAACTAAATATATTGATTATATTATGGAAAATACATGTTATATTATAATAACTTTGGTTTCCAAACAATTTTATGCAAAACAACTGTATCTACTGTAGTTTTTGTTTCAATGAAACTCTGAGTTTATTTTTGGAAGATATTGGATTAATCTCAACTAAATATTTAGTTTTTAAAATGTATATACAAATTATAAAAACATTAAAACATATACTGAGTGTCCCATAATAATCTGCAGTTGAAATAATTTTTGTTCAATTCAATATTTTTATTATGCAGTAGAATCTTGATAAGTCGAAATTCAAGGGAAATGCAATCTGTTTGACTTATCTAGGTTTCCGAAATATAAAAGTTTTAAGAAAAAACATAGTCAATAATTAAAAATTATAATTATGATTAATTATTATGTAAACAATAAATAAATTCATTTATTTAAGTAAAACAATGACTATACTCAATATCTAAAACTAAAAATTATAAATACTTTGCTGTTTTAGTAAAACATAATTTTTGAAGAATACAATTTATTACCTGTATAATACAAAAATAAACAAGAAAACAATTATACGGATATATAAACAATTAACAAATGAAAAATCTAAAAAATTAAATACAATTTAAATTTCAATACGGATTTACAAATAAAAATCAAAATTGATAATTACTCATTAAAGAATTATGTTTAATATTATACGAACACAAGAGGTATAAGTGACATTTTATTGATTTCGAGAAAATCAAGTTTAAAATTATTTGATATAATTATAGCATACTATCATATTATCTTTTTTTTTTGAATGAAACAAAACAATTTTTAGCCACTTGGCAGTAAAGACACAAGAGTATGTACAGCTGTTATGGACCCTTGTACCTGTTTACCTCTAATATGTTATGAATGTTATTATATTTTCATTTTAGTAATATTTTAGTATGATCTAATATCTATTTGATACCAGATCACTGCTCATCACGAATAATTTTCTTATATTTCTTTACCACAAAATAAAATTGAATATTTTAAGTTCACCTGTGGTTTTAACTCAGATTTTTTTTAAAATGTCACTTATACACTATATGTTCTAGGTACTTCATATATTTTTGCAATAAGATAAATTATGTAATAAATTAAATGTATTGTTTAAATTAATCCATATTAATTCAAAATTACAATTCAAATTCAAAAAATGAATGTAATAATATTAAAATCTGAACAATGTAAAATTAAATTCAATAGAAACACAATTTAAATATTAAATCACAGTTTATTTAAAAGTACCTACCCAAATTTAAAAAAAAAAATTTCATTTCGTTACTTGTTCTAGTAATTTTTTAATAATACATTTAAGGTTCTCAGCAAGTTTTTTGGCTGTGTTATTTTCATCCAGGATTGGTACATGAATAAATATTGTTTGATTTTTATTAATGCACAATGATTTAAAATAAATATACTCACACAAATACCTGTATTGGTATAATACATAATATAATATGAATAATATTGACAAAAATGCTCAAAACCCATAATTACCTTCCTGCATCCTGAGATGTACAAACATCTAATTCATCAGTACATTCCACTTTCAAGCCTGTTTTAAGTTCATTATAAGCTAGACACTCATTATCGGGAAAGTCTCCATTAATATCTGTTTTACAATAACCATGGCCATTAGCAATTAACTCGATAGTCAATTTTTTACTTAAATGTGAAACTCCTAAATGAACCATTAGCTAAAATGTATATAATATGCCACAATAGGCAACTACTAAAATAATTTTACCAACAAGTACATAAAGGGTGGTTTTTGTTACCATGAACCAACAATTATCTCAGAGGATTTTAAATAAAGCTTAAAAGATTTCATAATGATTAGAAAAAATAGAAACCAAATCACTTAAAATCCTCTAAGATAATTGCTGGTCCATGATAATAAAAATCACCCTGTATACAGAATACAACTTACTGCAGGCTCATGTTGGAACCACAATAACGGTACAATCTGATCTACATCCTTGTAACATACTGGAATACAGGTTGTAATCAAATTAATGTTTAATTCTTCAATAATACCAGTTGTATGCAATTTTTGAGCAATTTCCCAACTTGGATTCATTGTGTAGTCACGGAAAAGTCCAAAACCAGTAACAACAACTGTTTTCAAAGCCATCGGTTATAAATTTTGAAATATTTAATATAATCAAATAAAAAACTCAACTTGAACAATTTTTTAGTATAAAGCTGTAAAACTATACAAATATATCAATAATAACTTATCATTTAATAACAAATCACTTATCAAACCTTTATATTTCTAATGAATAAATAATCATTTTTTTATTTAATTCAAGGTTCAATATGATAAGGATTACAAGGATTCAAGGATGTTACAAATAAAATACATAAAAACAAGATAATAACAATATGACTTGGTATCATTAGTGCGTCATACTGTGGAATACTTTTGTCTCTTACATAACAATCGAAACGGTAAGTTTTAGTAGTTTTACTATAATAATAATTTATCTTGTAGTATAATTTTTGAAAATAATACAATTACTAAAATATCTAATAATAAATAAGTTACAAAATCACATACAAGGGGATTTTCAAATTTTAGTTAAAATAGTAGGTGCCTATACCTACATATTAAATATTTTCATTTATTTTTATCTAGGTAGCTAGGTACCTACTTAATATTATGTAGGTACCTATTTACTAAATTTATAAATTTACTAAAATCTAATTTAAGCTAATGGTGCATTACCGAATAGAAAAATACTTATTCTTTGCTTATTAATTGTTGAACACAACACAATTAATTAATGGCTGACATCATTAATTAATATTATTGCATTCATCTGTGTTTTTTGTTTATACTTTAATAGGTAGTAAGTACATTTGTTAAATAATATAGCATTGCTACATTATTTAATTTAAATTTGTGTCCGGTTAATATTAGTCACGAATTATTTTCATTGATATTTACTGCAGTTTATTTTTTAATGACAAAGTATCTACTTTATGACATTTATAAAACGCCAAATGTATAAAACCTATATTTTGAAAAGTTATTTAAAATAATTATTGAATTATATTTTGATCTATTATGTATTTAAGGATATTCAGAAATAAATAGGCATGTAGGTCATGCACATTCACAGGATATTTTTTATAGGTCGGCCACAAGTTTGATAATTTTCTGTGGAGGACTATATAAATAACTAAATTGTTTACACATAGGTACATATACTTAGGCGTTGCTCGCAATACATCTTAAAAATATTAGAGTTATTTAGAAACAAACGCAAGATGAGGTTTTGGGAGTCATCCTCCCGAAATATAAGTAGGTAGGTATTTTATAATTTGATATTAATCATTTCAATAAAAAAGATAACAAGAAAACCTTTTCTTGCGTGATAATTTTTTCAAGGAAGACTGCAGTATAACAGGGGGTTGTAATATATAAACTCCTTAGTCCCCCATTATACGCCTATGGGGATGGTTGACAGCCGTATTATTTTTTATAAATAGTATTCTAAAGCTCAAGAACTCATCCTATTTATATTTAAAACCACTTTTTTCTAAATATTTAGGGTATAATACTGCAGTCCCCATAAAGACGTAAATAATGTAGGTAATTACATGAATTAAAAAATTTAAATAAGTAGATGTTTATAATTTTAGATTCTGAGTGGAGAGAAGAAGCTTATTTTTAATCTAGTTCGTGATTAAGCCTTTTGTTTTTTGATTTCCTTTGTAGTTTTTTTAAATAATTAAGCAAAACAGAAAATACGTCGAAAGAATTGAAAAATGTATGAAAATTATTCTTTTAAATTTTGTTTTTCGATTCTAAGTGAAGCGAGGGATGTATTGATTGAAAAGTGGTGTTTATTTTATTATTATTTTTTTGTAGATGATTTTTCAACCAGAAATCTTACTCCGGTTTTTAAGTGTAGCAATTTTTCTAAAAGGAAATCGGACTCGAGAGGTACTGTAAGGTAGTTCTTATCATTTTTCAATTTTCCCAACAAATTAGAAAAACCGAGAAAGTGTATGAAATGTAGGTATTAGTTGAAAAAATATTACAGCCTTTTTCCCCCTATGAATAACTTTTCTACCAACAATTTTGCTCCGATTTACAAAGATAGCACTTTTTATAAAAGTAAATCTGAATGTGGAGGTGCTTTAAGGAGGTAATTTTTAGATTTTCTCCAGGAATTTTTCAAATAATCGGGAAAAACTGGGAAAACATGGGAAAACCGAAGGAAAAACGGAAAAATAGGTACAATATTAAACAAATATTGTTAAAGAAAATATATAATGTTTATGTAATTATTTTACCATAATATGGCATTTATATTTTTTACAAAGCAATACTATCTACCGAACTCATTTTAGAACCTTCCCAACTTCTCACTTACAACAGTGACTACACCCACGTGTGAAATTGTCCGGTTGTTTTCTAAAATTTGAGTGATTTTTTTTTTTTTTTTATTTCCGCCTATTAACAAATTTTGTACTATAAATCATACCCTAATTATAAAATTACAGAGATTTTTTAGTTTTTTAGGTGTATATAGTTGTTTAAAAAAAGTTTAGCGTAATGTATTAGTTTAAGATTCTGAGTGAAACGAGAAAACTATTAATTTTACAATGATGTTCATTTTATTATTTTTTATTTTTTTATATGAACACTTTCTCTACCAGAAAGATAGTACTTTAGAAAGGTCATTTTTTGAAATTCTCATTAATATTCGAGATAGTGAGGAAAACCTCGGTTTTTAGGGGGAAAAAGATAGAAAGATTAAAAATAAAGTCATTGGAAACCGTTTTTTTTTTTGTTATGATCAAGTTTTTATTATTTCAATTTTAAATAACTATTGTTGTCAAAGAAACGCATATTGTATTATTTTACCATAATGATATTGTGGGAAATCCGAATACCAACCGATGTGAACATTATCCAAGTAATATCAAATATGATTATTATAATTTGAGTGTATGTATACATGGATTCGTGTGACGTATTTATAATAAAATATTTTGTAGGTAAATAAACAGAATATGATTTTTAAGTTGAAGTTCTAATAATATAAAAATGTTAATTTACTTATCAGGTCATCTGCTGGTGGTTCACAAAAAAATTTCCCGGAGGTGGTTCTGATCCCTCTCTGTAAATACATCACTAAAATATTTAGTCAGAACAGTATTTAAACCGAAAAATATATTTGCCAGAAACGTATTTGATCAGAATCATAATATTAAATCCAACAAATATTTCATTAGAAATTTATTTTGGCTGAAAAAATATACCGAATGTATTTTACTCGAAAATATATGCGACTAAAAATATTTTTACAAATAATATTCAATGCGAAAAACTTATTTTAAGAATTGTATTTGAACTAATTAATAATTTTTCGATAAAAATATTCTGTTCAAAGAATATTTTTCCGAATGTGTTTCTTTGCTTATTGGGCGTCTCATTAAAGATAAAATAACATTTAAATTATTATTGTACTAATAATTTACTATGGGTTGTTGCAGTGATGGATTTACTCGTGGGAGGGGGGGTCCAGGGGGTCTAGACTTCCCCTAGACACTAGTATGATTTTAATAAAATGTCGTCCAGTAAAGAGGCATCTATTAACTGATATCTTTTAAATACATATGATTTTTTAGGACTCTCCCAGAAAAATATTAAAAATCCACTACTGAGCTGCTATTTAAATGGTTAGAAATAATCAACCACGGTGTGTAGAGTTTGGTTTAATATCGTCTACATGTTTAATTTTATATGTCTATGAGGTTTGCTATGCAAATTTTCAAGTCAAATACAGTTTAAAAAAAAAATATATATTTTTCGAATTTATACTGTTTGGCTTAAATATTTTCGATTAATTTATTTTGGATATTATTATTTTTAGATATAGTATGTTCGTATCAAATTAGTTTCTATTCAAATATTTTCCGTAAATTTGAAATATTTTCAGATATTTTATAGATACATTTAAGACAAATGTATACCTTCCGTATTACAATACTGTTTTTTCTTCTTATGAACTTTTTACATTTTTATTAGTATTAAAAGTTTAAAGTATATATCCAGATAGGTAATAAAGATAAAGTAACTTTTCATGATTTTAATTTTAATTGATGTTATCTGATGATACTTGTTTTATAATATACTTGAAGTATTATAAACTGCCTGTATTATTTCAGTAAATTCATTAGCCAGCTCATAGAGTAAAAAAAAAAAATGACTTGATGAGTGTATCACTGTGTAGGTGAGAAGTTGGTAAGTTAAGATAGGTACATAAAGCAATTTAATTTATATCTGTACGTATTTTAATTTATTTTTATATTTAAAATTTAAATCAATATTACATTATATTTTAACTATCGTCGGCAGTCGCGATAACCAAAAAGTACCAAAAAATTAAAATGTGTCTCGTAATATACGGGATCGTCTTGTATTTGAATCGAACGTCCCTGTGTCTCGACAAAATGTTCTAAACAAAACTTTTGTTCTGTATTTTGAATCATCCATCCCGTATGTCACTTATTAGACACTAGAAACAAAAAAAAAAAAAGTTTTACGTGCTCACTTTATAAAATATATTCTAAAAATATTAATGTTATTATTTATAGTAGTTTTAATTTCTAGAATGGATGTATAAATTACTTTTATTCGTGATAGAATTATCTACCGAACTTATTATTAGGAATTACAATCTCAGTACATTGTGATTCTTTATCGCATAACGTAGTAGTAGGTAACCTATTGAATATGGTTTTTTTTCATACCACTTCTCTAGAAATAAAAACAGCTATTACTAAGAATTTATTGAACGCATATGTATGTATATTAAAATTTTTAGAATATTATTTATTGCAAAGTGGTTATTTTGAACAAATAAAGAGTTTTTTTTTTCTGATGTTTAAAGAATGAAAATAGTCTTATAATTTATCGCTATGTATATGTCTTCTCACATTCTCACATAAAATCTGATAGGAAACAAAAATGAGTACACATTAACAAATATATATCAGCGTCAGAAAAAAAGAAGGGAAACACTGAATAGCCGTATAGAACAAGCTGAATAATAAGCTACCTAAAATACGTTTTTACATTTTTCTTTAGACTTGACCGATATACCTATTATATGCTTGATTAGTGCTTACGTCATGTTCTTCTTATCAGACTTTTATCAGTAATAATTTGAACGTTTGAACGCAAACAATTTAATTAAAAACCATTAAAAACACACATGATATATTTTTAAACACTCATATTAAAATATGAGTATTTATATACTAGAATTTACTATTATTAAATAAGAAAAGCTCAAATGAGATTTTTTGCAATAAAATAAATATATAACATATAAGTTCTTATAATGTAGAATATAACAATTTTTTAATTACCTTTATAATATGTATATTTTTGATTCTAAGTGGAGCGAGGAAGCTTAAGATTTTACATAGATGTTTAATTTTTTTTTTTTTATCTGTGCGTGCGGACCTTTCTACCAGAAGACTTGCTTAGATTTGTAAGTGTAGCACCTTTTCTGAAAGGAAATCGGTGTTGGGAGGTAATCTAGGAAAGTAATTTTTCTATTTTTTCAAGAGTTTTCTCACCAAATGTGAAAAACCAAAAAAAATCGGAAGAAAAACGATAAAATGTATGAAATATATTTGTAACATATTACGATTTTTTTCTGTGGACAACTTTTCTACCAGCAATTTTGATCGACTAAGGAGGTACTTTAAGAGGGTCATTTTTCAATTTTCCCAGCAAATGTGAAAACCTGAGATAAAACTTGGGAAAACCGTGAAAAAACGTAGGGAAACTGGAAAAATCGGTACAACATTAAACAAATATTAATAAAGAAAATTTATAAAGTCTATTTAATTATTTTACTATAAAATAACATATATATTATTGACAAAGCATCACTATCAATTGAACTCCGCTCAGAATCGTTTTTTCATAAGCAATGGCTTATCATTGCTTACATATATATATTAAATTATCTATAACAGTGGCTGCACCCGTCCCCATTATCCTTGGACGTCTTTTTACGCATTTGTTTGGATCCAATCATACTTTATAAGGATTGTTATCAGATAATATGACTTCTCACTAATCACACGTACCTAATACTTAATAATAATATTAAATATTGATAAAAATCACAGATAAATAAATAAATAAAATTATAATATATGGGCATTCTTAAATATTTATTTATAAGCAGCTAAATATTCGTATTTCCGAGTATGGTTCATGAATTGCTTCAGATCAACAATCCCTATTATGGAGTGTTAAGCACTTAATTTACTAGGTTAGGTAAGTATTAACTCGGTAATTGATATCGTGCGTCATACTTATTAAATTGTCGAAAATTAATATTCCTGTTGAAACATGAAATTAAAATATTTAGTAAACTCCAACAACATTTAATATGAGGCCAATTATTTTTATTGAAACAAAATACTTAACTTTTATTTAAACATCAAACAAATAATTATGATGATCCTTTGTTAAATAGTTGTACGAGTGGGACAAGTTTTAATCAACAACGATACCTATTAAATCTATCTTAATAAACCCTTTTTAAATTAAACATTAGGCGCAACCGAAATTGATATTAATGTTGTTTTTATGTCTACATATATGCAATATTTCGCTTAGATTTTTTATTTACTATGAATATTATTGGTTTTAATCTACTCAGGTTGTTATTTAAGTAGATATTGATGAATCAATATATTGGTAAGTTATAATTACATTTGTACAAGTTTTGTATCAGGACTAAATTTAAAAGTGATACGAGAAAGAGTAATATCAGACTTCATTTTATTTTTTTAAATTATCCGATTTTTATCCTGTATTCTCCAATTCAGCGAATAGTTCAAGTAGAAATTCGGCTTTTGATATTCGTTAACATATGGTTACTTGTATTCTTTTTTATTTCATGTTAAGTGCTTATGTATTAAATTTTTAGTATACATTTTACATTTATTATAACAAATACTATACATATTTTATACGTACATACTGTATCGTCATATTGTACAGACTCGTCCCAAGGTTTTAAAGTTTTTCGGAATCAGGAGCAAATTAATTCGCCAAATACTCACCAAGATTTGCAAAGTTTTAGTAAATGTAATTTTTTAAACCTTAACTAATTAATGGAATTTAAATTCATATAATTACCATTCTGCATTAAATGTCAATGTTAAAATTATAATTTCATCTAAAATTTTTAGAAACACGGCATTGATATTGATGAGGTTATAAAAAAAAATAAAGATAATAATAAATATATGTAATGTATACGATTATCTTTATGATTTCTGAGATATTGAGGTTTAATTTTAAGTCAAAAATATATACAGAATGATTCATTTAACGTAAAACATTCATTATTTCACAAAGTATTACTAGTTTTGAAAATTCAAGAAATAAACAGCTTTACAATTTTTAGGGATGTAACTACTAAATACAACCTACTTTTTATTTTTTAATTTTTAATTTCTGTCAACCTGTCGACGAGGTATTCCACTGTCAAGTTTAGGTAAGGGGAGAATTGTGGATTAAAACGCGCTTCGTAGAACCACACTTATCCTCCACCTAAACTTAAAATTGGAAATATCTCATTAATGGATTGGCAGAATTAAAACTTTTCAATACTCTTTGGTATGGTTTTGCAGTATAGTTTTGCTCTTGCAAACTCAATCTTAAGACTGCTAGACCTTTTTGATTATCACTACTTATAGTGTTTAAATAATATTTCAAATTTTCATCCATCTTACTCCAACGTTGATACTTAGTATATCCATAGAAATATCATAGTTTCACTATGCCACCTTGGAGACAAATATAAAAACAATTTTAAACTCTAGGTGGTGTAATTGATATTATTTATGTTATATTTATAATTATTTATAATATTTAATATTTATTAGAGATTTTTTTAAGACGACATACAAACATAAATACGTCCTAGGATAATGGGGAAAAGGCAGTCCTGTTATAGATAATTTAATGTATACCTGTAAGCACGATAGACTATTGCTTACGAAAAAGCGATTCTGAGCGGAGTTAAGTTGATAATGATGCTTTTTCAAAAATGTATGTGTCATTTTATAGTAAAATAATTATATAGGCTTTATACATTTTCTTTAATAATATTTGTTTAATTTTGTACTTATTTTTTCAGTTTTCCTATGGTTTTCCCATGTTTTCCTGGTTTTTCCCAATCATTTGGAAAACTTCTGGAGAAAATTCTAAAACTACCTCCTTAAAGCACCTCCACAGCCAGATTTAATTGTATAAAGTGTTATCATTGTAAATCTGAGCAAAATTACATTTTTCCCGATTTTCACATTTGCTAGGAAAACTCTTGGGGAAATCGAAAAATGACCCGCTTAATGTACCTCCCTACACCAATTTCCTTCTAGAAAAGCTGATACACTTAAAAATCTAAGTAAGGCTTCTGGTAGAAAAGTTGGGCATGGATAAAAAAAAAATTATCTTTGTAAAACCATAAGCTTCTTTAATCCATTCAGAATCTAAGCTCTATGTGCAATTTTTCGATATTTTGACATTTTTTCTCAGACCCAAAAGCCATACTTCAACCCTATCGCATAATATTTGCCTCTGCGGTATTGCGGCAATTATGACAATTATTGCTTCGACGGTCGACAATTGACAGTTATTGGTATTTTTAAATTAATTTAATTTAAGGTATTTAGTTTTACACGAGTATTCCAAAAAAAAAAAAACTTAAATTAACAGTCAATAACAATTATTCGATGGAGTAAAACTAAAAACAATATAAAACAAATCACTAGGACAGTGTTCCAACATATAATTTTAATTGTTGTATAAAATATTATATTTTATATTTTCAAGATAAATAAATTTATAATTTAAAAATATTATGTGTTAAATTTTTTTAATTTTTAAAAATATATTATATAACAATTTAACTTCAAAATGTTTATATGTTTACAAGAAATTTTTGGGGGCGCTTTGTAGGCTTTTGTGAGGGCTTTGTCACCTAAGCCCCCCCGATTTTAGCCAATTAAAAATATCTGTGCAAGTGATTACACTATCTTTTTTTAGTAGGTAGGTAAGAAGGGACTGTGTAGGAGGTGTAATCTATTAAATTAAATCAAAAAGGTCATTCGTGTTGGAGTTTACATTTGGCCACATAAATATTCAGTGAAATCATACTAAAATGAGTTTAATAGCTGTATTTAATTTTTTGAATGGGCTAGGTTTGTTTTCTTTTATATAAAGCAATAGATTGTGTTGTGTCATACAACTTGTATTAGTATATTATGACCGCCCCATTTCACCCTCTACCTGCAGAAACTGGCCAAATTAGGTCAAATCGAAATGTCTCTGCGAAACCTTAAAAGCTGAAGGTGTGGTTTAAATTTAAATTATACAGCTAAGTCTATTTAAACGTTTATCTGCATGCACAATTATTACAAATAATGTAAAATATACATATTGTGTAAAATGTTACGGTAAATTATGTTAAATGGAAAATAATGTCACTCGCTGGATATAACGTTATGGACCAAATACAATAATAAATAGGTTTTTCATTGACGGTTTTTAAAGAAATGTTGATTTTCTAACCTGTTCGATTAAATTACTTTTATAAATAACCATTATTATCTTCCAGTTCGTTTATAATAATATTTTTCACTTTTATTTCATTAAAAGTTGTTCGAACAGTATACATAGGTATTATAGGTATGTTAATACTTAATAACCATTATTATAAATGGTACCTTTTGATCTACGCAAAACGACAGTTGGACACATACTAAACGTACTTACTAAAGTGTTATCAGCTATGATTATATCGTTTTTTATTATGATTTTTTTTTGAATTGTATCATCATTCAATAATTGTATAATCACCGTGCTTATACCTTAAAAAGTTATATTAAATTTGTCTACGAATTACATATTATACATTATCGAAATTCAATTTTGCGGTAACCTTATCATTGTTCAATATCTATAATAATAGATTAATAGGTTAATAGGTTTAGCTGGTCCTTACTCATTTAGTTAATTTTAGTTCACAGACAAACAGTAATCATAATTATTCATAAATATTGTGCAACTTAACATTTCTCATTTTATACGTGATTCCTTACAAAATCACGATAATTCTCTCAGATTTGTAGGCAAATATAATATTAATTGCGATTTCACGTTATTTACCTAACATGTACATTGTATATGTATTTACTCAGAATCTAAAATCAAAATACATTTTTGGTATTCGCTTATTGGCTATAAAATGTTCTTTCTTTTATAATTTGAAAAGCCGTAATATTTAAGATTTGCATCAACATTTGAAACAATAATAAAAAAAAAAAAAACGGACATACTTTGCAAAATTGGTGGGCCATTGTTGTAGGTAAAAAGTTGATAAGTTACTAACATAAAATATGAAGAATAATTTAATTTATTTCTGTATGCATCGATAAACAATTGCTAACGAAAGATTATTCAGAGTGAAGTTTCTTTTATATATGTACGTCATTTTCCAATTATTAGGAAAACCGCTTGGAAAATTAAAAATGACCTTCTTTTAAGAACCACTATAAAACTATTTAGATAAAACTTCCTTTCAAAAGAGACACTACATATGAAAATTGGAGCAAAATTTTTAGTAGAAAAGTTGTTGCAGAAAAAAAAACAACAATCGGATATGATTTGCACGATGTGCAAATTAGTGCAAATCAGTGGGCCACTGATGTAAGTGAGAAGTTGGGAAGGTAGGTTATGGATGAGAATTTAATGTATTTTTGTATGTTCAATCATTACCAAGAAAAACGATTCTGAACAGAGTTCTATTATGTATTTTTTAAAACGCTGTAATATTTACGATTTGAAAATAATACATTTCGTACATTTTCTCGTTTTTCCTAATTTATTCCCGGTTTGCCCCATTTATTATGAAGTCTTGAGAAAATAAAAAATGTACCATCCCACTAAAATTTTGTTTCAGAAAATGTGCTATACCAGAAAATTGGAGAAAAATTTCTGGTATAAAAGTTGTTCGCAGAAAAAAACAAACACCATTGTTAAACTGCTATTTTTACTATTAAGTACAACTTATAATAAACCTCCTGTTCAATTTTCAAACATCTATTTGTTTAACAAATTTTATCTACATAGTACCTACCAAAGAAAAACTAAAAATCCAAATAGTGATTTGTAATGTGAGTTTGTGTAATGTATGTAAATTATTATAAAATTTCTCAAAACATCAACGTTATAATTTTAACATGCACTTTACAAAATATGTATCAATACGTTTCCTATAGCTTATTGACGGATCTGTACCAGTACCACACCCCAATTATTACGAAGTAAGATTAAAATCGACACCATCGCGTGTGATCGTCATAACAATATTACGTTTTTTGCACGACGCCCAAACTTTAGCACAAAAATGATTAGTTATATATCTGCCAATCGCGACAGTTACTTTCCATTTATATATTATTATTATTATTTATAATGCATAGACGCGTATACCTATTATATAGCGGGTATAGCAAACATAATTTCTTGTTTGATAAAATATTGTGTAGTGACATTTATGTATTATATTACTAGAGTTCGGATTTAAATACATTTTAAATTTACAAAAAACCGCTTAAAAATGACAAAAAAGCCCTACAAAAATCCCTTAAAAATATTTTAAAAAGCAAAAATAGTAGAGGTTTAAAAGTTCCTCCTCTAACGGGTTTAATTTATTAAATATTATTTTCTAACATTATAAGAATTATTAATACTAAGTTATTTTTTTATAATACTTATAATTTTATTTATAATAAAATATATTACCAGTAACCGCCAATTCTTCTTCTTCTGGCTTAATTTACCCTGCAAGAGTTTTTTCCGCCATCACATTTTCACGCCACTTTTCTATAAGATATCAATGAGGTATCCATGAGATTCCATAATGATATTTCTGTTTCTGTTCTTTATTGACTTAAAGGGTTAGGTTAGAGGCTTTGTATTATCCAAAAGTCTTAAAGAAGTATTCTTTCTTGCGAGAGATCCTTTTCGGCTTCTTCCAATATCCTATTTATGAACTTTCTTTTATCCTTTCTGTTAAAAAATATTTCCTTTTTGCCCTTATATAAATTACTTAAGCTATGCGTCTTTTTTCTATTGCTTCTCGACATATTTTACTATACTATTTCTTTTTCTTATTCTCATTTTATACTCTACCAATGCTTCGTTCTACTTCGTGGTTTCTTTCATGACTAAGCTAGTTTTATTCCACTTTATTTCTACATTCTCAATTTTACTTTTCGAGATGATTTTTGAAAGAGAGTGCAAGATCCAATATTACACCTAGGTATTTGGGATAGTGATTATGATTTATGATGATTCCGTTACAAGTTATGTTGAGCTTAGCATTGGCAAGTTTATTATTGAGAGTGAAACAGGACGCTTCTGTTTTACTGGTATTAGACTTTAGTTTCCAGTCACGAAAATAACTACATAGCGTAGTGAGATTCACTGTACATATTATTTCTGTTTCCGTTATGTTGTGTTACAATGGCCAGATCATCGACATAAACAAATTTAATGTAATACGTCCTAAAAAAAAGTATTAAAACTTTTTCAAAGGAATTATACCTTACCTAATATGTTACTATTTTGACTTTATTAAAACCATTCATAGTAATTTTACACGTTTTTCATTTTTATATAATTTAGTTTACGGAAACTTAATTAAAATGATTAAAAAAAAGAGGGGAAGAATGGATGACAATATGTTTTTATCCTAATTAAAAGGGTTTGTGATGTTTATTATGTGCCTGTATAGGTACATATTGCTTAATTAAATAGGCAGCTAATGGCAAGGCCGTACCTGAGGGGAGGTTTTGAAGATTCGAACTCCCCCTTCCCCGTAAATAATAAAATCGCTGCGCCGTGCCATGGTGTGCCGTAAAAATTTGTCCATTTTTCCTATACGTTTTTTCCGGTTATTTCAATTATTTTAAATACAATTATAAAAAAAAAGAAGACGGACATACTTCGCACGTGGATACAGCCACTGTTGCAACCTAACTGGGAAGTTTGAAAAGTAGGATACAGACGGAAATTTAGTGTACATCTGTAAGCAACGATAAATTATTGCTAACGAAAAAACAATTCTGTGCGCAGTTCAGTTGATAGTGATGGTTTGGTAATAATATTTATACCATATTAGGGTAAAATAATTAAATAGGCTTTATATTATTTCTTTAATAATAAATAAAATATTGTACCGGTTTTCCAGTTTTTCCTGCGTTTTTTCCGGTTTTTCAAATTTGCTGGGAAAACTTATAGGAGAATCAAAAAATTAAATTCCTCAAGTACCTTCTTATTTGATTTTCTTCCTGGAAAAGTGCTATCATTTTAAATCAGAGCGAATTTTTTTATAGAAAAGTTGTACATAGAAAAAAGGCCATAATATTTTTTTACTAATACATTCATTTCGTACATTTTCCGTTTTTCTGATATTTTATCGCTGTTTTTCCCAGATATTATGAAAACCACTTGGAAAATCAAAATATTAAAACTATTGTATTTATAGGTTTATTATATAAATTATATTTTACCTTTATTTATTCGTCTTCATTGATGTCTTCTTAGAAACAATTGGTTATTAGTGAATATTACGTACATTTAGAAATATTCAAATTTAAATGTTCGGTGGTTAGGTCACACAATTGATTTGTAGTGACTGTAGGAGCGTTCAATATTTTCACCGAGGATAATGGTACTTATATTATGCTTGATATTTTAGACGGTATAAATTCAATATTCATTGATGTGCTTTTATTTTTATTCAAACGAATATCACTAATAGTTTTTATGTTTTGTAAATCAACATTTTTAGTAAGTACGTGATTTAATTTGTTTTGTGTTGTTACTCTAAAAAACTTTCAATTATTGTTCGATTTGATGTTTCTATTATTGTTTTATGTCTTAAAATAAACATTTGGGGAGATATAATGCTAAATGATAGTTCAGTTAGTTATTTTGCCCAATTTTAGTAGCTTTTGTAATATAAATTGTAGTAATTGAATTAAGATTTAAAATAAAGTCTTTATTTTGAGTCGCATTTTACATTTTAACTATATGTTATACCAGGTGATGACTTTTTAATTCAAAACCGGTCGTATAATACACTTATCATAATACTCCTGGTGACGAATTTATTTATTTTACTTTTATATATACATTTTTTATTTATATATTTATTTACTATATAAAGTCTTTAATTTTTTCATAATTGTTTTAATTGTTTTTAACTGTTATAACAGTGGGGGATTAAGTAATTGGCTTAATTGGTTTTAATATGATGGTAAATTTACGAAATAATGCTTTTATTATTTTCAATTTTGTTTTTTTGTTGCTAGTCAGTTAAAAATATTTTTAGTAAAAAAAAAATTATTGCAATGTAGTGTTTTGGTTTTATAAGAGTTTTAATATCAAATTTTACGAAAATCGTAATTATTATATTATAATATTATCTTATCAAATATGTAGGTACAACCAAACTTCGTTCCGAATTGTTTTTTTTGTTGCTTGTAGATATAAATTATATAACTTTACGTTGTCTACCTTCCCAATTCTCTACAGACGAAAGTAGCATACTCGTCCCTCAGTATTAGCTCTTTTTTTCTTCTTTTTCTTAATAAAAAGTAAGCATAGAGCATAAATATACATAGTTAATTAAATCGGTGTTTATTATTTTAGAGTTTATAAAAAGTATCCAGAAATAAAATATGTTGTTTTAATACCTACTGTTATCTTGAGATGGCCAAATTTCGAAGTGGGACACATTTTAACAAAGGTACACAAAGAAATTTTTATCTGCCCTACAATAAGTTCATGGTTTTAAACTGGTATAATATTGTCAAATTTCAAATATCATTGACTTTTGAAAAATGTTAGGTATAATATCATTGTAAAAATGTATGAAAAAAGGCATCCTAGGATAATGAAGACGGATGCAACCACTGTTATAGGTAATTTAATGTATATCTGTACTGATAAACCATTGCTAACGAAAAAACGATTCTGAGCGAAGTTCAGTTGATAATGATGCTTTGTCAACAATATATATGTCATATTATAGTAAAATAATTAAATAGGCATTATATATTTTCTTTAATTTTATCTGTTTAATATATTATCGATTTTCCCTCGTCTTTTTCCGGTTTTTCACATTTGATGGGAAAACTCTTGGGAAAATCGAAAAATGATATTCTCTAAGTACCATCTAGACAAAATTCCCTTTTAGAAATGGCGCGTATTTATCTGAGCAAGATTTGTGGAAGAATTTTTGTAAACAGTATAAAAAAAAGAAACATCTTAGTAAAACCAATACATTCTTCGCTACAATCAGAATTTAAAACTTCACTGAGAGAATTGATTTTCATAAAAGAAATGTATTTTATTTTATTTTTGTATACGTTTGACGCCCCTAAAATGTTGTCACTCCAATCGCCTGCTTTTTCTGCTTGTAGATAAACAGATGCTTACCAAGTATATTAACGAATAATGGTTAGCTCAGGTGGAAGGCAAATTAGGATATAACTCCTTAAATTTTAGTATTCTACTAGGAACTTTTAGAAATAAGTTTTTTTTTTTTACATTTGCGATTTTAATGAATATTAATAAATTAAGTACATATTGATAAAATATTAAAAAATATGTATTTAAATCACAATGTCAAAAAAAAAAAAAAAAGGTATATTTCATTGCGTTATGAAACGTGCATATTTTTAATCAGAATAATTATTATGAAATTTGCATTCAACAAAATTATGCATTTACACAAAAATCCGCGCCCTAATTATTATTATGGGACTCTGGAAAAAACCAATGAATCGAAAATCACGTACCGGTCATTTTCGATAAGATTTGTATACAAAACGGACGGTGTGATGTGCGGAACAACGCTTATATAATATTATCATATGTAGTACATTAAATACATCGTACACGTACGGGTACGGCTGTGATAGGTTGCGTACGATGACGGCAGGCTGCCGCGCCGCAATGGTGCGATGCCGTCATCAGGACGGCGCGGCGACCGCCGAGAATGGATTGACCAGGAACAGTGGAATAACGATAAAGAGAGAGAGAGAGCGTGAGAGAGAAAGAGTGAGAGGGAGTGAGAGTGAGAGAGAGAGAAACGCTACTATTGGAACAGTCGTGTACGGGGCAGAGCGGCTTGCGTCGCAGAAACGCACGCGTGCGCGACCGATTATTCTCCCTCCTCCTGTACACAGAATGCGCGTCATGACCTACGGTTTGGCCGATGCGTGCCGGTGGTCCTGGCGCTCGGCTTTCGGCGGCGGGTGGCGGTATCACCCGGGAGGTAGTGTGACTTTCATGGTCGGCGGCGGCAGAAAAGAGGGGCCTGCGAAATGCTAAAATCGTGTACAAGAATTTTCCGTACAAATCCGTAGCGTAGGCGGCGGACGATTACGGTGTTTTCCGCGGCGTCCCGTGCGAATAATTTCGATCCGGTGACCGCGGTACCACTGTCGACCTCCCAGCGGCGGCAGCTGCTTCGGTGATGGCGACTGGTAGGGGTAACGGCGGTGGCTACATCACGTCCGTCGCCCGTCGGCGACCGGCTACGTCGGTGCGGGGCGGAGCGGCAAATCAATACGATAGAGCGCCGCCGCCGCCGCGCCGTAGCGGAGAGTTCGGTCGTCTCGGTCGCACCAACATCGGTCGACTGACGTTGGCCCCGTAGTCGCTCTCTCTCTGTCTCCGCATCTGCGTGCGTGTGTGTCGCTGCTGCTCCGTCGTTTCTTCTCTCCCTTCGAGTTATTTTCTGTCGGCCCTGTTTTGCGGGGCACACAAGGAAATTTTTAGCCTATTTTACCTCTCTCCTACCCGAACACCACCACACATACACTCACGCACACATACACGTTACATTCGCGACCGTAAACACAGTACAGCAGTCGTACACACACACTCATACATACTACATACACGTATACTCTTGTTCACTCACACACGGTCCGCCAAATAATATCGCCTTTTTAATTCCGCGCGCGCGGCCGTCCGAACGGTTTTTCATACGCGTACCACGCACACAAACACGTAGGTACATAAAATTATATAGGTACTTCCACACACGTCACACACAGAAACCGACACCAACACAATTGTCTCGTCGTAGGTACATAACGTTGTGCGTGTATTTTAATTATTTTTTGTCCCGTTTTCGTTTGTCGCGTTTTTAGTACAAAGTTTTCGCGTCCGTTTGGCGGTGCCGGTGACGACGACTTCTTGAACCGCGACTACCACGGCTAAGGCTACGGAGATCACCACCACGACGGCGGCGACAAGTCCGACGGCGGTGCCGGCTACAACGATCAGACGGCCAGTGCGGCGATCGTTTTAGAGCGAGATTATTCGCTGAGATATTCGGCTGATCCGTACCTACTACAGGTCCCATCCAGAAATATGACGTGCTGGAATTCGCTCAACGTCATTTTGTATAGCGTCGTCATCTGCGCTCTATTGGATTTCGGGCCCTCCAGGGTCTTGGGTACGTTGTTTCCTTCGTTTTAACAGTTTGTAGATATTACCATATTAGTAACCTCTGTTGTATTTAAAACGTTTACCGTCGTCTAAGTTATAGAAAAAAAAAAAACACAATATGTCTTATGGGTAATGTATTATACATTTTTTGCTTTTAGCCATCCAGACGTTCTCATATTCACTGTTATTTGCTCGACCCTTAAAAAATTAATTAACTGTTCTCTCTAAATAGGGAACGTAGGCAGTAGGTTTCAGAACCCTTTGCAGTTGACAATTGCCCCTTTTAGTTGTCTTGTTGTGACAATTCTAATTACACTACCTATGTACCTAAATTACTTTGATTGTATTTTGTATACAAATTATTACTGCACATTCATACATTTTATCGTTAAATGTTAAACTGTTGTGTTCTTTTTAACTGATATTTCAAATTCTTTTTCACATACCAGTTAACATTTGATTCCTATATCATTTGTTCATTATTTAAATAAGTACCCTTTCAAATTGAATAGTGGGTATTTTATTTATTAAATCAACCATATCTATTTTTTAGGTTAGTTTAGGAATAGTTACCTACCATGAATTAAGATATATATATATATCTTAATCTGTGGTACCTACTAAGTGATACTACTAGGATTAAACCTTATATTGGGATTTTATCAAATTCTGCTAATGATTTCAAATACAAATATATCTATGTATATATACAATAATATAGGTACTAGATATTGAATACTACTGCAATAGGTACCCGTGTGAAGTACTCACAACAAGACAACTATAATTAGTCTAATGTATAATTTTTGTTTATTGTTTTTATGTTATGAGTAAAAATGATAATAAGCAAAGTATAATTTTCTTAAGTAATGGGTTATTTATCTAGTTAAATATTTCATTAAACTATAATATTTGGAAAAAATTGGTCTTAATTTAACAGTTTAAAGATTAATATAATTGTTTGTAATGTCAACTACCTATACAAAACAAAGCTATTTTCTCAGCTATTTATTTATGCAGTTTAAAAATTGATTAATATTATTCTAACTATAGGAAGGTAGGTGTATATTTTTTTTGTTTTGTTAACATAAAAGTAATTTCACCTATTTAGGTGTTAATTTTTGATTTTTTATCTATCTACCTACATATTTAATAATAATTTTTAATTACAAGATAATATACCTATAAATAAAATTATAATACTTGCATATATTATGTTTATGGATCCATCATACATATCTATGAGTTAATAATTTTCTTTATCAATGTATTTCTCTCCAACATTTTTTTTTAAACATTAACACCTTGGTACCCAGTGTTATAGTTCTATGAATTCATAATTTTGATTATGTTTAAAACAGATTATGTTAGTACCTATTAGTTAATTAGTGTCAAATATACATAGATATACATACTACTTATTGTTTTCTTACCATGAATAAATAAGTTTGTATCACTAGTTTAAATCAAAAGTAGATTTTAATTTCTCATGGTAAGATTAAAAAAATTAAAAAATACAAAATCAATTTTTGATTATGTTGGTATACACTTAATCCATGGTATTATATATGCATAATCTAATTATGGTACCTAATTATATAGGCTAGGTAGTTACTAAGAACTTATAGCTTTAAATCACTTGACTTCGTATCACTAAAATAATTTGAGATACCTGTTACCTAGGTATAAAGCTATTACCCAAAGAACAAATTTAAAAATATACACAAATCCCCGTTCAAAGCTTATTCACTGTTTATTATTTGTTTGATTTAAATTAATTATTCGTGGCTATGGGGTGTGAAAAATGTGTTTATTTGTTTTGGAAATGAAAATGGAACTTATAGCTAACGAGCCCAGTTACGAGGGTAACACAACAGTGAAGGAAGGCGACTCGTTTAAGATTACATGTCACGTGTCAAAGTTCCAAGTGATTAAATGGCAAAAGGATGGTCAAAACTTGAATACGGATATATACTACAATATCAGCCAAGAAGACACTGGCGACAATATGTTTGTAACCACAATTTCAGCCAATTCAGCATTACAGATGCATTCGGGTGCATATCGATGCACAACAGAGTACAACAAGGTTCATGTTCTGTCTGTGGTTACCGGTACGTGCCGGCTATGATGAGCTTTTAAAATAAATGTCCATGTGCCCGGACCGGTTCGCCTCGCTTCGCATATCAATTAACTAATGCGACTAGACACACTTTCCACTTTACACTGTGACATCTCATATAGAGTAGATTTATTATTTTGTTAGGTATTTAACCCATTATTGTTGTCTGTTTTTTTTTTTTTTTTTGTTTGTATTATTTGTAATATAGATTTTGCATTTGAAATTATAAATATGTATTATGTATAATAAAAAATTAAACCTTTCAGGTGTTTATATATTTTTTCACTAATACAAATAATATTATGTAATTTGTATATGTTGTTTAAAATCCAATTTTAATGACCTAAATGTATGTTAGATAATATTTACTTAATATCAAATAGGCCCTAAAACATAATTAATTTTTTAACTACTTAGTATTAATTTTGTTATATTTTTGTTTTAGCTCAAGTAAATATAAAAGCAAACTATGACTATGGTGATAAGTTTAAAGTAGCTGAATACAAAATGAAAGTAGTACTTAATTGTAATGTCGCCGAAAGTACTCAAGATCAAAAGTACTTATGGAAGTGGTCAGTATATTGAATATTGAGCATTTTAACTTAAGTATTTTTAATTTGATTAAAATATTTTAGGTTTAAAGAAGAAGATTCAATAAATACAGATTCTGATGACCCACATCATGTTTCTGTGTCTGACAACACTTTGACAATTAATCGTTTTGTTGAAAATGACGCAGGCAAATACTCATGCAAATTATATAATCAGAATAATCCGAAAGAACTTGGTCAAAAGTCATTCCAAGTTGTCTGTTAGTATAACATTATGTTTTACCACATATTTATTTTATCATTAACCTAGTTTTGGTATAAAATATGTTTGTAGTCAATATTTTGGAAAAATGGTAACAGTTATTTAATTTTAATAAATAATAATAATATGATTGTTACTGGAAACGGGTTCTTAAAAAATACCAACAATTTTATGTTAAGCTGAGTTTCCAGTACACCGTGCACTGTGTCATGTGCATTGATCTACGTATTCTGATTGGCTGAACCAGGTAGTACATAGTATCAACCAAACCGTTTAGCTAATCAAATTACGTAGATTTATGCACAGTGTATTAGAAACTAGACTTTAACCAGTAATGAGTTAAAACAAGTTTTTTATTTTTTCTGGTTTCTGGTTTCTGGTTACATGTAAAAATCAGTTTAAAATAAAAATTAATGAGTGATCCTTTTGGGCTTAAAGTAAATGAGTAGTGCTGTTATTTCTGATTGGTTCCAGTTATTAATGATAATATTTAATTTTTTCCAAAAAATATTATCAATTACATTTTAATGCTATTCTTAACACTTTCAAATACTATAAGTTATGGGATTTGTGTAATTTTGGTCGTTATTTTCTGGAAATCCAATTACCCATTTATGTATTTATTAGTGAATGCAGTATTTTATAATATAAACAATGAGGCACACAACAAATAAATTATTGTATTTATGTCCATTTATTTTCACAAAAACAAATGTGGCAGTTTGTGCAGCCCTAGGTTGTAAGATTAAAGCATCTATGCAAGGAAAACAAAATATACCATATTTTAGATTTTGAGTGGAGTGAGAAATGTATTGGTTTTACAATGACGTTTATTTATTATTATTCTTTTTTAACTGTGGATAACTTTTCTACTAGAAATCATGCGTCAATTTACAAGCGTAGCACTTTTTCTGAAAGTAAATCTGACTGGGGAGGTACTTAATGTAGGTCAATTTTTGATTTTTCCGGAATTTCTCCTAATAAATTAAAAAAACCAGAAAAATATGTACAATATTACTAAAGAAAGTATATAATTCATATGAAATTATTTTATTATATTATGACATGTATATTGTTGACAAAGCAACAAATCGTAGAAAATAAAAGACCATACTTTAATATAAAAGTTTCAACCACCAGCAATTTTTTAAAAATCTATTTTGAATTTTTTTTAAAAAAAATTATAGTCAAATTTTTAATTTTAATTTCAAGTCCCCCCCCCCCCCTAAAAAAAAAAAAAAAATGTTCATATGTAAACTGTAGAACAGACGTATATTAATTATTTAAAATATATATATATATATATATATAAAAAGTATTGAATAGAACAAAAGTTATTTCAAGTTTCAAATCATCGTAGGACATCCTGTATACATACATTTATAAATTATTAAATAAATTATAATTTCAATATAAACACGTGGTGATTCATTTAATGTGAACTTTTCAGTGTGAAATTAATATCTATTTCTTATTTTCAAATAGTAACCTATATTAACTGAATTGGAATAGTTAACTGATAACCAAAACTAGAGCTGTGAAAGAGAAATGTAGTGATATTTGTGATCGAAAATACTATAGAGGAAATTTGCAAACTTTGAATATTATAAATGTTTGATAATTAAGAAATTCAGAGTGTCTATTTAGCAAAATTGCATAAGAAATGTTTGTAAACTCAACTAGTACTGATAGATGAATATTTGCTCAGTTTGTTTGTTAGTTAACTGGTTATTACTAAAACTGAAGTTGTTATTAGATATTACTAATTAGGTTTTTTTTCGGCCATTTGTCAATTCTTCATTGCAATAATTAAATTAAATTTTAATTATGATTATTGTACTTTTTTTATTGCATTAGAATGGTTAATGATTAGTTTTACTATGATATCAACCACTGCAGAATTTCAATTATATAAATGTAAATGTTAACTATCAAGTATTTGAAACGTTTATCGCATGCAAATTTGCTTCAAAGTATTAATATTGTTAATAAATAATAATCACAGATTAAGAAAGAATGGATAGAGTGAGTAGGTTAGGGGTCTGATTACTGCAGTAGTACACAATTTTTAGAAAACCATTTACTATTTTAATATTATATTATACTATTATTGTGAAATTTACATTACATTTTTAGGAAAATACGTAATTACAGGTTTGTCAGAAGAAAAAAATTCAAAATAGCTAGAAAATTAAATTAAATTGTTAAATAAGTGTACAAATAAATTGGGGTGAGCTGATATTGCAAGGATCGGAAAATCGATTATCAGTTTTTTTTTTTTTATACTGATATTAGACCCGATATTTTTTGAAAAAAAAAAAGTCTATCAGTTCCTGATAAGCGTCTTACTGTACATATATCTATTTAAATTTTACCAGTAAAAATCGGATATCGGGTTTTTTTAAGATATCAGATAATTTTAATATCTTCTCATAATTTCAAAAAATTATCGGATCGGTTATCATTCTATATCTGTAGCAAATATTTCAGTATTGTATATTGGTTTACACTTTATACTTAATTATTTTAATTATTGGTAACAAGCTAAACGTTTTTGGTTTTTAGTCCTACTAATTTCTATTGAGTAGAAAATATTATTAATAATTTTTATTACTAAAATAAAAATAAACCATGTAATAATAAAAAATTAGTTAAATAATTTAGATATCTATGTACAATATTAGAAAATAATTTTATTATAGATTCATTTAAGTATGATTTTATCTCTAGGAATCTTATTTTATTTTTTAAAATTTCTGGAACTTAATTATTCTTGTTGCGTGCACTACTGTGTATTATGAAATGTGACTTAGAATTCAAATTCATGCCTTCTGTCATTTTTTTTCCTAACATTATTAACCACTTTCATTTTTGTCTCTATTTGTTTGTTTTAATGTAATAATTCTGTGGTTTTAATTTTCCTGTTTGAATAAATTTGTTTTTGTGTCCCAACAAATTGTAATTGTTTGAAATCTTTAATTACCTTATGCAGTAGAGTTTTCTAAACATTGTTTTTAATGATTTCAATATATATTTCAACTTATTACATGGTACAGAAATGCAATGGTTTTGAATTTATTAAACAGTTTTTATTTCTAAATGTTGTTTTAATAGTCCATATAAACATAGTAATTGACTTATTAAAGTATTAACCATTTTGGACTACTTATTTATTAATATAATTAAACAATGAAAGAAAATGAATGTGTTTAATAATTATCATATATGTAGTAGTTATTGTAATACAATTGTATTAATTTAATTGATAAAAAAAAATGAAGAGTATCCATAAAAAAAAATCCCAATTAATTTATAACTTTAGAATGTTTAATAATATGTAACACTCATTTATATTTTAATTATGAGTCCAATGTACTTTCAATTTTATGGAAGTTATATTGGAAGTTTTCCAAGTTTATATGATTTTCTGTGTAGTTTTCTTAAATATTGAAAAACTGGTGAAATTAATGGTTTTGTTATTTTTTGTTGTAATTTAATTGAAAATAATTATAAAAACCTAAATTTTCACAGGAAAGTTATAAAACTTGTTAAATTTTTAAAATATTCTGTCAATTTTTGACTTATTTAAAGACAGTTTAATTTTTATATTTTTTTTTTTAGTTTTTATTTAGTTTAATGTATAAAATTGATTGATTTAATAGAAATTCTTGATCATTGAGTATATAGTTTATTATAGGTTGTACTTAATGGTAAAAAAAAATTAAAGTTGAGCATAATGTAGTAGTTTTATCCTTAAGTTGTTACAAATATCAAATTTTGACAAAAATCTTTAAAAATAAAAATTTGTAACTTGACTTATCTCATTATTTTTTATTTGCAATAGTTTATCATTGCATTCAGATATAAATTAAAGTTAAAGTTGAATATAGTAATTTTTATATAAACATTTAAAGTTAAATTTTTAAAGCAAATCTTAAAAATCAATGCATTTCAATCATATGTAACAGAACTTAGCTTAGAATTCTATTCCGTTAGCAATATTTTATCATTGTTTACAGATTTACTTTTAGTATCCTATCTTTCCAAATTTTTACTAACAATAATGAGTACCACTCCCATCAGTAGTATTACTTTTTTATTATTGCTTGGAATAATAGACAAATTGTGTTAATAGCATATGTTTTTTTTTTTATATAGTAAAGCCTTACCTTAAATTGCCTAAAACAGCCACATTTCTTGACGGTGATAAAATAGAAATAGAATGCAATGTGTTTGGTGTACCTAAGCCTGAAATTAGTTGGAAATTTGGTGAGTTAAAAATATATCAAATGATTTGTTATTTTTATTGTTAAATTATATTTATTAACAATTATTTGTTTTAGAAAATAATACAATTCTCACTGGTGACAATGTATACTTTATGCCAAATAAAAGAAACATTACCAATGCCATCTTGGTTTTAGACCCAATCACCATGAAAAATAGAGGAAACTTCTATTGCATTGGTAAAAATGATTTTGTTTGGGAACCTGTAATGTCTGGCCCTTCCTATGTGCGCATTAAAGGTAATAAATTATCAGTTGTTAATTAACAATTGTATTTTATTAATCCACATTTTTTATATGTAGACAAAATGGCTGCATTTTGGCCATTCTTGGGTATTTGTGCTGAAGTGATTATACTCTGTTTGATTATATTTGTATATGAAAATAAACGCTTCAAGTCTGAATTTGAAGAAAGCGACACTGATCAAGGGCCAGAGACGTAAGTAAGATCAGTTTTATTTATGATTTGAATGTATATTATGTAATGAATATTTTAGATACTGACCGTAAAAAAAGAAGCTATTAGTTTTACTTAGATGAATTTTTTTTCTTTCGGAAACATTTTTGACTAGTAAAAATACTGAATTTTTCTCATGCAGTGCCTTTTAAGATGCTGTTTTTTTTCGATAGGTAGTAGTTTTTTGAAAAAAAAAAAAAAAAAAAAATTTTTTTTAAAAGAATAACAAATAAATTCTGGTATATCTGTTTTATTTTTGTTGCTTTCTGTGTTACCCTGGTTATATGGAAAATATATATAACTAATACTACTTGATTCTGAACCGGTTTTTGATTTTGAATATTTATTATTTTTATTATATATATATATATACATATACATACATTGAATTATTTCTTATCTTATACCTGTCAACTTCCCACATTCTATCTGGTATGAAGTATTGTTTGCTTTTTTTTTTTTATTATTCAAAATGAAAAAATATGGCTTCTAATAACAGAAGTATTTTTATATTAGTTCACCTATAAATAAATAATGATTACTGTTACTTGTTACGTAAAGATTTTATCATAGTGTGTTCTGATTAGATATATTTTTTAATAACACGATATATGTTAGCATATTTGGGCATGCATAATAAGTATTTTAATTACTTAAATTGAATAAAGTTAAATTAAAATTATCTATCAATTTAATGTACAATTTTTTTTGGAAGTTGTATGGACCATACTCAAGTTTCATTTTTGTGCATGTATTTTTTTAATTTGTTTTAGAAACAATGCAATTGAAGGTGGTGGTGATGTACGGCACCGGAAATAACTTGACAGTGAAATGAATAATAACACATTTTAAACAAAGGTCATAACTAAGGAATAAAGTTTTAGATACAGATGCATTAGGTTCGCCAGACCAATTTTTATTTATGTTTTAGAAAAATTTGTTCATAGTTGTTAACAAATAATAACTAAATAAAAACAGCTATTTGATGTTTTGGTCCAGCTGAAACAATGTTATACTTACTGCTTATTGTATTTTTACTCCAGAAAAATGAGATTGAATGGTTTCCCATGCATAATTGGGAGTAATTCAGTTCAATAATGGTACTGTACTAGCTGTATTGTGTAAAAAGGTTTAGGCTCATTGTGCAAATCATTTGTTCTCCGTATTTTGTTGTGTTATTATTATTTTGTTTTATTTTTTATTACTATTTTTTTTTTTTTTACCAAAGTTGATATGTGTTTTTATTTTGTAATAAAATACAGTACATGCCTCCTCCCTGCCTATTAACCTCATTGATTTGTTATAATTTCAATGTTACACGCCTTACTTATCCAAAGTTTATTGTGCTTTAACAAGCCTGAAAATATTGCATTTAATGCTCAATAAATGTTTATTCCTTCAGTTTGTTCTAATATTAATATTATTCTATCTTTTAATTAAACGTAAATTAATTTAATTCTGGTCATAGATTTATTTTTTAGATAGCTTATAATAAAAGTATTGTAAAAAAGAAAAACAAATTAACGTGAGTTACTTATTCGTAGGCTAGTATTATGATAGAACATTACACGGCAATTTTATTTCTAACAATTTCACTTTTTCATCTAATTTAATAATATTAATGTTAACTTCCTCTGTCCCCAGCAATATATATCTATTATTATTCTACCTATAAGTGGTTTATTTTATTTATAACTAGTGTATTAAGGGTGCTTATCAAATTTAAAGGTGGCCCTGTTGAAAGTTTATTTTTAGCAATAAGCATAAATTAAGTTTTAATCGTACATGATTATTAAAAATTATATTTATTATTATTATTATGTAATATATATATAATGTCACTGCTTGTTGTTAAATCGTTGTAATGAAATTTTTAAAAAAAAAACTTCAAAACATAACTATTTTAAGCCTATTTAATGTAGTGACATTACAATCAATTTGTTGACACCAGATATAGAGATAAAATATTTTATTTCCTATATTATATTCGTGTAAAACTGATTTATTTGTTACTCATAAGAACTTTTTATTATTTAACCAGTGTTATAAAAATTTGTAGGGTTTGTTGGAATTAAAAAAAAAAAAAAAAAAAAGTATTAGCATTAAAACATTAATTTCATAGTTTTAACAAGTTATTATGTTTTCACCCGTCCACACCGTATCGTATTATTAGAATATTTCACAAACGACATTATTAATTAATGCTTTTTATTTTCTCTAATTAAATGATTCAAGTTACTTATTATGTGGTAGAATTTTATTTAAATAAATACCCGCGGAGGGGGTTGTTGTTAATAAATATATAATATGAACCTTCATTAATGTTTATCTTTTGTTATTTACAAACGCGTATCTGATCAAAAATTAAACACTGCCAACGGCTTTAATTTTCAGAACCAACCAACCAAATCTCATTGTATAACAAATTTTTTTCTTCGTAATTTTAAGATAATGTTAAATGTTATTATTATTATTATTATAATTATTATTATTATTATTATTATTATTATTATTATTATATAGTATTATATATAATAACATAATATATATGTTTTTTTTTTTTGTTTTCAACAAATATAATATAATCAATAATTCTACCACTATAGCAAATTCACTATTAAAATAAATAGTTGGCTTTAGCGGCTCAAAATATTCGTACAAGTTGTATTTTCGAGTATTTAAGACATTTTGGGTAAATAGTTTCTATAAATTTATAAACAATTTAATGTAAATTTTAGCTATAATATTAATAATTTATACTCGTGCTCGTGCCCTAAAGAGTATTGTAAAACGTTCAGGGCGTGGTCTCTATAAGACGAAACGTCAATATTTACGTTTCTGTTCGCGGAAACTAGGGAGCACTGTCGTAATTATTAAATTTTTTTTCCGTATTAATATCGGATAATATAATACGGGTCGGGTTTAGTGGTGCGAAATCGATGTTTTGAATATCCCCCCAAAAAAACTAGAAACGTTTTTACCCATTATGTCCTTGAGCCTTAATGTTTCTATTGTCATTTTTACTTTCAAAAAAAAAAAAAAAAATAGAAATATAGTATAAGTACAGTTGTTGTTATTTTATGATTATTTATTTCATCCATGTTTCAACTATCTTTTTTGAAATTTATTTTTTTTCCTTGAACGTATTCAAAAGTAATTGGTACTTATCTTTATAGTGCGTGTTCCTACCTCCGTGGATATTAAAAATATCTAGGTATTATTTTTATCAACAGAATGTGTATTGATATAAACACGTTTCACGGAGTTGCGTATTTTAAACCTATATATAGTGGCGGATTTAACAGTCATTTATTCGGAAAATACCGATTGGGCCTCCTCCTAAATTGTGTACTGAGGCAGGCCCACCAAAATTAGGTGTATAGTTGATTTTTTTAAATTTTGCCATAAAAAAAAAAAAAAAACCAATTATATTGCAAAATGGAATATTATCTGCCATCGTTTTAATAACGAATTAATTTAAATATATAGGAATACTTAAGTAGAAAAGATCGAACAATTAATTTATTTACGTAAATCTAAGTTATTCCCTTCTATACCCACTACCATTGAACACAAATAATATTTACAATTATAATAGATGCTACTAATGTATGTACGAATGTATGATTTTTTAATCAATTTCACCGCATCGGGTTTCACACACAATACAAATTAAAATACACCTATAGATAATATATTAAGTTATTTTACATTCATCATTAAACATTCATTGTCTGATATGTTGCCCCAAATGGAATCTTATTTAAAATATTTTTAACATTATCCATTGGAAATGCGATTGCTTAAAAAACTATGAGTGTACTAAGAAGATTAAAAAATTATCTTCGTTCAAACTGGTTTAAAATCGAATAAGCAATTTAGCCTTAATTTTCATGGAGTAGTATGTAGCAGTACAACTTTTTAATATGAACGATCTTATCAATTAATTTTTCCAAGGCTATAGCTCATAGAAATTCTCAACTAAAATTGTATAATTTTTTTTTTAATAAGATTTTGTTATAAAATGAATATAGGTTGGTTATTATGTATCATGAGCGAAGCAAGCATTTTTGTAAATTTGAGGTAGATATGTTACTGATACATTTTGTACAAGACCCCTCTTATGGATATGCTAACTTTATTTGAACCCTAAAATCTGACATTGCCTATGTATCTGAATAATTATGATTTGATTGGCTAAATCGTATATTTTCAATATACCTAATAATTTACCTATAGGTAGTTGATAAGACAAAAATTATAAAGTTGGGCGAGTTTTGGTTTCTACCAGCAATTTTACTCCAATTTACAATGATGGCACTTTTTCAAGGAAATCTGCCTGGAGAGGTAATTTTACGATTTTTCCAAGAGTTTTCTTAATTAATGGAAAAAACCGAAAAAAACATGGGAAAATTGATACAATAGTAGACAAATATTATTAAAGAAAATATAATATAATGCTTATTTGATTATTTTATCATAATATGACACATATGTATAGTGTTGACAAAGGATCATTATCAACTGAATTCCCCTAAAAATCGTTTTTTTCATTAGCAATGATTTATCGTTACACACCGTTATACATTATATTCCCTTCTGTATCCTACGTTTTTAACTTTCTACCTACAACGATGGTTACCTGTGACTGCATCCACGTATGAAGTATGTCCTTTTTTTTTTTTTGTCTGAATAACTTTTTTTACCAGAAATCGTGATCTGATAGTCCAATGTATCATATCTAGGCACTGTGTACAAGCCCCGATTAAGCAGGGGGAGTCCAGAGAGGGACATGGTTTTCAGACATCCAAGACCTTATTTTTTCCGAATGCAGTATGTTCTTTATGTATGCATTTAACCATTAGATACCTAAATTTATACTTTGATATTTTAATAGTTTAATAATTAAATAATAACCTATAATATTAATAATTATAGTATAAAATTATTTTGTTAAAAATAATATCAGTTGCGATTTGTACACCGAACAAGCAATACGTATGTTTTGCTCTCGCAGTTCGCGAAATAGTGCTGTTTCAATTATTATAGATTCTGAATGCAGTGAAGAATGTATTGGTTATACTATGATGTTTATTTTTTTTTTCATACCATCTACAAAAATTCTACCAGAAATCTTGCTTGAATATATACGCGTGGCACCATTTCTGAAAGGGAATGTTATCCAGATGTTATTATTAGGAAGTTATTTTTTGATTTTCCAAGCCGTTTTTATAATATCTGGGAAAAACCATGATAAAACGTAAAAAAAACGGGAAATGTACGAAAATAATGCTTTTATTATTTTTCCATTTTGTTAGTTGTTGTAATTCATTTAAAAATATTCGTAGAAACTTGAAATTTAAACAGAAAACTTATATTTGCCTTTTTTTGAGTTATTTATAGACAATTTCATTTTGCGAGTTTTGTACATAATTTTTATTCGGTAAGTACTTTGTGGTAAAATTGTTAGACTTAAACAGAAATGCTTGAAAATTTAACTGAAAATTCATTAGGAATCTTACTTTGTTGACAAAAAAAGAGTTTAATGTGGTTTTCTTTTTTATATAGTAATTTTAATATCAAATTTTGTCGAAATCGTTGAGTAAAAAATTACCTATGTAGAACAAATCTAATTTTTTAATTTTTTTTGAACATATGTATGTTGCCGATTTAAGAACAATGGTGAAGTCAGAATTTAGTGGGACTGATAAAGTTTAAAAATTATAGCTTTTTAAAATTCTAATATTATGCGGATATTATATGTTATGTTAATAATACCTAATTGTTGTTTTCTTCAAAGTATGTCGTAGTTGAATGGATATGCATTCCTATTTTCATCCTAGGGTTTGTGAGTTCGAACTTGTGTTTTACCTAAGCAAGGAAAAAAACAAATGCATTCTGGGTGTACGGAGGACCTAAGCCATCGCTTGCTCGGACTATTTTAATTATAAAATACTCCTCGATTTGTTGTGCGAACTTTTATCAAAAATCTTGCTCCTATGTATCAAATGTAGCTTATTTTCTGAAAGGAAATATTATCTCCACGGTAACTTGAGGAGGTCATTTTTTAATTTTCTCAGGAGTTTTCCCAATAAATGGGAAAATGTACAAAATATGTACAGTGTAGGTAGTAAAATATTACGCTTTTTTCCTGCAGACAATTTTTCTAATAGCAATATTGCTCCGATTTACAATGGTAGAACTTTTTTTAAAAGGAAATCTAACTGGGGTGGTACTTTTTCTATTTTCCCAAGAGTTTTCCAACAAATGTGAAAAACACAGAAAAGGGGAAAATCGGTACAGTTTTAAATAAATATTAGGTATTAAAGAAAATATATAATTCCTATTTAATTTATTTTACTATAATATGATATATATTTTGATGAAAGAGCATCACTATCAATTGAATTGCTTTCAGAATCGTTTTTTCGTTAGCAATGGTTTACCGTTGCTTACAGATATACTTAACAAAAAAAAAATAAGTGGCACAATGCAAAAATTGTCAAACGTTTGGTCACACTCAAAACTACTGTCTTAAAACACTAAAATGTGTGAAATGTAACGAAGGACATACTTCGTTAAACTGCACCAAGTCTAAGAAATCAAAGGCTAAATGCGCAAATTATGGAGAAGATCAAACATTAAATTGTAAAGGGTGCTCTCCTTATAAAAAAAGCAGTAGATAAAGTTCGTCCAAAAAAAAAGCTGTAGAAAGAATACAACAAAATCCTGCAAAACCAGTCATTCAAAATGCTTATTTTCACAAATAGCAAGATCATTGAAAGACAAACAAAAGGGTCCACAAACTCAAATTTGTACACAACAGGAAAAAAATGTTCCATCACTTTCAACAAGATGGCAGAGTTAACAAAAATAAGCAAGATATCGGACTAGTTCGAAAAAAAGAACAAATCAAAAAGCAAAGTACAACAAAAAAGAAAATGAGTCAGATATTTCGAATTTTAATATGGAACTTTACCGAACTTCTACAGAAAAAACAAGAATTTGAACAATCTATGCAAAATAAACAAATAGACATAGCTCTAATTTCAGAAACACATTTTACAACGTGGACCAATCCAAAGATACGTGGATACCAATTATAATATACAACAGAACATTCTAGCAACCGCGCTCATGGAGGGACTGCAGGGATAATAAAAGAATCAATCAAACAACACGAACTTAAAAAACATCCTCAATAATATTTACTTGCTATACCTGCTATAAATTGTCCACCACTATATAAAGTAGTTGACAGTTAGTTTACTGAGTTCTTCCGGACTTTGGATAGTAAATTCATTGCCGGAGGTGATTAGAATGCCTAACATACTTTCTGGGGATCGAGATTAATCACCACCAAAGGACGTAATTTGTTTAAATCTGCAAATAAAATTAAAGCACAATTCATCTCAATTAGAAAACCAATCTATTGGACATAAGCCAAAGCTTGATATTGTGCAATGTTAACAGCTTAATGCAACATTCCATCTGAAGTTACCAAAGCAATAGATGACAACTGAAACCCACAAAAAGCACCGGGCTATGATTAAAATAATTCAATAAATACTTAAAGACCCACACAGCAATTTGAAAATTTTAATATTTTTACAATATTTGAATTATGTTACACCACAAATATTTATATTAAAATATTGTACAATTATTTTGAAAATATTTGTCGACAAATATTTAAACTCATAAATAGTCACAACGTTTTCAAACCATTACATGCCATTACATATCAGATTACGTACATTGCACAGTAGTTATTCTAAATGGAGCGAAGAAGCTTATAGAAAATGATTTTACAATGATGATTATTTCAAAAATTATAAAAATTGGTCGTTTTACATAGAATATAGAAATAATTTATTTTAAGAGGACAGATTATTTAAAATTAGTTATTGTATAGTAGACAGATATATTAAGAAATATAAATTATTTGGTTATTATTTTTAAAATCGATTTGAATATTTAAAATATTAAAATTATTTTCCTTTATTACATTGTGTATGAATAATTCTACTAAAACTGAATTAATGTAAATATTATTTTGGGTATTTAATATTTCTA